CCACATGGCCGGACAGATGGAGAGCGGGCACGGGGCACGGCAGCGGGTGCAAGCGAGGAATGAGCGGCAAGGCAGCACGACTCACTGCTGGCGGGCTTGGCGTGGTGCTGCTCCAGGAACTCGTCCCTGTACTTTCGGGCTTCGGCCAGGAGCACGTTGAACTCTGCAATGGTGTGGTTAGCGCGCAGGACGTCCTCGCCGTGACAACCCATGCTTGCCAAGAGCAGCTGCTGCCTGACGGAACGAGGGCCAGCAGCAGGGCGTGTCAGGATGTTGGATGCACGGGACAGGCGGAGTGGCGCGTGGGCGCGCAGCAGGAGTGGCAAGCGTGCTGTGTGGCAGGGTGCGGCGCGGCAAGGCGGCAACTAGCAACAGAAGATGAGGCGCATACTTGAAAGACAGCGGCCGTCTCGGCACCCCGGATGGCGTGGAGCGAGCGCGGCCTCCGCCTGTTGGCGACGCCGCTGCTAGTTGCGCCCACAGGTCGGCGATGTGGACGGGCGGCTTGGCTGACGCGCCGGCCGAAGAGCCCAACGGCCCGCTCGGCGAAGGCGCGCCGTAAGCGCCCAAGTCGGTGGGCGGAAGGGACTGTTGCGGGAGTTGGGATGGGCGAGCCAGTTTGGGAGGCATGTTGATCGTGGTTACCAAAGTAGAAGTGGGGTCAGCGAAGCGAGAGGCTGGCTGGCTGCCGACCGCGAAAGCGAGTTTGGTATATAAGCTTAAAAATGGAAAGAGGTGAATGTATGGAATGGAAGGCGACACAGGCCTGCATTTATACAAGTCGCGGCACCGTACGAACCGGACGCTTCAAGGGGGCTGGGTGAATCGGAAGGGCGCCGGAGGAGTCGGTACGTCTTCGCATGGTGAGCATGGGCGTCGGCAGCTGCGGTAACGGGTGGGGCGCTGTGACAAGCGGAATGCGGCAATGTATGCGCCACACGGACTTCCGCGGCACCCTGCGGACCTGTAGGATGGGGTATTATGCAGCAAACAGTTACACAACCATTGTAGCTGTACATGGACACGGTGGGCGCTTGAAATGGTCCTCGTCATCCCACTATCCACGGTCACCATCTTAGGAAATGGCACCATCTTACAATATGGGTTTCTGAATAGAGGGCGGACTAATGCGGGCAGGTGCTTGATGAGCGGTCCTTCCATATACCACTGCCATAACCACAAGTATGCCGCCCCTTAGTCTGGCCTCACCACGTAAACGCTGACAGACATGACTTACGTACTGAAAAGAGGCGGACTAATGCGGGCTAGTTTAGACGACAGGTCGTGCGCCAGTACCACGGCCATGACCCAAGCTATGCCACTCCCTGTTTCTTGCCTTACCTCGTAAACGCAGACCGACACCCCTTGACCAGAAGTGCGCCACATTTTCATCTGCTGGCGCACATGCATGCTTTGTGGACTGGTGTAATGCGACCAACTTCAATTTGTGCTCGGCAAGCGCGCCACTGCGTACCGGATATGTTCGCGATGTTGCAGAGACGCTGCACCTCGGCTTCCGTGCGCAATGCGTAAGATGTTTGACCCCGCCGACCAAAACTGCACGTGCCCAACTGAAGAAAGTTACGGTGGTTGTCCAGCAGCTTCTGAGCCTGCTGCTTGCTGAGGTCCTTCCGGAGCTGCTGCAACACGGCTAACGCAGGAGCGGCCATATGCACTGAAAAAACCTGCTCCAAGTTTTCTGCGGCGTCCATTTCAGTTACACAGCTGTGACCGATTTTCCAGTTCTTATGTTTAATTTTGTGTATGCTATCTTTAATTTGCGACAGTTTGTATTTTGACTTCAGACGAAAAAAGATGCTGTTTGCGTATGTAAGCAGGCGCCACGTCTTTTCGAAAAGTGCCGCTTCGCCAGGCGCTTCATCTTCCGCGGCCATTCCATGCGCGCGTGTTCATACCAAGTTATATGCTTTCAGTTACGTCAAGACAGCCATACATTCCTACGGTCCTGCTTGCCGCGTGCAACTGTGGCCAGCATGCTGCCGCACAAGCGCGCTGACACACCACGACTTTTCGCCAAGAAAATTTACATACACTTGTACAGGCGCATTTTTCGAAACGCACGTGCGCATCCGCGAAGCAAAATTCGCTCCTGGCTTTGGGGACGAAGTACGGAGGGTCTATTCGGCAGAGTACGACCGCTCACATTTGTGCGAGGGGCTGCTTAACTATTCGCGCACGATGGCCTGTGAACCAAACTGCTTAACACCTCTTGGTGGCCCACCTCGTCTATTATCCATTAAATCCCTGTGCGATAATCAGCCGCGTAATCAGAAGCGCACGCGGTAACTCCCTCATCCAAGTATCGCAACATGCATACCAATAATGTGTGCTTTTTCACTGAGAAACCTAAAATCCCAGCATTAAAAAAACCTAAATTCCCGCTTTCACAGTGCACCATTCAAATACCGCTCGTACGTGATAAAAAGGCCGGCTCACCAACATTAGTCTTCAACGCCAAATCTGATACAAAGTGTAAGCTTGAGCACAAGGTATTTCACAGGGCACTGGCTCTTGTCCCACGAGGTCCCCGCTGCTTCTCAGGCGTGGTCGCGGGGCATCGTCTGCCGGGGCCCAGCCATTGCACCAGCAGGCGCCACAGGGCTGGAGGTCCTGCCTTGCGCACCCGCGAAGGGCAGCGGAGCATCCGACGCCAGCGCCTCGAGGTTTCCTGCAGTTTCGAGCATTGCTGTGAGCTTTGCCTGTGAGCTACTGAAAGCAGCGTACATACCGCACTGTGAGCCTGGGCGTTCAACTTTCCCAAAGCTCCTAAGTCGAGTATCTTACCCTCGAGGACTTGCCGAGGCACTCGACCGACTGCAGCAGCCAGCGGCTCGCCCGTCTTATCGAAAAACACGAAATGCGGGATGCCCCGGACGCCAAACTCAGCAGCTTCAGGCGCCCACTTAGAGTTCTCGATATTCAGCATCACAAAGTTCACCTGCGGAGCAATCGGAGCGGGTGGGGTTACACGCACAGCGCAATGAGATGTAACCCTGCAGTCGATGGCTTGTGTGGGTTTGCGACCCTCCGGCCATTTGCAGGCCTGGCATGCCGGGGCTGCTCGTAAGAGCACCGTCCAGCACCTTCGTGTAAGTGGAAATGCAGAACATCGGACCTAGCATTCAGCGATCAGGAGGAGCAGCGATCAGGAAAAGGTGCAGGTTAAGTCGGCTTCGCATGCCCCACCTTGCCCTGATACCGCTTCTCGAGCTCGAACTCGTCCGGTACCAGCTCACGGCATACCTCGCACCTGCCCGAGAGCAGAAGTAGGAAGGGACGGTCTTCGAAAGCACCGCCAGCCCAAGGTTGACCCAAGCCAATACCCTTTCTTAACTCCCTGACGGCGGATACTTAAATGGCACATCCTTAAACCCCTGAAGTGGTTCGCTGCAAGTGCCGCCCGCAATATACTCATTGCAAACGGAACCTCACGCGTTGACCATCCATGGCCAGCCCTCACCCATTTACCAATTGGCGTAGAACTCCACTAATGTCGGCCGGCCATTGGTGAGGGCTACGTCAAGCGGTGTGGACCTCTGCTCCAGCGTAGCCAACGAGGGCGCAGGAGCTCCGAAGCGTGGCAAAGAAAACAACAGCACGGCCGCAGCAACCGCCCCAACCGCAAGGCCTAAGTTTCCCCGTTCCGATGGCAACACCACCGGTGGTGTTGCCACCGGGGGCGTTGAAGCACCAGAACTTGACACCCCGCTCTCGACCTTAACCTGCGCCCCCAAGCGGTATGATATGGTGACCCGAGAAAACTGGCCTTCCAAAAGCGCATTACCTCTTGTGATGTCGTCTGGGTGGTTTGCTCAGCGCGTACTACTAGAGGGAAGCAGCGCGTTGGCCTGCATGAGCCAGCAATAAGTTACGCCTTTGGAGCCCAATACCTGCCAAGGCGGTAATTCTCTCACCCACCTCAATGTCCGCGCCAAACCCATTCGAGAGAGACAGGGGTCCGAACGTACAGCTTTCTTCATTTTTGTGCGGCCAATCACGCCTAAACGCCACAATATATCGTCCCTAGACTTTGCTGTAGAGCAAGATTAACCAGCAAAACTAAAGACAGATCTATATCTTTTGTAACTTATTTCTCAATTCCTCCAACCAACGAGAAACCGCTAATCGGCAAGTGTCTCCTGTGGTACTGCTGCACTCACCCAATATACTCACATTTCAACCAGCCATGCATAACCAGAGCTCTTCTGTAACCAAACGAACGAAATCGTCGGACTGTGATAATCGCTATCGTCCAAAAGCTGTACAACCGATTGCAGTCGTGACCCTAAGTTCACTGATGTTAACAAACAGCAAAGTGTACACTTCTTGTACATGTTAGGCGCTAATCCTGAATGTGGTTAAGGCAATGTAGGTACAGGCGCCCTTCGCTGAATAGTTGGCCCGTGGGTGGTTGGGAGGGGGTAGGTGGACAGGGTAGGTAGCTCGGGGCCTGCCTCAACAATGGCCCAACGCACTACATCTCTCCCAAGGCATGTACCATGGTATCAACCGGCGGCTACACTACTAAGTTCACGGCTGTCCATGGCATGCCATATGAGGGCCGTTTCCGCATGGTGAGGTTGGCTTTTGGGTTTACGTACGGACTGCGGCAGACATTTGCGCACACGTACGAACTGCTACGGCAAGTTCCTCACTCTCTAAAGTTGCCACACGTCACATTCGAGCCAATGGAGCCGCTGCCAGTACAGCTGTGGTAGTCTAAGTACGCAATACGGCTGCGTTAAACGATAAAGTTGTTTTTAATCAACTTTATTTAATAAATATTATTTAATTAAGAACCTTTACGTAGTTTTTTGGTGCATAGGACCTGACGCGTAAAAACTAGACTCTGCTATGCTTACTCTGGTGCAAAATACCAGAGTTTACACGGTCATAGGGCTACTTTTTACTTTGTCAAATTCTATTGTCAAAAATTAGACAACTGGTGCATAGCATGTGCTTACTACCTTGGCGACGCTTACGTTTGAGCTAAAGCAGTTTACTCCTCAGAAACACTGGTATGCTTTAGCTACAAGCGGCTAAACAAGGTGTGTGTTGTAGCGTGTCATTAAGCTCGGTGCTTACCTCTTCATCCCGTAAAGGGAAACCGAAGGGGGACCAGCGTTTCCCCTTCGTTTTCTTCCCCATTGGGGAACCAAAGTCTCCGTCCCCTTTAGGGGAAGAAGGGTAACACCCCTTCGTTTTCTTCCCCTTTGGGGAACCAAAGTCTCCGTCCCCTTTAGGGGAAGAAGGGTAACACCCCTTCGTTTTCTTCCCCTTTGGGGAACCAAAGTCTCCGTCCCCTTTAGGGGAAGAAGGGTAACACCCCTTCGTTTTCGTCCCCTAAAGGGGGAACCCCTTCGGTTCCCCTTTAGGGGATGAATGCGCTGTAAGGTAGCCCTTCAAGCTACGCTAGAACGTAGTAACGTCGAACGGTCTCGCGGCAGCCCAGGCTGTCAAGACTGACACATTGGATGCAAAACGTATATCCGAAGGGTCAAGGTAGGTTGCGTTCATCCTCACTGTGACCTGCCGCAGCTCTACACCGTTCACGTTGACTTGCATTTTCCCATGTAGGCCAACAAGCTCCCGACACAGCCGTGTACACGACTCTATAAGTTAAACACCAATTCCCTCTCGTGCAAACCGCTGAAAGACTCGATCAGTAGGCCATAGAGTGCTCGTACTCTCATTTAACTGACACTGTACTCTATATTCAGCGACTAGGCGGCCTTTCCTGTTACAATTGAATTCATACTGCGGCGTCTTTCCGATTCCCAAGCTAGTGCACCAGTTTATGTAATCATCTTAATACCCGAATACCAAGCCATGCTCTTGCATGATTTTGACTATGAGCAATCTGTTAGGGCAACGAGGGTACGGAGCAACGTCGCCGTACTTGATCAAGAGGTCTTCTTGCGCTGATATGATGTCCTAATGCACCAACTCTTCCATTGAACATTCTAGCTAGAGCAACAAATTATCTTTGCAAAATTTTATTTTAACATGTTTGCACGCACCTGTTCTGCTGGTCTGGGTCGCCGTCCATCGGCTTTTAGTACCGCGGTCCCTAATCGTAGGAATGTCGTTCGTCACGTAGGCCCAAATCCTTTGGCAAATCCACAGCTTCAGGAAATGATGGCGAAAGCGATGCAGGACCCGAACTTTCAGAAGCAAATGCAGCAGATGCAGGAAATGATGAAGCGACCGGAGGTTCAGAAGCAGATGGCTGAAATGCAAGCTGCTGCACAAAATCAGCAGCTCCAGCAGCGGATGCAAGTGCTGAAAAACGACCCGGGTGGGTACGAGTGGGAGGCACTTGGGTTTAGGTGCATGACCGATAGCGGAGGTGGCAGTGTCCTCTCAAGCCTTAAGGGACTGGGTTTCTGGAAGGGTTAGAAAATTGAAGGATAGACGACTTGTTGGTGACATATTTGACTCCAAGGTGGAATGCCAAAGGGGCCTAACCTGTGCTTATCCCGTGCTCTAGGCGCCCTGGACACTGCGTAATCCATGCACGTCATGTCCCGACTGGCTTCGGTGGTAGAACCTCCCTTCATGAGTCATGGGTAGCGCCTTATCACAAACCTCCTTCTGTCGGATGCAGAATTCGCCGAGGTATTCGCGGACATCCAGAAGAATGGCATGCAGGTATGACTCCTTTGGCACTTCATTGCCTGTTGGCCTCGGTTGCGTTTCTCATGACGCTATCCTCTGCTGTTCAATGTTTCCAGGCCCTCATGAAGTATTACAACGATCCAGCGTTCTTATCAAAGCTGGGTTCAAAGATTGGCGACGTTGGTCAGTCAGCTGACGCGGCATCCCCTGTGGCTCCTGCAGCCGTACCGCCGCCGGCACCTGCGCCTGAGATCAATAACATCCGTGATGCGGCCAGGTGTGCAGAATGCTCTTGCATGGCCTTGCGAAAGCCGCACTACCGTTTATGTGCAACGTTGGGGCAAAATCGGTTTCACACTGTAGAGCCCCTACGTAGTTAAGAGCCGTCATACTGCACTGACTAGGGTTTCGGAGGACTTCAACGTATTAGGTCGTCAGTCTCAAGTGCGTGCCTTCTTAGAGCTTCTTCGCTTGTTGCCATAGGTGGGGTGATGAAGAGGCGGTGGAGGACTTCATCGCTATTGGGAAGGACATCAACGAGCCGGACACGCAGGTAAGCTACAATCAACTTGTGGTTGTTACCAGGATCTGTGTCTGCGCGCCCGCGCTACATCACTCTGGAAGTGCACGGGAGTTGCTATGACCCATGGTTCAGCATCCTTTGGGCAAGCGCTCGCTGCATTGTCAGGTATGGTGATCACTGTATTGCCTGGTGTGCTGGAATTGTCTGTTATGCAGGGAAGGACGGCCTTGCATTACGCGGTCGCTTACGATCATGCTGTCATTGCAAAGATGCTTTTAGGTGAGTGCGGACGGTCCCTTTCCCCTTCAAATCATTGCGGTACCCATGTTGTTTTGTAACTGATGTAAGTGATTTGATTGGCTAAAATATTTTGCTGGTGCAGACGAGGGTGCCAACGTGGAGGCGCGCGACTCGATGAATAACACGCCTCTTCACTACGCTTGTGGGTATGGACGGGCCCCTCTAGCGCGTCTTCTTTTGAAGGCAGGCGCCAACAAGGGCGTGCAGAATAACACGGGGAAGACGCCGTTGGAACTTGCGAAGTGAGTGGCCGCATGTTAACCTAAGGTATAGGAAGAAGCATTACTGGCCCGTACAGGTACGAGTAGTGGCAATTTTTTAGTGCCGGCCCTCGGGTGCCTCTTTCCTCTTGCTCATTGAACGGTTTTTGAACAGTACTTTACGGCGTGAAGTCAGGGTGGGGTCAGGGTGGGGTTTGACCGGGTATGATGTAGGCGAGCCGGTGCAGCATATGCGGCTATATCTTTTTGCTCACGTCAACTCTATGCCCCAAACGGTTCACCCTTGCTCTGCAGGTTGGACCCCAGGAACCCTGTGAATGCAGACGATGAGCTCCTGAAGGACCTGCAGCCATAGACTGCCTTTGGCATCTTCCATACATCAGACTGGTTTCCTTGCTGGCGACGCTAAGCGTCTTGCGGGTTGCACGTGCCAGTTACACTGCCTCCCTCATTGTCAGCCTTTTTGTTTTTATGTGAAAAGTTGTAACTGCGGTTTGGAATGGTCGAGGGAGGATTTTCCATTTGCCTGAGCAAAACGTCTTTCTGTTTGAGCGAACATTTGTGTTCGGAACAACTGGAAGGGTCTAGTGGCGTACGGCTTTCGAGGACTTGAGCTTCTTGTAACTGGCAATATCATATCGCTAAAGTCGCTCCTACCGAAGCATTTCTGATTATTCCATATTGTTTAATAGTCGCATTTAGCAGCTGTAAACAAGATGTTCGGCGGCTTCCCCTTCGGGGGCATGGGCGGTGGCTTTGGTATGGGTGGAGAGATGCCTTCGCGTGGAGGTTCTGGTTCCAAGAAGGTAAACAACAACCGCTACTATGAGCTGCTTGGCGTCAGTAAGGATGCATCGTTGGATGAGATCAAGAAGGCGCACAGGAAGCTAGCGCTCAAAATGCACCCCGACAAGGGTGAGCGCGTTTTGCTAATGGAGTTTGACGCGAGTGCAATAGAACGGAGACGAGATATCTCAACTACGAGTTTGGTAACCAAGCATGCACGAACGGGCGGCGTGCAGGTGGCGACCCAGAGAAGTTTAAGGAGATCAACGAAGCATATGATGTGCTGAAAGATCCCAAGAAGAAGGAGATTTATGATCAGGTGCGTGAAGTATGGTTCACACATTCCTAGTTGCTCAGACCAAGTGACTCGCAAACTGTTCATCTTGTTGCAGTATGGTGAGGATGCCATCAAGGAGGGTATGGGCGGCGGTGGAGGCGGTGGCGGTATGTCTGACCTTTTCGAGCAGATGTTTGGGATGGGCGGCGGCCGCGGCCGGCAGCGGGAGCGCAAAAGCGAGGACGTGGTGCACAAGTTGCAGGTTCCGTTGGAGGACCTGTACAAAGGTGCTATCAAGTGAGTGTAGAGTAGTAGACATCGGTGGGTGTTCAAAGGTGGACAGTGTTTGTAACCGTGTTTGTAACCCTGCTGCACCGGGCACCACAGGAAGCTGTCCATGTCTCGCCAGCTCCCCTGCGATGCGTGCCACGGGTCTGGGTCCAAGACCGGCAAGCGCTATGAATGCCAGGTGCGTTTCGTGCAATCTAGTATGGTTGTCCCTCGTGGAAATGTGTTTGGTATTTACAGCGGGACATACCGAAGGGATATCACGTGAGCATGGACTTCCCATGCGGTTTCACATGGTTACGGAGATGGAACTTTGTTTGTCGTGCGTGATGTAGGTGAAGCACTTGTTAATGCGTATGACCAACTTTCTATACGCAGGTGTGCCAAGGCACGGGCGTGCAGGTGCACTTGCGCCCCCTTGGCCCAGGCATGATGCAGCAAATTCAGTCCAAGTGTGGTAACTGCGCTGGAAGCGGATACAGCACTCCTCTCGGTAAGTAAGTGGAGATGTTTATGGTATTCGGAATTGGTGCGGCAGCCGGATTGCCGAAATAGAACTTCATGCACAATTTCAACGCCTGAATTTGAGTGCCCTTTCAAGTGGGCTACGTATATTTCCAGCCATGCATATCCTGATGCGTTGTGCATAAATCTATGCGAAATGCAGGCGACCAATGCGCCAGCTGCAAGGGCAAGTGTCTTGTAGCCGATAAGAAGACCTTCGATGTGCACATTGACGCGGGCATGAAGCACGGGTCTAAGGTCGTGTTGCGTGGAGAGGCAGGCTGCTCGGAGCCGGGCCTCGCTCCTGGCGACATTATCCTCGTGGTCGTCCAGAAGGAGCACGACGTCTTTCAGCGCGCCGGCGTGGACCTCGTGATGGAGAGGACCATTTCGCTTACGGAGGCGCTGACAGGCTGCACCTTCACCTTCAAGCACTTGGACGGGCGGGTGCTACGTGTCGCAATACCTCAGGGTAGGATTCAGGGCTATCAACGGAACGGGCATCCCAGAAATCTAATTTCTGGCGCCACCTGGTTTGCAGTCCATGTGTTCCTATTGGCGATGTCAGTGAACATTTGAAACGCAGGCTGGCATGTTGCGATGCTGCACTAAGCAACCTCGGTGCAAGGCATCAGTATTTGCAACCATGTTCCTAGACCGAACAGTTTTACACCGTGACTATGCACTTCTTCGCTTCAGCGCTTCCACAAATTATCTGTTGTATCGGCACCTCTTAACATGACAGGCGAAGTAATCAAGCCGGGGTCGTTCAAGTGCCTTCAGGACGAGGGGATGCCGTTCCACGGACGGCCCTACCAGAAGGGCAACCTCTACGTGCGCTTTAATGTGGAGTTTCCAGAAATGCTCAGTGAGGCACAGGCACAAGCGATCAGGGCAGCTCTACCTATGCCTTCGGCTGCAGCCAACGGCACTGGTACCATGGACGTGGACGACGTCGAGGACGTGCACAAGATCTCCAACATTCAGGATATTGAGTCGGAGCTCAAGTCGCGCGTGAACATCGCGAAGGGCACTGGCGAGAGCTATGATTCAGACGATGACGATGACATGCCGCGGGGACAACGGGTTCAGTGCGCTCAGCAGTGAGCAGCAGAACCTTTCAGCTTGCGCCTCGAGCATGAGGAGGCAGGTGAAGACAGCGCTGCACCCCCTTGACCAATCAGAACCGAAACAAGCGGCGGGTTGCAGTCGTGAGCCTTCAGCTACGTACCTAGGTATATCCTTGCTTGAGCAAGGTTACCATCTATGTCTGAAACTGATGGGTTGTTCCGAGGGAATTTTTGCTAACTCGGGCTTTGGGACAAGGGGAGGATAAGGGAGAGGTACGGGGGAAGCACGTGCACCGATGCTGTGCGAAACGTGGATGGGAAATTTAGGGGAGGAGAAAGCGTGCAGGTTAAGGCTGTTTTTGTGTCACTGCATCCCCCGAACACCTTGTGCCTGGGGGTTAACGGGAGTCCTCAAACACGCAATTATAACGGCCTCACGATAGGTCCACAGCTGTGGGCTGTGCTCGCGGATGTGAGCGTATCTTGAGCGCTGTCGGCATCCAGCGGGCATGATACTGAGTGCTTTCTAGGAACAGCAGTGATGTGCGGCGCCATATGCTTCGGAGCTAGGAATGATCAAATTTGGGGGTGGGTTACAATAGTGCTTTTGCCAACTAGCAGATGTGTGCTAAAATTCGTATTACGATTTCTTTCTACAGCTGTAACGGGGCTGCTCTTGGTGTATAACCATTGTTGAAGATGGAAGTGCAATACATCCGTATCAGATGATAGAGGCCATCCCCAAGCCATGGGGACCTCTGCCGTTGGGGAGGGCCATTTGTACCGAGGCTGTCTGCTCTTCGGGAGCCTAAGAATCCCCCCGAACGATTTTCACTGGGGAGCATTTCGCCGTGGCTGAAGCGCTCTCACCCGACACGGCCGACGAGTTAGGGAATGTCCAGGAGTGACTCGCGCCGCCTAACGCCGTGGATTTCCCGCAATCCCGGCGACCTTCCCGACGGCCCAGCACCGCACCTTTTTGTACAGCATATACTCCCAGCCCTACAGCAAGCAAAGCATCAAACGAAACCTCCCATTGCATAGATAGGCAAGTAGTAAGCGAAATTGGCTCTGTTGGTTTGGGGTACGAAAATAGCTTTTGCCTTACCAACTTCACTCGCCCCCATTAAGAAGAGCATTGCCAAAGCAAATAGGATAAAAAAGGCGACGGGTTGGAACAAAGCAGCTTCGGAATGCCCAGCCCCCGAGCCTTCCGGCAAACGTAGCTGGATAACTGCCGATGCGTAACAGGAGCCGGTTAACATTGATAATGACGCGGCCTATGAGGTCCAAGATTTTGATTCGATTCACCGTGAAGACGCTGACGACGCGGAACCATCGGAAGATACTGACGGTTTCAGCGCAGCTTAAGAGGAAACACAGCCAGAGCCCGGTCTAGAGTCCAAGTTAACACACGCTGTGCGGGAAGCGTACGTGCGTAACTTTGCAGCAGACGTGGAGAGCCGGACTTGCGTTTTGAGCAGCAGCGCTGGCGTACTTCACAGCCTGGCGGGAAGCAGACCTGAGGCGCGCCCCCGGTACGCCGTGAAGGGGGCCGGACCTGTTATCTCTTGGGAACAAAATGGCATTCACCGTCCAGTTTCCGTTTCGGCAACCACGCTTTGTAAACACCTTCAGCAAGCACTCCTGTACATGGACTGCCAGGGTGTCGTGGATGACTACCCGGAGGGCGCACTTAGCAACTGGCCCTGTGGAGCTCTGAATGGGTGCTCTTGTTGTGGGTACACTTTTATGTGCAGCGAGTGTCGCGGCCGCAGCTGCCCCAGGCCCTGTGACCAGTGCCGCAGGACTAGGGGTTGTAGAAGCAGCAGCAGTGGCGGAGGGGCCGGAGCCTGGGCTGGAGTGTTAAGAGGTGGTGCCAGGCAGCCCTTCCGCCACTGAGGGCAATGGTACGGTCGCAAGCCACCCCAGTACCGTCAGCCGCCGCAGCAGCCCCAGGAACCATGGTGACAGCGGTGTCCATGGGTGCTGCAGTTCTAGGGGCAGCAGTGCTGGCGTCGACTGACTGGCTGCTTTGGGACACCTGCAGCCCCGAAGCCACAGGGCCGATGCCTGCTTCAAGCGAAACCTGCTGTCCCATAAGGGCTAGGTTTCTGGCTACACACAGCTAGGACGGTGTCGTTACTTCTTGCCCAACACATCGATACAGTAGGTGCTTATGGACGGTCATGCATCACAGCAGATTGGTGTGACGCACTGCTCGAACTTCGATGCTGACAAGGTGGGTGTGGGTCGGGAGCCAAGGTGTGTTTCTATTGTTGTGATTGTCCCCGATGCATCACACCCGTGGCACTGCCCAACATTCTTGCCCCACGTCTCACCCTCGCTGTCACGTTGCCTTTTCCCCCCCAATCACCACGTGCTTACTACGCCACACACTCCGCTGCATCCACCCTTTTGCCGTGCCGTGCCGTGCTGCCGCTGTCCAACCCTCTGCCTTTCAGGTCCTGGCTGCGGAATCGAGGAGGGTATGTTGCGTCTGGACGGCTGGCACCTGGATTTCTCTATGACTTACGGGGCTTGCGATTGCAGAACCTCATCCCGGCTGTCGGTGTCGCGTTATGCCGGCATGGGATGCGCCTGCGGCTCATGAGCCTCTTCAGTGGGAGCAGCATGCATACTCCACTGCTGCAGCGCTGTCCTTCCTTCCAGCTGGCACCGCTGTACAGTACTGGTGGTACAATATCGTGTGCAGGTGTTATTGTGTGGACATTTCACACGTTGTACTTTTACAGATGGGGCAAGCCATACGGAACGCCAGACACCGAACCTGCAGCGGCATGCGCCCACTCATTCCTCCGTCTCACCGACATGCTCACAATTGCGTGTTTAGCACCGTATGGGCCTTGTGCGTGTCCTAGTATGTGTTTGCCTTTGCCCTGCAGTTACACGTGCCAGAAAGCGTTTGGGCCCCAGCACCAATGGTGGCAGTGGGAGTAGCAGCCCTGATACAGTGTTGGGGGACGCGCCGGTGCAGCTGCAGCCTCCCACGCACTCTGTATTGAGCCATGGCAGCGGCGAGGATGATGGGGTGTTTGGTGGCGAGACGACACGGTTGCTGCTACCCATTCATGGTCTAATGGGCCCCACTATCAGCGGAGGTGTCAGAAGCGGTGGCGGCGGAAACAGTGGCGACCAAAGCGGTGGTGGCCAAAATGGCAGCGGCGGCAGTGGCGGTGGTGGGACTTTGAGAAGTGAGATGACACGGCTTCCGTTGCCCACTCACACCGTGCTGGGCCGTGGTGGCAATGGAATGATGTGGTCGCTGCCGCATATCCTTGCCATGTTGGGTCTTGGTGTGAGTGGTGCAAGTCACCGCGGCAGAAGCAGTGGTGACATAAGTGGCTGCTGTGGAAATGGTGGAGGTGGAAGAGGTGGGACGGTAGCAGCAGTGGCAGAAGAAGTGGTGGAAGAAGTGGCAGCGGTAGCGGCAGCAGCAACGGGGCGTTAGGAGGCGAGCTGCCGCAGCTGCAGCCGCACCTGCACGCTATGTTCAGCCCTAACAGCAGCAGCGGTGGAGGGAGGGGAAGCGGTAGAGCAGGTGTAAGGGGCGGCATTGGTGGGACTTTAGGGGGTGAGCAGGTGCAAGTGCCATGCATGCGTAGTGCATGCAACGGTGGTGACGGGGCCTCAGGAACCCAGACGTCCCAGTTGCCGCCGTCTATGCATGCCATATTTGGCTCAAATATCTGGGGGGGAAGCAGCGGCAGCAGCAGTGCCGGTAGAGGACGATTGGGCAATGGCGGGAAATGGGCCGCACCTGATCGGGGACGAGGGAGGGTGAATAAGGGTGGCAGGCTTGCAGCAATGAGACACTAAAATGAACGAAAGATGCAGTGTTGGTTTCACTGCACTGCGGCGACAAGATTGGTATGACACAGGTTCCAACGTTGGGAAACTGACACCAAGTGAACACATCGGTGGCGGCAGAACGTTGAGCCCGTGCCGAAAAGTCATTGAATTGGGATTCTAATGTTAAGAAGCTCGTTATGTCAATTTTTCAGGGCGATTGGAGAGGGTCGACTTTTGAGGTACCATGTTTCGCGTGGCGTTTGGGTTCGAGTGTGGTCGGAAGGGGGAATCCAAAAAGTTGAGGTTGTCCATTCCAAGCCAAAATTTTTGTTTGTGCCCTTTGTTGCTGATCGAAAAGGCCTGTAACAAACTTTTCAGGACGCGGGCTGCTTGGCAGACGTCCATGTTGAGACATGTCATTATGCCCGGTATGCCATGGCCAAGGTCGACCGTTTACACTCAACTCTTGACGCTAGTCAAGTTTGACATTGTAAACGAAATGACGCACATCACAGCTCATGGCATCAGTTCAGGGTGCGGGTTACCAGTATGTCTATGTGTATGTCTATATGCATGTATGTTACAGGGTGGTATAGCTTCACCAGCGGCCCCCTTTCCCGAGGCAGTTCCCTGCTCTCCTCTGCGAGAGGGGCACCCTAATCCATTCACCCCATCCGACTTTAGAATGTATTCGTTGGGTTCAGCAACTCACCACCAGCATTCAAACAAATCTAGCGGATAAATGGCGCCGCAACCTATATGTATGGCTGCTGTACGTTCCGGACGATCCACCTTGAATGCCAGCTTCCCTGCTCGAGAGCAAAGATGGGTAGGCCTGTACCAGAGTCCTCATTACCCTGAACGCTATTACACCTGGTAGGAAGCTAGCTGGGGGACAGAGCCTTACATGATGGAATCTGTGTTGGAATAAGGCACTGACGTTGCATGCGGCCCCCTGACCCACGGGTTGGTAACCTTTCTAGCTCGTAAGAGGAGCGGTGACAGTACTCAGGTGGCACACCATGCAGTGTGCACCAGGTGCACCTTGCAGAGGAACATTACAATGTGCCGTGGATAAGAGCAAGGCTGTTCAAGCAGCTGTCAGCAATTTAAGTGGTGGCAGCATCCAACCATGCAGCATATGTCCACCGAACAACACGTGCATTGCCACCTTTCCCCGAACTTAACCAGAGGATGCCAAGCCATCATTGCCCCACCAAACAAATATCCATGTATTCCATTGCACACTCCATTCCCCAAGCCTTGCATCCCACACACGGATAATAGCTGCTTACATCAACGAGGCACATCCTGGGTCGTTTGCAGCAAGGTGAACCCCTCGCGCATGCACTGCTGCCATGGTGCAAGAGCAGCAACCTTCCGTGACTGCTCGCCGCAGCCACATTCTGAGTTGGCCCCTCCAGCAGAGCGACCTGGCGGACATGAAATGCTACAGCACACTCAACTTCACTCTGAATCAACACCAACTCCTCCTTGGACCGCGCTTCCTCCTGCAGCACCCGGCGCAAGCTTGCCTCCAATCGCAGCGCCCCATGGTTTGACTGTGCAGCCCAGGGATACCACTGTGCGTTGAGAGCCAGGCCTAGCGCTCCCTGCACGGCCGATGCTTGCCCAAGCTCCGGTGTTACCGATCCAGGTACAGCACTCCAGCTAGTAAGTTTCTCCCAAAGCTGCACAAACCGTTGCCTAGCGCGCCTTTCCTCCTTAATGGCAAGCTGCTATTGATGCCGCGAGTCACTGCTGCTATTGTCGACCTAAAAAGCCTCGGCTACGCGTTGCAGTTTTCTAGACCTGAAGAAAGTGTGGCGGCCCAACCCGCTGGTCTCCACCACGCCAGCGCCGCCAGGCCGCACAAAGTTGAGGCGCTGCTGGGAGGAACCAGACGTTCCAAGCCCATCCGCCGCATCGTCTGCCTCAAAGTTTACGGAAATGGCCTCAGGAGGCTCTAGCATCCTGCAATGCGGGACTAGAACAGGTCAAAAGCGATTCGAATATGATTTACCCTCGGCGCGTAACTAAACTGGAACGCAAAACTTACCTTGCACATGTTTCCCAGCTGTGTCGCACCAGCGGCGGGAAGCCAAGCACTGGGTGAATGTGCTCCTTGAGCCACGCCACCGTCGTTGCGTCGCCTGGATACCCCGTGCCAACCTCGCCTTGCAAACCCAAGGCCTGGAATGGTGCGATTCGCAGACGGGAAAAGTGCGACAGGTAAACATCGGAAGCAATTTGTGAAAGAATCGTCTCAAGGCAGGTTTACCCGCAGAAATGTGTGGGATACAAGCGGTCAGCCGAGCAGGAAACTGGCCCATCCATGTACTGATATGCCAATCCCAGGGCCGCGCCATTCCACGAATTTCTAAGTGTTTAACCATAGCTACATGCTGAGGCCCAGTACCTACAAAAGGCGCTAAAATTAAGGAAGATCTGTTTCCTCTGGATCCGTGATGCGCAGTGAGACGCCATGTGTTGGGAAGGGGCATACCTGTCGACAGTCAATTAAGGACTTGTCCCGGATTACTTTCGCAATAATACTCGCAGCGCTAACAATTGGATAGCTGCACTCAGAAAAAATGACAGGGTTTGGGGCGGACAAAGCTTAGCAAGATGCGCGGGAAAACGCTGCAAAGCTTGCAGGGAAGGTCGAGCAAAAGACTCGGAGAGTACGCCTGTAAACAGTGCAGCCCAACAACAGCCACGCGTCGCCTTTGTCCTCCGAAAAGCAGCGTTCCGTACGCAAGGGCGGACGCCGTGCCGCAATCTTACAGCGAGTCTGCCTTGGGGCAGACGGTGAAGCTTATGCCCGGAAAGGCGCGGCTCAGTCGCTCGCTGTGGCGGTCCGCATCTCCAACTGTGTCCACGTAGACCTGGCGAACCAAGGCACAAAGAGCCGAATCCACTTTTAATGCCAAGCAGTGTGTACTAATGCAAGCCGAAATCGACCTGAGCCGGGATGTACGGCAAGGCCCAAACGAGTGCCGCTGAGTCAGTGATCCATTCAGGCCAGCTATCGGAGCAGTTTAAAGACAAGATGCAAGGGAATCCATGTAATTGCATGCGCCGTTTTTAGCGGATTGCCGGCAGACAGAATCAGGATAGGAAGCTGTATCCCGAGTGCGTGAGCAACGCTGGCTTACGCTAGGCAATGTCCCTCAGCAACTCCACCCAGTACGCGCCAGCTTTCATGGCGCACCTGCTTCACGCTCGCGCCGCTTTCGAGGGCCGTGCGGATCACATGGCAGGTTGCATCGAACGCCAGGGAGTTGAGGCTGACCTTATCCCTGTGCGCGCGCGTGTAAACGGCAGGGGGAAACCTCATTTGGCTGCCGCCGGGTGGCCACTGGCTTGGGCGCCCTGTTCGACGGGACGGCAACTCAGTCGCCCCTGTCCCGTTCCAGGATTCGCCAGTTACCCAGCAGCCAACAGGGACCCCCTTGGGATAATGCACCCACCTGCCAAGCATATTGTGGCTGATGTGCTGTGCTGACATGATGTGGGCCACCCACCCAACACTTGTGTTGGCATCGATGGCTCGGAAGAGCTTTTCGCGAGCTTCATGCGTAAGCGTCTTTGAGTCCGCATATCCCCTGCAAAGCGGCGTTGAATTCGTCCCCCATTGAACAAACACATACAATGCATGAAATTTTGACACCCTCTGCATTACTGATGTAGCCGACATGGAGGTACAATCCGCACAGCAACCGACAAGTGCACCATGGCTCACATACACACCTCACACCTGCCGGAGATATCAGAACTCAAAGGGCAAAACGCACTTGCGTAAACCATTGGGCCCAGTACGGGGCCACGGCCGGCTTCATCTGGTCAGAGGGGAAAGCCGCGCCAATTGAGTCGGTTGGCAAGTTCAATAGAGCAGCCGCCTAATCCTTAAGCCCGAGACTGAGCCATAACGTGCCTCACCTACACCTAGGATGCATGGCGACCGGATCCAGTCCTCGTCGCCGCGCACTTGACTAACAACTCTTGTGCCCGCGACACACGAAAAATCCCTTGAAGAGGCATTGCAGTCGCCCATTAGTATGTTATTTGCTAATGCTTAAGGTTAAAGAACAGTAAAGGCAGGTGTAATACAGAGCCAACCGCAGGATAACTGCGAGTCTCGGAATGCTGTGCCTGCTCATGTACGGGGACCTCTTCCTGTCTCGTTGTCTCCAAATGCATAGGGAGTACCATCTTTTCAACTGTCCTGACTTTTCACTAGACAGGTAATCCCTTATGCTAATTTTCCAATATCGCACTTCGCGTCCAAAAGCAGTTGCCGTCCTGACTATAACAATTGTAGTCTTCGCTGATTCCCGTCCTGTAAACTAGCTCCGACAAACCATGTTCCCATATTGGCAATTTATTGTGGGCACCTGAAAGGGGAGTTACAGTACACGCTAAAGTTGCGGACAAATGCATACAAACTTCTCGATGCACCGCGTCAAGGTCTACAAGCTGAATGTGGAAGGGCAGTGGGAGGATAAGGGTACCGGGCATATTAGCGTGGAATACATGGAGGTGCGCTCGGCGGCGGAAAGGGTTCTTGACCGCGCTTTCCATGGGTCGCCTCCGACATCGCGTATGTATCATGGGTTGCCGGAGATTATCCACTACCTTACGGCTGTGTTATGGTCATGGTGCCGCAACTTCTGCAGCAAGCGCACGCGATGGGGCTTGTGGTAATTTCCGAGGAGGAGAACGGGAAGACGCTGCTCGTGCATCAAATATCACGCGAGGACATTTACAGCCGCTCTGGTGGTGAGGGTGTCCAAGCCAGCAATTTAACGTTAACTTGCAGAAACTGACCGGCGCCGTTGAATGCAGAGTCGACAATTATCACGTGGCACGACGCAGAGATATCGACAGACGTTGCAATTAGTTTTCAGGAGCAAGTTGGATGCGATCACATCTGGTAAGCGGGTTGCCTGGACGTGGTCGCGGTGCGACGGTGGCCATATTATGAAGGGCTTTTCCCGTATGCACGCCAGGCAACAAATCAAGCAGGTTCAGCAAGAGGAGCATAGAAGACATCAAGGTAGGCAATGGTACTATTCGCTTCAAGCGATTCCTGGGACCAAAGATCGAGCATTTCGCAGATCACGAGCGGGGCCGTAAGTCAACTGTCGACGAGTACGACCAGCCGACTACAAGTGGGGCACATATCGGGAATGGTAGGTGTATGGGGCTTGCAGGAGCGCGAGCTGGCGGATTTGGAAATCGATCCCCGTCACCTCGCAGGGGATTTCTTGGAAAACGAGCTGGAGCTCCCGGCGCCAGAAAGACGCAATTTGGAGGACGTTGCAAAGGTGTGGTTCTCCAGCCTCAGGAGTATGGTCTGCAGAAGTAAACAGGACGGATTAAGAACGCGTCGGCCCAAACCCGCATGGCATGCAGGCTCTTTCACATGTTCCACCGTTCCAGAGGGATCGGGTAGCAGCACAATTGATGAAACAGAACTACCTCCCAGCGTTACTGGACCAGTTCAAGGTGAGCAGGGCTTCACTCTTGGAGGGTAAAACAGCCCAGGCCAGTGATGATGAACCTTCGTGCGGTCGCTACAGTTGGGCGCGCGGGAAAGAAGGTGTTTTTTAATGTTGATAGATGTAATCGTCGTGTTAAATGAGCGTGCGGGCGATCTAGTCAGTTATGTTGCCCTCTTGCATCCACGGTGGTTCCCGAATTGCTCATGCAGCAATGCGAGGACCTTGAAGATAGCGAAGGGCTTTCCCACATGTATACTATCGTGCGGAGCGCCATAATGTTGAATGATAGCAGCGTGCTGGAGGAGATGCTTCGGGAGGAGCACGTAATGGACGTGCTGGGAGCTCTGGAGTATGACCCGGACGTGAAGCAGCCCCAGAAACACCGGGATTTTCTGCAGAGCCATGTGCAGTTCAAGGTGCGGGGAATAGAGACGGCGACTGCCGGCCCGGTGCATTTGCGGACAGAGTTTTCGTTCATATGCGTCGGGCTCGATGGTAATCGACGGGATCTTGGGAATGGATTCCTTGCTGACGAGTATAAGCGGCGCATAAGCTACCCAGGTTGTGCGAATAACTTCGGGAAACAATATGCTGCTAGCCAATCTAGCTCCGTTGGTCCACCCAGCCGTGGATGTCACGTTTAGAGGAATATATACCTTTATATGGCTGGTGTACCTTAGAAGCCCGCATCATGATTGCTGTTACCATGACTCATCTTTGGTTAGGTTAACGGACTCCCCGCGTGTGTGCGCCCAATTGCGTGGCGAGTAACCTAACCATGCTGCTTTCAACACTTTGCTGTGTAGGAGGTAGTGCCCATCACGAATCCGCAGATCCTTGCTAAAATTCACCAAACTTACCGGATACAATATCTAAAGGACGTTATCCTCCCACGGTAAGTTTCAGGCCACTTAGATGGACCTGGAGAGGCCCAGTATTTAGGATAGCCCTGGCTTTGTGATTTGTCCTTATGGCGAAGGTGGCAGTTTTTATCTGTCAAGGTAGTGGTTCATGCATGCTTCGGCAGCTTCGCGTCGTCCTGTAATCTTCGCTATCAGCATCGGCCGAGTTGCAGTCGGGTCGGTTTGTAGCCTTGGGTTCTTGAATGATTCCGTCGTTCCATGGGGCAATCATAGATTTTGGATGAGTGCAGCTTGGCGGGCAAATTCCAAAATGCACAGCCGCTTGCCATCAGACCCATGTTTGTGCGGTATGTGGTGTTCTTGTCCTGTACGACATCCTGTCCTGAGTACCCAAGCACTGCACGGAAAATATGCTGGCCCGACTTGCTGTCTGCATGCGATGTGGCCAGGTCCCTTGACGACGCGACATACGCCACGCTGTCCTCGCTGGCCTTGTTTAATAACATGGAAGTTGTGGGCGCGCTCATGGCGGACGCTAGCTTCCTGCCCCAGTTGTTCCAGCGGCTGCAGCAAACGGACCCCAGCGATGCCCAATGGCATGATTTGGTGGCTTTTCTGCAGGTACGATGATTTGCTCCGGCTTACGGAAAGGTTGAATTATTTATTTTAGAGGGTTGCCATGTCAGCAGTGATTTTGAAAGTGGTTGCTAGTGACCAAGTGGTTACTGAGAAAATAATTCATTTCCAGGAGACCACCTAATATATTTTTTGACGCTTGGATGGGAGCAGTGATGCTTCACTGAGCTCGGCTCGGGACGCGTTGCCGTACATAAGACGGGTTCTATCTGTACATACTTCCGGCCAAAATGTTCTGTACATACATCCGTGTAAACAAACAAATCAATACATAAGCGTCGTCTTGGCTGTTCAAAGCCGTGGATGAGCGTTGTGAAGTTGGATCTTCGCATGCATGGTTATAGTTGGCTCCTGTTCAGCATACTCGCTGCTTAAAAATATTTGTAAGGTGGTTACCAAGGAAAATCTCCAGAGTAACCACTTGGTCACTAAAAAATTACCACGGTGAAAGAGTTTTAAAATTACTGCATGTCAGGGTTTCATGCCATGGTGTGACGACGTGAGATGTAGGGTTTAGGGGCATCACCTCTTAAGGGTCTTGTACTTAAATGACATGGTCTGCGTGTTTACCGGTGTACCGCCCTCTCCGTCTATGCCTTAATGAACCGATCTTCACAATAACTGTCGAAATTGCTTCCGACAACCAGGAGTTCTGTAGCTTGGCGCGTCATCTGCAACAGCAGCAGCGGGGCTCTCTTTTCAACAGGTTGATCCAATTGGGTTTGTTTGAGGTAGGTTTCTGTGGGATGGTGGGAATCTAGGAACAGCGTACATTCGGTCTCTGTGTTTAGTTGTGAAGCCGTTGCGGACTGTAGCCAGCCAGTGAGCGTCGAGTCTCCCACGTGAAAGGGCGGAACCGGTTGCTTTCTAACAGGGCAACACTGGAAAGGCTAGATGAAGCTGAGGACGCCACAGCTGGGAGCTTCCGTAAGGCGTGGCGTGCTGATTGGTAGGCATTGTGCGTTGGGGTTGTGAGTTGCCGAGCTGGACTTTTTGGGTGTGACAGCTGGAGCACAACCTTATCCGGCATGGCGGTGTTGCTGCTGTTGTTCGACCAGGTCGTGACGCGGATAATGCTCCACAGCGCGGAGGACGTTAAGCTGAAAGCGACGGACATTCTTATGTCCTCGATGCAACATGATGTCCTGGCGCTACGGGAGTTCCTCTACAAGCAGGTGATGGCTGTTGCGAGCATTGTCAGGCTGGGAAGGCGAACTGTTGGGTTAAAGCCTAGGATTGGCCTGTCTTTTACGTGGATAAGATGAAGCTGGGGAAGCTAAACCGGCGGGGATTATCGGGTCCCACTTCACAGTGTCTTGTCGAAAGACTACGCGCAAGCCTGACGCTACCTTCTGTGTTTTACTATCTCATTGCAGCCAGAGCACACACTGTTCGGATTGCTGGTACACGAGCTGTCGGATGGGCGGGACACAGGGCTAGCAGAGCAGGTATGCTAAGATATTTGCCCTTGAGACAGGGATGCTATTTCGCTAGGGACAGAAGCGCCTGCTACGGGGCCCACCACTATGCGCATATCAAACCGATATTGGAGTGTGACGCCGTGAGTGTGAATTCCATTCTTTTCTTCCGATCCTGTGTACACGATTTTTGGTGCTGTTTCCCTCGAGCGTACGGTGGCGGCGTTTGCTTAAAATGGCATCAGGGCCAAACTCAATGTGAAGAGTCGGAACTGTTTCCCGTCGTCACGATAACCTCCCTCAGGTATGCGAGGCCATTAAACTTCTCATGGACCCCGACAATATGGAACAGCCTGTGGAAAAAAACGAGTTCCTCGAGGTGTTTTATGATAAATACCTTGACAAGTTGATCGGTGTCATTCTCAGGTGAACCGTCGTTTACAGAAGGGTGGCGCTGGGCGGGGTGGTAAGGGTCATGAATGCGCTCACTTCGGGCTGCCGCTGCCAACTTGGGGGACGCATAAAGCCTCCTATTGGCATCTGACGTAGGCCTGCTAATGCATAATGTCCTGATCGCAGCGACTCGAGCATTAACTCGACAGGAACTCGCGCGGTGCCGGCCACGACGCTGGGCCTCATCCTGGAGCTGCTCAGCTTTTGCGTCCAGAACCACTCATACCGAATACGCTATTACACACTGCGGAATCATTTGGTTGAGAAAGTGCTACGGCTACTGCACAGACGAGAGCGATGGCTGGTTTGCGCCACGGTGCGCTTCATGCGGGTCTGTGTCGCCTTGAAGGAGGACTTTTTTACCAGGTAAGCAATGACTGCAACTTATGATACAATCCATGGGATCCTTGGGCTTATGTTGTACCAAGCCGCTGTCCTGAGAGGATGTAGCCGGCGCATACTGTTGGTGTGGTTAGCCATTTTACCTCCGGCGGTCTGAGGTCATGGATCCGTTCCGTGCAAAGCACGAAGTCTGTATGACTGTCTATGGGTTGTAGACCTCCGGAGCAGCAAAGGTTTTGGACTGCCGTTGATAACGAGTTCTATGCTCTTTTTGTGTTAACGTGTGATATGCTTAACTGAAACAGGTATTTGTTACGGTACAATTGCTTCGGGCCAATCATGGTGGTCTTCTTCGAAAACGGCGAGCGTTACAACTTGCTCAACTCCGCGGTTCTGGACCTAATTGATTATATTCGCAAAGAGAACATTAAACCAATTCTTGATCATCTGGTGAGTGGCAGTGCACTCCGAACTTGTTCTAGATAGTACTTATCATCCCACCTGACTAGCACTGACGGCGGCCTACATGAATACTAGATAGATGTATGACCTGGCGCCATTAGCCTCTGACCCCGTGTACTTACAACTGTGGCAGGTTGAGACGTACGGCCATCGCTTCGATGAGTTGACTTACGTGGAGACATTTAAGCAGCTCCGGTTGAAGTATGACCAGGCTCCGGAAAGGGCTGGCAGCACCGGAAATGGCACTAATGGGCGCGGCGATGAAGAGATGACGGACGCATCAGGCTCAGCAGGGCCTCATGCCGGATCGGCAGCTGCCAACCTTCGGGGACGGACTTACGTCTTCTCGTCGACAGGAATGTCGCACCAAACACGGGTGGCGGCGCAGCACGCACATGGGCGAAGGAGGAGGCGGGACGACAGGGAGCCCGGTGAGTCGTGGCGGCGCGGCTGAGCATGTTTTTGAAGGCAGCAAGGACCTTGATGCCTGGTGATCGATCTTGTGACAACAAAAGGGAGGTGGACAAAGGCTTGCTTTGGGCCACCAGTAATCGCTAGCACTATGTAGTGCATAGAGCCTTAGTGACAAAGCATTTTCCCCCCTGATAACGGCATGCAGACAAAGACGAGGAGGATTATTTTAGTGAGGACGCGGACGACGAACAGGAAGAAATGCACCGGTCTCATGCGCACAAGCAGCAGCACCATCCAGAGCAGCAGACCATACGCGACAGCGTCAAGGGGAGCAGCAGCATGCATGCGACGGACCTGGGGACGAGGAACGGGCCACGCGGAAATGGCCGTGACGGGGAAGGGTACAGCGGAGCTGGCGGCACAGACGGATGCGGGGTTACAGGTGCAAGGGGCGGGATGGCTGGTGTGGCATCTGGGGGTGGCGGGACACAGACAGAGCCAGCGCTGGCGGCAACAGCCCCCTTGGCGTCATCGCACGCAGCTAGGTCAAGCACGGATAGGTCGGGCGGTCTCCAGGCTGACGGGCAGCAGCAAGGCTTGTTAGGTAGTGCACAGCACGAATCGTCACGACAGTGGCCTGGGCTGGTTGATTACGATGACGACGACGACGCAGCTGTGGGCGAAGAGGGCAATCATACGACTATGGCAGAGCCGTCACTGCGTCAGCAGCAACAGTTGTTGGAACACAGACAAGGGCCTGGCAACGGTCCAGTTGGCAGCAGTGGGACTGGCCGGAGCCCAAGTCTGGATCTGGGGCGGAGGGCCCGAAGTGAAATGGAAGACAGTAAAGTAGATGGAATGGAGGAAGGCAGTGCGGCGGGAGGTGTGCAAGACCAGCGGAAACGACTACGTAACGAGGATGCTGGTTCGCAAGGCGGATCTGCACAGTGGTAGCGGGCTGGAGGCCGGTTCTACGTAGGAGGGGCCAGCGGTTTCCGGAGCCTTGCCGGTGACATGATGACCAATGGTGTCATATAACGTTTGGTCCGTCAACGTCCGTTTGGCTCTGGAAGGGTAGCCCAGCAAATAGATTTGGGTACACTGTTGGACAGCGTGGTTACAGGGTGCATTCGGAGCGCTGACCAAGGGAAAACCTGTGCTACAGAGCACTTGGGACGGGATTTCCAACACGGTTATCTCCTGTGCTGGCGGCAACTGTGCCAGTTGTTAGTGAGGCGGCTTCTCGGATGTCGTTAGGGTGTGTGGCTTTTACTATCTGTGGGGAAAGTGTGAGCGCTGCATATAAGCATAAACATGTGAATGATATAGGATTACAGATAGCATGCGCGCACGCAGACCATACTGCAGCGAAGCTGGGTGACCGATGTGCTATCAGCTTAGGGTGCGTTGTAGCAAATACGAGGAAATTCCCTGTCACTGTTGTGACGTCACTGCTGGTCACTGTTTCACTGTCGTGACGTCACTGCACGAAAGTCGACTTTGAATAGACGGAGTATCTGTTGACGAGGAGCTCCAGGTTTCAAACCACAAGGAGACGGACAAGGCGATGAGAATGCACTGCTGTGGGAAGCTCGTGACGTACATAAACTACATGGCGATGCATGCACCTGCAAAGCCGTGCTCTTTGTAATGGCGCCGTGGGCGCGCTGGGGCTTATTGCGATGCCGACGCGCCCAAATGCATGGGGTCGGTGACACGGGGTGCAAAACCATACCCAATCTTGGAAAAAACTTAGTGATTGCCATGAAGGGGTACATGACAATTGAGCTCAAACGCCCGCCTGAAACTATATGACATGGTAGATGAGAGCAGAGCACCTCATCCCTCACCGGGATTCCGATTCCACCCTGAACACCATGACCACCAGTACACGAGTCAGTGCAATCGTTGCGTACATTGTTCACTTACGTGCTTATCGGGGAAAGATGCACCACATGCCGTAACGCTGCGCTATAGATTATATCGCGGCTGTTCTCCGCTTATCAGATGACGTCACGGTCCTAAGCCGCCACACCCTTAGTCACTCGCTGCAATTCTCTCAGGGAAATGCTAAGTATGCTACGTATTCTGTCCATACCTGGCGCAGAATGCTGACTCAGCTAGCTACATACGCGCACGATCTACGATAGACCTCCTTCCCTTACCACATGTCCCGCTCCCCTCTTCCCTTCCCTAATATCTATCGGCTCCCAAGTCACGACGCTCCAAGCTGGATTGTCCGTATCGCGGGTGCCCCCCCTCGCAGCGCGCTCCCCGGCCTGTCTCCACCAAAGCGTGAGCCGGGGCCCCTATGGCTAGTGCTACCGCTCCGCCCGCTGCCAGCGCTGCCCTGCGACCGCGCTGCGGACACTGGCCGGCTGCCGGACGCGGAAGGCGGTGTGCTGTTGCCCGACGGCAGGCGGATGCCCGCCGCCTCGCAGGCCTCCAGGATGCCCACCCCGGGATTAGCACCCGCAAGAGCCTTAAGCTCCAGCAGCATGGCGCGCGTGACGTCACGAATCTGATGGGGCGGAGGAACCGTGCACGGGACAAGGGCCGTTTGGAGATGTGCAACATTGCTTGGAAGCTCACTATCTCAGGAAGGCGGGATCTTATCAGGAGTGTTGGCCATGTACGCCTGCACCACGTTCATGTTGGATTGCATTGCAATGGCTCGCTGGACCTCACCTCCGCTAGCTCAATGTCCTGTCCCTGCGGCGAGTTGGCGATGCCTAATTTGTTCCGCAGTCGATCCGTCCGTGTCAAGGCTCGCTGGAGCTTGTCGCGCTGCTCATCTAATTGCCGCACCTGCGTTGAAACAATCATAAGACGTATTGCATGGGGAAATAAAAGCTTCTACAGATAACACTCGAGTATGGTTCAGCTGCTCCACCCCTAGTCGCTACTGTATTTCAGCGAAACCCGCAAGAACCAACACTTGCAATTAACCGTGGGAAAGGCAGCTATTTTCAACCCTTTTTGTCTGCCCAGCCGAACTCCGCCCCTACCGCCTCAGTCTTGCGCCGTGACATGTCGTCCACTAGGCCTTGCAGCGACCGCTGCTCTTGCGCCAGGTTATTCAGACGGGCCTCGGCTACCTGCGCAAAGCAGAAGGGCGCTCAAACGATTGCCTCAATCCAAGTGCAGACCAGGCCATCAGCAGGGGCCCGCAAATACCACAGATGTGCATAAGGCCCACAGCTGTCGATGGAGAAAACAGTCGCCAGGATCCCATGCCCGGCCTGCCTGGATGTCGCCAGCGATGGCCGCCTCATCTGCTCGTCGCGCCTTCAGCTTGTCGTACGCCTTGTCAAGCTTTTCGCGGAGAGCCGAACGTTCCTCAAATGCCTCTTTGCTGCTCACCTACATGAGATGATACGCAGCGGGATACGTGTCGTTACCGGGCGGCCAGATCGGGGGGCTAGACGTGGGTGGGATTGGAAGTGCCATGTGCGAGCCTGCGCTACGGCGGTACAAGGGCGATATTGAAGTCGTCGACTCATTTGCGCAAGCCTCTGAAATAGCCCAAGTTTCCTTGTGACCCGCTTTCTAGGCAAGATGCCAACTCACCTTCTTGTACGAATGCGAGAAATTTGTGTTACAGGCCATGAGCTGGGCCAACGTGGCTTCCAGGGCCGCGACCTCTTTCTCCGCCACGCGAATGCGAGCATCTAAGTCGTCACCCTCCCGCTGAAGCGCCTCTCGTTCCTGTGCTGCCTTGATGACGAAGTAGGCCTGCGGGAAATGCGACAGCAGCAGTATGAGCAGTGTCAGCAGCCGCGGCAGAGTCAGGAACGGTCACCTAGGCACTTTAATCAAGACGACAATGGTGGCATGAGTGAAATTGGGGCTTTACAAGCCAAACACAGCTGTGTGTTTGTGTGGATATGCATAATCGCGACATCAGCGCCTTGGGACGGAAGGCGTGTACGCGCATTGCATTTCAGTGCTGAGGCGTGATATGTGCGTTTGCGAGAGTTTATTCCTGGCTCACAACGGCGAGAGGCATTGCACCCACGTCAAACCCATGGCCAACCATACGCACCTGCGTCCGTTCTTCACCATCCTCCTCCGTGGCTCCCCTGTTCTTGGCCGACATAATCTCAAACTTGGCTTGCAGCTTTTCGCAGCGCAATAACCGCTCCTTGAGCTCCAGCGTGATGCGGTGCACGTCTTCACGCAGCAGGCGCAGCTCCGCGCGGAGACCATCCCTGCGACCAGAGATCCGCCCCATGGTCGCGTCGGAGGGGCGTTGCGGAAGCAATAAGGGCCCGTGTGCAAGGTGTGCACGACGTTTTGGAGGTGCCGGTCTGGTCCCTTGGTCTGTGCTCCCGGGGGTGAGGACACAGCGCTGGCACGGCCTCCCACACATTTACATGTGTGTATGTCACACCTTGAGTTGCGTTATTCTCCGAAGGTGCACCGGAGTCATACGAGCCGGAGGCCCAACGGCCAGCCTAAGGCTGTCCGAAATAGGTAACATAAAAAAGCCATAAGAAAAACTATTATCCTATAACTCAACGCGGGAAAGAAAATCGAAGTAAAAAAATAATTGAGCCACGAGAAGGACGGCCCCTTAGTGCGACGCTGAAGGCTGTTCCATCACGAAGCTGCTTCCCGTCCCTGTCCCCCGCTTCACTGTCTTCGAAAATCTTTCAATCCGATTCTGAGCGCAAGCTTCGCTGCACTGTTGCCTCATTCACCCTCCCAGTCCTGCGGCGTGCTTGGAACGATGGTGAACCTTTGTCCGTCCCAGCCCACCTGTGAACCTCCACCTCCTGCTTTCGCTCTTCCATGGACAGCGCCAACTGGGCCTTACGGTTCTCCAGGCTAAAGACCTCGTCCGCATGCGCTGCTAGGATGTCCCGCAGCCGCTTCACTTCCAGAGCCAACACGTCATGGTCCACTAGCGCCTTCTCGCGGGACTCCACAGCAGCCTTGACCTGCGTAGTGTTTGTGTTGCGTTGGGTCGTAACGTGACGTAGGGTGGAAACAGGTTGCCTTCCTCTACTGTGTAATTTTTCCCTTCCCTACTACTCCTGCAGGTTTTCCATTGAATTTACACGCCCGACTCTACGCGCTCCACGCGTTGAGGCCTCATCAGGATCCGCTTCCATTTAATTTCTATGCACCCAAGCGCAGGCATCCTTCCATCCCGCACCTGCCGCGCCACCATGTCGTTCTCAAGTTTAAGCGTGGAGATAGTTTCATCCAGCTTGGCTTTATCCGCCCGCAGCGCGCCATTGGTACGCCGAGCCGCCAGCAGATCCTCCTCCGCCCGCTTGACCTGCTCCATCAGCATGCTGTGCTCTTGGCACACGCTATCTAGGATGGACGTCAGCTTCTCGATGCGAGCATTCAGCGCCCGAGTCTCCTCCTCGCTACGCACACCGCCCGCACGCGCCACCTTGCGCTCCATCTGCTGCAGCTGAAACTCCACGTTGTACAGCAGCTCCTGTTGCCGTACGACTTGCTCGTCCAGGGTGTGAATGCGCGCCGCCAGGTTCTTGTTCTGGCCCTGGCCGCCACTGCGGACGAATGCGAGGAGGAAAGGGGAAAATGCGCGGGAGCAGGGCGAGGGCCGGGGCCCCTCGGTCAACGAGGTCACAATGGAAGGAAAGGGCCGTACGGCCGAGATGGTGTCGAGTCAGCTAGCTTGGCGTGGAACAGCAGCCGCGAGGGGGAGAGCACTGCAGGAGAGGTTGGGACAAGGACGTGCGACTAGTCAAAAGCGTTGCCCGTCCCTTACAGCCACGTGCCCTTCCCCTTCTTATGCATCCATAAGCCCACCCTGGTTCCTTCCCTCCCAAACGTATGTACCTGATTTCGCTGATGAGCTCGCGCTCCTTGGTTCGCAGCTCGAACAGCACCTGGCTCCGCTTGTACTGCTCCTTCTTGAGCAGCTCGTGCTCCTTGAGGACGGCCCGGAGACGGGCCTCCTCGCTCCTGCGCAGCGCCTCCAACTCAGCGGCCTGTGGTGGAAAGGCGGAACGGTAACAGGAGGGTATAAGAAAATGCGTGTGTGGGCCGGATTTGGTTCATGGCCAAGAAAGGCTGCCTCTCCCTGCTTTACTCCCTTCCCTGCCTTGCACCGACTCCATCGCCTGCGCCGCCCCGAGCCCCTTGCCATCCATCCGCTCACGTTCCCGTTCGCCTCCAGCCCCTGCCTCCAGCCCCTCACCCAGCATCCTATCTTTTCCCCACCTTCGCCTCCATAGAATCAAGATTGGAAAACTCGTTCTCCAGTTTGCGTTTCAGCACAGCAAACCGCTTGCGGGCGGCATCCAGCTTTTGACTGCACCGCGGCAGGAGAAAGGGACAGGAAAGTGTAAATGTGGCACGAACAAGTCACGCGAGTAGGATTGCAAGGCTGACGACGCGTGGATGCAGGAGGAGCTCCCTTGGTGTTGAAGGACAAGTCCATGGAGGAAACCATGCTATGGGCCTCGGCCGTCAGGTGCTGCTACGCGAGCGCGGGCGCTTGTGTCCACGAAAATCCATGTCATCGCGTCAATGCCTAACCAGACAGCGTGTCCCTCCAGCCAGCCAACCTGAGCCATATACCCGGCACCAAAACCATCCACTCAGCCGTCCTTCCCGTTGTCCTAAAACGCCTGCTCTCTCACGCCACCCTCCCCCGCCCACCCAGCCGCCTACCCCGCCCAGCTCCCCCTCCCTTTGGTCTCCTACCGCTTCTGATCCAGCTCCTCCCTCGCGCCCTTGTTCTCCGCGGTCCGCATCGCTAGCTCCGTTGCTGCCTTTGACAAGGTGGCCTTAATCAGTTCCACCTGGTTGGCCAGGTCCTCCTGACGGGACTGCTCCCGGGACAGCATGTCGCGCTGCTTTGCCTGAGGGGTTGGAGAGAGCAGTGCGAGGACGGGGTTTAAAAAAGAAGACGAGGGAGGGAAGAAGGGCAGGGGAACGTGAACCCGGGACAACGCGGCGGGTGGGAGAGCAGGGTTTGGGGACGAGGAAAAAGGGAAGGAAGATGAAAGGCGAAGAAAGACATTTATCCGCCATAAGCTTTTTAGGTAGGGGTTGAGGGGTGGGATGCGGCTCCGTACCAACGAGCTCCTCCCTGTTCTCATGTTGCTGCAGCAGCGCACTCTTCCGCTCAGCGCCACTCACCACCTCTCGCTCGTAATAGGCCACCCGCGCATCCGCCTCCTTAGTGTTGAGCACTTCGTTTTCCAAGAAGCGCGCCTGTGCGTCCAGCTCCCGCTTTCGCTCCCGCAGCACCTCCTTCTGCATGGCAAACTGTTCGGAAGCTGCTGCGATGGCGGCGTCGCGATGGCGCATGGCCTCCACCGCCTCCTCCCATTGCCGAATGAGATCCTGCCGCTCCATATGCAGCTTGCGGAAGTCCTCGGCTGCTTTGTCCAACTGGATCTGGGCCGCTTGCGTCTCCACCACCTCCCCATCCAGCTCGTCCTTGCGGGCCACCACCTGGTGGGATGGGGTTGGGCCGGGGCGGGGCGCGGATTTGGGGAGGTTGACGGAGTTGACAAGGCAGACGCGCCCAACATGTCGGTAAATGAGCAGAAAGGTGAGCGGCAAGAGGTGAGGGGTTGGCAGAGGAGCTGGCCCCGGGAAAGGAAAGGAACGCTTGGGGGATGTGGGTGTGCGTGAGGGTGTGTGTCAACAATCGAAGGGGCTACAGAACGGACTACTCGTTTGTTGACAGAGAAATGTCAGCCCTACTGTCCAACATAAGCTACCTCTAGCTGCATTTTGTGGGTTGTGGCGGGAAATCAGTGCCGCAGCCTCCGCCAATGGCTCGGTGTGCGATTGATTGATTGGTTATTCAATCCCAATTTAAATTTGTTCCCCCCTACTTGGTCCTGCATTTTCATCTCTGAACCTGATCCCGTCTGCGAACGTACGACGCTGCTCGGCGTGAAGTTCCCCCTATCCTGCTCCGCACCTGTTTGCTGACCCTCTCCAGCTGAAGTGTCAGCTCCTTAACCTTGGCGTCATCCGCGTGGCGGTATTTCTCTAGCGCCGCATTATCCTCAGCCTGCCCGACGCGCAGTGGGAGACACAGCATGTAAGAGGCGACAGGGACGTGTCAGTCGGAGGCATGGCTCGGCGATGCAGGGGACATTTCGGGTGGTGCCGTTGGGCCATTCAAAGCTGCCGAGGATGCTTGGCATGCTGAGCACCAGCCGTTACGGCGACAATACGCAAGCCAGCCACCACACGCCTGGCGCTGGCTCCCTTCCCTCCAAGATTCCCTCTGCCGCATCCAATAAGGCCCGGCTTCTCCCTCCACAGTTGGAACCGGAAGTGCTGCGCGCATGCAGCGACTGGCACATCTTCCAGCCGGGTCTGACCCTTATGCGCATAGGGACGAATGCCGGGCCCAATCCAGCGAACAATGTACGCCCACCCCAGGTAGTATGCGTTGTCTGGGCTTGAGCATAAACATAAGAACCTTCAGATTTCCAGTCGGTGGGTCTTCTCCTACACGGCTGCTTTCGCTGCTCTGCTCAGTGCTGATGCCGGCTGGACCGGTGCTGCAGACCAGTCCCGCATTTGCCGTTACGCAGAAGCTGCCGCTGATTCCGGCTCAAGAGGCTAGGGGTTGCGGCAGCTGCTAGACCTCAGTATGCATAGCAGGGATCCTTGAGCGGCTTCTGCTGCAGGGAAACGAGCTGGGCTGCTGCGTGCGCTCGTAGGCAGTGTCAGTGCCCCACCGCCCTTCAAGTTGGATGCGGTCCCGAGTAGTCAGCGACCTGAGGACCATCCAGCAGCTGCCAATCCGTGCCGATCCACTCTTCCAAGAATGCTGCTGCAATCTCTGTTTGACCTGGCTTGTGCCTCCAAAGACCGTGCAAGCTGCTGCTGTGTGGCCATTCTTGTCCATGCAGCCACCAATCAAGGGCTATCAAGGGGAAACCTCCCGTGCTATCGCCTGCTCGCCTGCTGCACCACACATTGCTGTTGCAACACCGGCTCCTTCCCTGGATAAGCGTGCGAGCACAAACATATTCCAGACCTCATGCGCCCAGGACACCGTAGTGGACACAGTCCCACCCCTGCCGGGGTCCCCCTTTCGCTTCGCCCCAGACGCGCCTTCTGCCGCTCCGCTAGTGCCCACTGCTCCAGTTCCTCCTGGTTCCAGTTCATGAGCATTTTAAACTGGTCCAGCTTCTCGCTGTTCTTGTAGATCTGGTTCTGTAGGCTGTTAATCTTGTCCGCCAGTTCAGCGCGCTCAGTCGTCATCTTGGCCACGTCCTTACGAATACGACTCTGCAAGCGGAAGACAGGCAAATCAGAGCAGCCCAGATCTCCGGAGGTATAAAGCGTCATAGGGGATGCTGGCTCGATTGGTGCAGCTCCCTAGACACCCCCTTGAAGGATTATCGCTGGTTGACCCAGAACGAAACGCCCTCGGCATGGCCGCGGCTTGCGGCAGCATTCTCTAGGACCTCTCCCGAGCCCCGCTGTGTGCCGCTCACCGCTTCCCGCTCCGCCATGGCAGTTAGGTGCTTCTCACTTTCAATCTCCTTGTTCTTGGCCTCCACCTGCGACAGGGGGAGTTGACGCGGTCAGAGGACCCCACAGACTGCGTATTCCAGGGTTGAGCCGGGCCCCACCCCTACACTGCGCTAGGCGCTGGGAGGAAGCCCGCCTAGTTCTTTGCGTATTGCCTCCAGAGTGGAATACCCACCCGGGTCTGCGTGTACTTCAGCTCCTGTTGCACGTTCTTCAAGTGCTCGTCCATAATGTGCAGGCGGTCCATGTTCTGCTCCAGGGCGCGGTCTGTCCGCTCGAGCCTCCGCTCAAGTTTCTACGTGTCCAAGGCCATAAAGTGAATAAGGAGCTCATGAACGGAAGCGTCCGGCGGGGCCTGCGATGGTACCCTACCGCGTTCTCCACATAAAGCTTCTCATTCTCTGTCCCCCGTGCGAACGGGGGCAGGAATGACATGTCCACCTCTTCGTCATCATCAGCGACCTCTTCTGCAAGTCAATCATATGGGGTTCGCTAATTACTATGAGGGTTTAATCCAAAAAGTTGCATGCCGGCCTACGCACCGTCGACCCGATAGGGGTCAATGTTAGCCATGTTTTCTCGCAGTATCAGGGCAACAAGGCCCCGAAACAACGGGGTATCAAGTCGTTGTGCCCACGACGCTTAGAAAATAGTCCGCGGTCAGTAAGTTATGTTAAAACGATAAGCCTTCAGGAAATTATCAAAGTCTTACAGTTCTTCCCATTCTGGGGTAACCGTGACAGCCCTGCCTTGCTTGCTTGTTACATTGCACCCGTACTCACAGTACGGCGTCCCGCAACTGAGCGTGCAAAGGCGCCCAAGCTGTCGCAAACTGGTCCTCTCACTTGGCTGTGCCGCTCTGGTAGCGCGTGGAAAGATGCCGTTCAAGCGCTACGTTGAGATTGGCCGCGTGGCCCTCATCAACTACGGGCCTGAGTTCGGCAAGCTGGTAGTCATCACTGATGTTATTGACCAGAACAGGGTATGTTTATCTTTTCAGTAATCAATCATTCGTACTATGCCCAAATAGAACAGCAGAGCCGCCTGGCCGCCCGGCCGCCGCATTGCCGCCCTCAGCCTTTGTTTCAGTTGGAATTGAGAGCAGCCGCGTATTGGGATTACATCGTAGGATATGTGTCCGTGCTCGTAGGCTCTCGTGGACTTCCCCGACCAGGAGCGCCGTGTGGTAAACTTCAAGCGCCTGGCGCTTACAGACTTCAAGGTGGATATTAAACGCCATGCGCCAAAGAAGGACCTGAAGAAGGCCCTTGTTGAGGCTGGTAAGTACAGCTGGGCCTAGAGGACGGGCCGACTTAAAGGAGAGTTTGTGCGGCGCATTTGCCACAGCCCACGTTTGCCCCGGGAATTCCGTCACCTCGGCGGTTATTTGGCAAGAAGTTATAATTAGCAATTTGCTAAATGAAACTTAGGACGGGGTATGCAGCAAGAGCAAGAGCTTGACAGCAAGCTGAGCGTCATCCGGTTCGCTAAGGGGGAGTTCGAGCCTTCGTGAGAGGGCTTTGGAGGCTGTCCGGAAGAAAGCATTATGATGACTGTGCTATCCCTCCTATGAGAATTGATAACAGTACCCTGGGGGCCCGACGGGTTGAAAACCCGAGGTTCAGTACAGTCGGGGCCGAGGCTGTGATGAGGAAAGATGCATTGGAGGCATGGGTTTCAACCACTGCTCGTATGTGACCAGGGTATGGCGGTTGGCAGCGGTTGTTGTCAGCATGATGGTGGTGGGTTATCGTCGCCAGGATGCTTACTACAGGCATTAATTTGCGCAGTTAGATACCCCGCTTCGTCAGCTGTAGTCTATCGGTCCCAATTTCCCCTTCGGCCAGCTGGTTCATTTCAGGAAGTACTGGGAATGATATGTACGAGCTTTCGATCACCAGAGCAGTTACAGAACTCAGCAAAGAACCTGTCATGCAAGTGACTGGCTAATTAGGTCAAACGCTGCTGAGGGAGTCTGTTTTCAGCAAGGACACACGATGCGGGTACACGGTTGCACTTGTGTAATTCTCCACGTGTGTGTGATGCTTTTATGCGGGACCCCCATGGGACGGCGCTGTCCGTGCGGTTGGCCTCATATGGGGTCCTGTGGCGACGAAAGTCGTCTAGCGTATCTTTTTTATGAAGGTTGCTTAGCGATGAGGGGGACCTGCTTCATCCACATTTTCCACGCCGATTCCAGAAAACCAGCTGCTGCAAGCAGAGTCATGCTGTCTCCACTAGTTTTTCATACGCTTTTGAATGTCACGCTGTCTGGGTCTGAACAATGGAAAAACCTAGTCAAATTGAACTTTCCGTTCCTCACTCAGACGTGGTCGCCAAGTTCAAGGCGTCGTCTTGGGGCCAGAAGCTGGCCAAGCAGGCGGCAAAGGCCGAGATGACGGACTTCGACCGCTACAAGGCCACCGTCGCCAAGGCCAAGAAGGCCCGTGCCGTTCGCAAGGTCTTCAACAGCCTGAAGAAGTCGGCCAAGTAAGCGCGCTGCTGGATAGCGGCAATGCGTACTACCAGCGGCCGTCGTGGCAGTGGAGACAGGGTCTCGCGGCAAAGGTTGGCGTGGAGGCCAATGGCGATGTTGTGCGGAAACTGTGATGGTTACATTGGAGAGGTGCCATGCAGCGGTGTGCTGACATCATCTGCTGGGTGCAGCTGCGGATGTTGGCTCGCCGATCTTATGTAACTGCCTATGTGAAAGCGCTGATCAGATCGCTTCAGACCTCCCTAAACCCTTGTGATGCCGGATTATTACATGAATACTGCTTTCCACACGTGGCCCTGATGCATCCGGATGCTGTCCGGCCATGCTAGGCCAGCGGTCATACCAGTCCACGCGACAGTTATGTGTTTGCAAACGGGAGCACGGCGGGACCCCGTTTGTTGTTGTTGGTTGTTACGCAGCTTTGCACATATTTCGCGAGGCAAATGAAGTGAGGGTCCAGTCGAAAAGTGCTAAGGCTAGCCACATCAATATGTGAGAATGGGCCCAGTAGCCGTCCTGCAAATTCCTGGTGCATGCACAACTCCGAGTTGCCCTTGCTACATGTAACAGGTGCATGCAAGGCATCAGAGCATCAAGGACTTGAATGATCCAGTAGCAGGTCAAGTCCCATAGCCGCAACAGGTGCAGGGCCGTTCAGAATGGTTTCCCCTGACATGCACTCAAATACTGGCACGCTTCGCTCCTACGAGGTCAAGGCAACGTCAAAAGGATTAAATTGAAAGAAGAAAAGAACATTTCCCATTACGTTCGAATATCACACCGCAAATCCCAGTCCGCAATCTACAAGCGAACTCCCGGAAGGGCTTTAGCCGTCAGGACGCGGCTGGAGACCCTGCCAACGACGACGGGAAGAAATGATGCTGCATCGTCGAAACGACTGTCTCCGCATCTTGCCGAAGTGAGCCATACTCCAGATCCGGCACGTTGCGGTGACTTTCCACAGCGCGCTTAGCCGCCGCCTGGTGGCAGCAGCAGACAGGGCCGCAGGCAGCTTAGGGCCTGGGCCCAAAAATTTGACTGACTGACCCAGTTCAACACCGGCTTCACAAACCGGTTTGTGCCCTTTATGGACGGTATTGACCCTAGGGAGCATTTAGCCCTTACCACTGATGGGATCTAGTCATGCCCCGTGCACACGGCTGCGTCACATTCGAGACACCCATGAACTCACTATATCACGGCACGCCGCGACTCCTTTCCTGTGACTTTCGCATGGATTACAGCATGCAATACGTTACTTCGACAGACCCTACTCCGATGCCGTACCATGCCGTACGCCAGGGCGTGCACCGGGTCCTGCTGCTGCAGCAGCGCAGCCACCATTCCAGCCACAAGCGTGTCACCTGTGATCAAGGTACGGAACAGGCGGACATGTAGTTAACAGTGAAACTGAAAGTTCAAGTCAGGATTCCGCGGTTTGCCAAGCAGCCGACTTTGGGACAAAATCTCCACGGCCTTGGGCATACAAATCTAGATAGCTCCACGTGGTTCAACGCCAACCACCTACCTGCGCCATTGACACTGACCACCTCCGCGGGCAGTGCCCGCAGGTGTACGACCTGTACAGCATAGCGCTGCGACTGTTGCACCGCCGTTTGGCGTCCCGCCGCTAAACCACCCGCCGCCACCTCCGCTGCCGCTTCCAGGGTTACTGCCGCGGCCGCCGGGCTCGCTGACGAGGATAGTGTGGACGCGGGTACGGACAACAGCACCGGCGCTGAGGAGACGTGGCGCGCCAGCAGCGCTCCCCGGATCACATCCCCCCTGGGGACTGGTAAAGCCCACGAGGCGGTAGCGCCTCTTGCTGCGCGGATGGCCGCAGCATGCGGGGAGGCTGACATGGCAACGGGGGCTGGCAGGACACCACCATCAGGCCTCCTCGTAGCTCGTACGTCGGCATGGGCATTCGAGGTCCAGCAACAGCTGCTGTTGTTATTGCCGCCGCTGCAACTGACGTTGTAATTTGCACCGACGGCGGGTACCGAGGTGCTGCAAGCGTCCAACGGCTCCAAGGTGGAGCGCGGGCCTGCACCGGCTGCTGCCTCATTGGCGGCCAGGGTAATCAGTGCCGCGCCAAGCGACCCAAGGGTCAGTACCACACACGAGGTACCTGCGGCGACCAGCCAGGATTTCATCAGAGCCCGTGCCCCCTCAAGAACCAGTCATAGTCCCTGCGGCGCAGCTGATCCTGCCGTACGGATGTCCGCACATTTGCCAGCTACGATTCCCTCCCCTACCTTATCCTGCGGCCCCAGCGGCGTACCTTACTGGGCTGTACTTCTCATTCCGTCCCTCGCTTTCCCAAACTGCCAAGCACATCCTCAACGCGATGCTCCCTCCCACCGCCACTCCCAACCCTTTCCCACCCACCGACGCACCCTGCAATAACAGCACCTCCGCGAAGGCCGCCAGCTGCCGGAGCAGCTCCGCCACCGGCTCCAAAACCACCCGACCATCGCCACCGCCACCGCCGAACCCACTTCTGCCGCCATGTCTCCCCCCGGGGGCCCCCTCCGCGGAGTCATCGGGCAATGCGGGCCGGGGCAGCAGCGGCAGTCCCGCCGCACGACGGACCTCGTCCGCCATCGAAATAAGCTCCGCTGCGTTGGGCGACACGAACGTGGCGTACGGCAGCGCCGACACTAGGCTGCGGGGCCGCGTTCCAGCCGTGCGTGGCCGTGTTGGTGCAATGGGGTGAGGGGTTTCGATGTGTTGGGCTGGTATGGGCATGGTGCGGAATCAGCACACCACAAGACAGGAACATAGACACACACAAAGATAAGATATATATGTAGACATAGGTATATGTACAGACCTCCCGGTGAAGAGGTAGGCGCGTGAGGGCCCCTGGTTCCGGAGCCGCAAGGCGGCTGAGCTCTGACTCACCGGGTTGCCTTGGGCACCGACACGGGCTCTAGGAACACAGGCACCCGCGCGAGGGCCGCCGTACGGCTGATATACTCGAGCGCCTCCGCGGACAAGTTGCCCTCCGCCAGCAGCATGCACGCCTGAGGGGGTCCCGGGATGAGGGGGGCCGAAACGGTGGTGAGGGAGGAGGTGAGGGCTAGCGGGGCGTTTCAGGGACGCAACGCACATGGCACTCACTCCTTCCCCACCGGCAAGGGGGTCCGACCCCATAATCCCCTCCCTCCCTCCCCCCTTCCCTCCCTTCCCCCTTCCCTCCCACCTCCCTTCCCTCCCTCCTCATCTGCCCCGTGCTGGAGCACACTCCTACAAGGGGAGAGGACCAGACACAATAGTCCCCATCCGAAGGGCACGAGACCCGAGTCGAACTCTCACTCGCCACGCGGCCCGGTTCCTCGCCTTCCCTTCACAAGCCGCATAGCCGGCAGACATCCACCTCCCGAAACCACCAGATAACCCCATGTCCCCACACCCTCATTCACACACTAAGTGGTGTCGCGGTACAGTCCACGCTCCTGCACCTGCTGTATCTGCGGCTGGCACTCCCGCAGGCGCTCCGGTGTGAGGTGCCGCTCCACGGCCGTCACGTCCGCAACACACGCCGCCACCTCGCCGCCCCTGCAGCGCGCCACACGGCGGAGGGCCCCCTCGGAGACCAGGGCACAAACACAGACAGTGCGGCGCAGGGACGGATGGACAGACAGACAGACAGGTGGACGTGGCAACGCCGTTAGGGCGTGCACAACACCCTTGCCAAAGCCCCTTTTCTTCCGCATACCCCGTCAAGAGGTACCACACGGGCGCAAAGGCGGGCAGCCCCCAAACTTGCCTGCAGAGAGCCGACATAAGCCATGCCGTTCCGAGCCAGGCTGAGGACCCCGGGTACATCCTTAAAATCCCCAACCCCGCACCTGTCTAACATTGCCGACACGCACGGAGTGGTTGCTCCCGGGAGGGTGATCAGCTGGCTCAGATCTAACCTGCGACAAGGGTAACGGCAGCAGCAACGCCATCAGGCCGTACAGGAGCAGGCTTGATTGACGTCGGCATGTCCCCCTCTCGTCGGCATGTCCTAAAGTCCGTATCACTACTGCTAGCTGGCTAACAGCCATGAGGGCTCCACCTGCAGCTACCACTACTTTTGCTAAGACCACTTCCCCCCTTCCCCTCGTCCCGTCCTCACCGGAGCCGCCGCAGGAAGGTGGTGAGGAAGCTGCCCGCCGTGTCGTCTCCCACCAACGACACGAACACGGGCGCGGGCCGGTCTAATGGCACTAGGCCGCTGAGGGCCTCCGCCATGTTGCGACCCACACCCCCGGGCACCTGCCGGATCTGCAAGGGGAGAAAGGAGGCGGGGGGAAAGGGAGCGGAGGAGGGGTGCTATAAGGGGGCAGTTTAACAAGAATGGACGAAGGGGGAAGGTGTTGGCGGTGGGGAAGGGAAGGGGCGGTGGTAAGCCACAACAGGAAGAGCAACCCCGTAGGAAAGACGACGAACAAGGATAATGGCTTAGTGGGCAGTATTGCTGGCTAACTGTGCTAATGTCCAGCGTCGCGAAAAAGGAGAGATGCATAGAAGCCTAGAATCCCCCAACAGGATGGTCGCAGGCAGGGGGGACGCAGCGGGGACATAAGCGACGATAAGCGGAATTCAGGCGCCATACCTACCTGTCCAGGAACCGACGTGCCTCGCTGCACATCTACGGAGTTGGGTTGAGCCTGGCGAATGGACGCGCGCAAGGGTTTAGGCAAAGCGAGCCGAGTCTGCCTGCTCCAGCGGCCAATAGTGCACCTGGATATCAAGGCATACACCACCGACGATGACTAGAGGTCCACTAGAAGCTGCAAACCAGGGCGTCTCGACTCGACTGCCGGGTTGTGATGCTGTGCCTTGCTGCTCAGGGGCTAGGTGCGCAAGGAGGACGGCCAACCTTCCGTCTGCCATTTTTTCAGCATATTTAGCAGTCTTACCAGGAAAAGTCATTGTCATTGTCCTTGGTTTTCGCTTTTGGGGTTTTGGACGAGCGCACGGCAACAGCCACTACATTCAGTCGTAAACAGATATATATAGATGTAGACGCTTATAACAATAATTTATTTGCACCTAGGCGTTGCAGCCCACAAGGTGACCTTACCCGCGCGCGCGGCGGCGCCTCGCCGCGCATGATTAGGTCCAGCGGACGAAATATTCTTGCTGAAGAATGGTGTGGTTCCACTGCGAGGACTGCGGAGATACCATAAAGAAGGTCAATGTTACAAGCTCACACGATTCACTTGCCAGGCTGGCTAACCGACTTTAACACTGGGTGTCGACTTACCTCGTGCAGCCGAAGCTCGTCAACCACTACCGTTCATGCTCCGCGAGCCGCTTCTCGTGCGTTGATTGCCTTCAGTCCTTCACGCGAGCCACTGTAAATGTAAGATCGACAGTGTTGCGACGGCGGCGCCGCCGCATCAATCAGTCGTCGTTTGCCCCTATGTCTATCCCTTCCAATTTTGGATGAGGACATCGCATTGCTTTTCGTGGTTGCTTCGTCTGTCTGCGGTAACTCGGACTTGTGCCCTTTTGAGCTTTTGCCGACATATCCTTCCGGGCGTGCCTTGCAGGGCCACACAACGTGTGTCACCGAACATGAAAAATATGCTCTTGCCGCTACCAAACCCGGCGGTTTCGCTGCTGGAGGACTCCCGGCTAACCGGGAAGGCGGATCCGCGGCTGGCACCCCCGCGGAGCCCACTGGGCTCGAGTTTCTTTCCACTAGGCCACCATGGAAATGCAGGTACGGATTTCAGCTAATGCTATCTGATGGTGATTTCCGCTAATGCTATCTGATGGTGATTTCCGCTAATGCTATCTGATGGTGATTTCCGCTAATGCTATCGGGTGGGTGAAGATGTCCCAGTGGTACTCCAGCCCGAATGCTGACGCATTCGTGCTGGAGTCGCAGAGTGCCACCCTCGCACCTTGAGCTTGTGTTTCTCGTGCGCTCATAGTAGGACTGCTTCAGACGCCTTTTATGGGTCCTTTTCAGGACCACCTTAGAATATGTGTGGCAGTGATCCTTCATCTTCTTGTTGGGTGATAATTCATGAGTTCATGTCTACTCCGCGTCTTTCTACGACCCACAGCGTATGCAACGTCAACTGCACCAGTCGGGAGACGCTCATGAGCCACGGCGCGGGCGTAAAGCACAAGCGACGCGCCCGGGCAGCCCTTGCAGCCGTAAACGGCGGTAATAATGGCCATAACGGCGCTGCGCCGAATGGTGGCACAAGTGCTGCGCCGACTGCCGGACCGAAAGCACCGGGAGCAGCAAACGAGGCAGCCACCGGGAAGCGTCGAATGGCACAGAGCAGTAGTAGCAGCAGTAGCAGCTCTTCCGATGATAGCAGTAGCAGCGATAGCGAGGCGGAAAAGAAGCAATGTCAGCCCACCCTTAAGCGCCAGGCAGTTGGCCAAGGGGCCAAGCCAATTGCCGCTACGGCCCCTGGTAGTGGCAAAGGCAAGCCCGCCCCTAGCTCCTCTTCCAGCAGCGGTGAAAGCGACAAGTCCTCAGATGACAGCAGCAGCAGTGACAGTGACAGCGACTCGGACTCTCCGCCTGCCAAGAAAACCAAGGCGACGGAGCCAGCCGCAAAGCCACATGAAGCTCCCAAGGCGGTCAAGGGTTCCAAGTCCAAAGTGGAGGCAAAGCCCGCCAAGGCAACCACTACCAAGGGTTCTGCACCGAAGCCGCCAGCCTCCGGGTCTACCTCGTCGGATACCGATTCGTCGTCTGCAACGTCATCGGAGTCAACCTCCTCTGAAGACGACGGCAAGGACAGCGATAGTGACGATTCGGGCAAGGCGGCCAAGCGGTCGGAGGGCCTGAAGACGACGGCGGGAGCGGCGGCGACGGCCCCTGCCTCTGCCAGGGGCCTAGGTTCCAAGCAAGCGAAGAAACCTATACCGGCGGCTGCGGATAGCGACCTGACTTCGTCTTCCGGAGATGAGAGCAGCAGTGACTCTGAGGACTTGAGGAAACCCGCACAGGCAGGCGCCACCAAGCCTGCTGCCGCTGGTGTTGCGACCGCAAAGGCAAAGCCGCCTGTCCACCCGGCTCCCAAGGAGGGGCCTTCTCGGAAGACGCGACACAGCAGCAGTAGCAGCAGCTCAGACGACAGCGATAGCGATGACAGCGACAGTAGCGATACCTCTGAGGATCAACGACAGCCGCAGGTGCCCGTTGGCAAGGCCCCAGGAAAAGGCAGCGCATCTGCTAACGCTGCTGCTGCGAAGGCCGCGGCCGTTCAAGCGGCAGGCAAGGGCAAGAAGCGCCCGGCTAGGGAATTCGCCGAGCCTGTTAGCAAGGACAGCAGTAGCAGCAGCGATGAGTCTGCTAGCAAGGACAGCAGTAGCAGCAGCGGAGAGTCTGCTAGCAAGGACAGCAGTAGCAGCGGTGACGAAGGTGCCATAGTCAAGAAGACCAAGACAGGTGGGCTGAAATTGCCGATTTTTCCATTAACCGTCTCTTGCTGTCCACTTTGCGGTTGGCCACCCCTATCCCGTTGCTGTAGCTTAGGTGCGTGGACGGCTTCACGTATATGTTCAGCGTCTCTAGAAATACAGCCGGGCTGTCCAGCATATAGGACTTTCAACAGTCCACCGGGCTTAGAACTTTACCAGCTGTCCAATTTTGGGGCGGTTGATTGCCGGGGTAGCTATGGGACCTGTCGATGCCTTTGCATCTGGACATGTCGGCCTCGCGGATTGATTCCCGCAGAGCTGCTGGCGGAATTGCTGAACGGTCCCAAATTTGACCAGTTGTCGTCTGCGATCCGAGAGGCGCTCGACAAGAGGGGCGTGGTGAGGGCGCGGGAGCGTATCGAGTAGGCAATTGAGGACACTACGTTTGCATTCCCCGAACGCGTAAACGATAACAACAAAAATGCAAGTTTTTGTTGCCTGATCTCTGTCGTGTATGAATGTGTCTGCCCTACCCGTGGCATACGCTTGCTCGTCGTTGCAACCTTCGCGTCCTCTATCCCCCTGTGCTGTTTGCGCAGTTGGGCTCGGCAATCCTGCTGCGACTCGCCCTAAAGGTCGGCGGACTGTCTGAGCAGGACATGCAGGACTCTGATCTGGAGCTTGTGCGGCGGCAGGTGATGCGGTGCCCAGTTCGTTGGGCCATAGCACTTCGGGCTGCGAGGTGTTCGTGATGTCCAGTGACTCTGCGGCGCTCCTATGTCTTCGAGGGGAGGAGGAATACAATGGGAATGACTCGTGCGATCTTTCGCGTCTGCAGGGTACCTGGCCCGGGCCCGCGTGTACCTAGGCTAGTGCATGTAGGTGGTAAATGTTAGTCGACAGAAGTGCCTGTGACCCTACATGTCCTATGTTTACATTTGCGGGGCTTTCCATGATGCACCTCCCCCTGAGTCCCAATAGATGCACACAGCCATGTCCCGCGTGGGCCTTAAGATCACATTCCCGTGGAGCTCGCTCCACACATGGAATGCAATTGAGTCATACCCGCGCTAAAGAAACGTAGACAGGGGCGTGTGCGCGTTATGCGCTGCGTCCCAGTCGACCGCCGCTGCCAGCATGACGCTCCCGCGTCCCCGCCCCGGTGCCGGCCGTCTGTGCTAATTCATTTCAACATGGGGCGGGCGCTGGCTCGGACAACATTTTCACGTGCATTCCTTCATGGCTATTAATGAAACAAAAATGCCTTCATTGCGCGCCGGCTGCTGCTAGCGAACCGGAGCAGACAATCAAGCGGCCATCCGTTTGTCATTAAACCAGTAGCCATGCATGCCAGGACCTTGCTGCGCTATATCAAATTTGACGCGCCATGATGTCCCGTGTTTCCCGATGTTGTCCCAAACCCCGCAGTTGGTGGCCAAAGGGGTGTGCGCCCTCAAGGTAAAGCGGCTGATCAAGGTCGAGGCAAAGCGGGTTGCTGGGAAGCAGGGTAGCATGAAACAGGGTTACAGACCGGGCATGGGTCCTAAGTTCTGGAATGGTCGAAAGCAGGGTCAGGCCTTAAGTAAGGCGGGCAAGGTTGGGAAGGATAATCAGGTACAATAGTGCCTTAAATGGGTGTTGCGCACTTTTCGCGCAGCCAAAGATGGTTGAATGTTGCGTGTGGCAGGATGCATCGAGTGCCGGTTGTTGGATATGAGAAGGGACGTCGGCTTGGGATTGGTTGGGGGGCGCAGGCGGTACGAGAGGAGGAGAGTGTTATGACGATGAGGCGTAGCATGTGGGGAACCACAGGAGGGTGATGTGAGCATGTAGGTCTGATGTTTTTGCGAGAGGCGTTGCGACGGATGAGAGCTTTTAACAAGGTATTGATGCAGACAAATTTTACGTATGTGCGTTAGTGCATCTTCTTGCATGTGTGATTTAATTGCGAGCAATGTGTATAATGTCCTCCCAGTGTGTGCATATCATCATCGACCACACTACTGAGACGTCCATGAATATGTTTGGAGGCCCAACAGGCCCAATGCGTAACTCGAAATAAATACCAGCTGTGTAAGGTCGTGCGTCCAGGCGCCTTCGAAATTTGCCGCATTCACGGGGCTGTCTACAACATGACCTGATCAACAAGATCACCTGAACCTGGCACAACATATTTACCAGATTTAACACAGACCTATCCTGCGAAGCTTATCTCACACTGCAAATGGCCTCGCGCGAACACCATTCACCCTTATAAACTCCGCAATACACTAAACCCTAAACACAATACATATTATTGTAGCCGCCGAGTAACGGCAGAGCCGTTACCACATCACTGCCGGGGTGCTGCTGCAGCCCACGTAGCTACCAAACCCGGGCTTCGTCCTCCTGTCCGTTATCGCCAACGTTATTGCCACTGCTGCACTTGAGCCCCGCCAGCAGCCGATACAGCTCACGGGGCGAGTCGGTGAACAGGCCGTCAATGGCCGAACGCGGTTGGCGGTTCCCGAGCCTTGCAGCATTAAACGAGCCATTCGCTGCACCCCATATCCTCGGCAGCCCGCTTCCGAGCACCAGTGGCGAGATTTCGTCCACCCACGTCTCGGCCCCGGGCAGCAGCTGCTCCCGTGGCGCGGGCTTGAACACGGATGCAAATACCTGCAGGGTTGCCGTTGCCAAGGATGTTCCCTAGTAGGTGGCCGGCAGAACCAGTCCCTGCATGGCACGCGTACTTAGCGGCACCAGCTACGTGCTTCCAGAAGATCCGGGAACACGCACAACCACGTTAGGATGGCAAACAAATCAGCGCGACAAAAAAAGGAAACTGACAAGTGGCAAGCAGAGCTTTTAAGAAAATCTGTACCGTCCCCAACCACGGCACTGCAGAATTATGCCCGTGCCTCACTAAGGGGGCCGGGCAAGGAGTGCAGCTGTTTCTTCAGGCACCAAGCACACTTCACCTGGAGGCCCGCATGCCGCATCGCCTGCAATAGCTCCGAAGCCATCAGCCCCGGGACCGGATCACTGCCAAGGCCCGAGCCCGGGTGCTCTGGCGCTGCCGCTGGTACTGTCTCGGCGTCCTCCAGCGCTGGCACCTGCTGCCGCCGCCGCAGCAGCTGCTGCCGGGCCACGGCCACCGATCCGGCATAGGACCGGATACGGACCAGGCCCTGAGGGCTAGTTGCGCTATCCCAGCTCTCCCCGGTATCCGGAATAGTGGGGCTGCAGGGAAGTCGGCAGCCGGTACGCCAACATGAAGGCCGAGGAGGAAGATATCGGGACGGGACCAGGCAGGATGGCGGGGATAGTTTGGCCGCGGGTCTAAGGGGAAGGGGCAGGTGTGTGCCCTGGGCGGCTGGGACATGGGGCGTTACAAATGGCATCGGTGCCGCAGGCTGACTGCACTCTTGCTCGCGGCCGCCGCCCCGCGGTTTCCCCTGTTGCGCATTGGTAGGCCGCGCGCGAATGCCCTCGCTCACCCATACATAGGGACGCATTGCCTGCAGTAAGGACGGCCACACTACCAAGAACGCACGACACTCTCGTGACACCACACGGAAGGCCAACCTAGAGCCGGACCGATCTCGACCCGGGAGGAGAGGTGCAACGGAGCTCACCCCAGCACTTGCGTCAGGGGGGAGGACGTCCGCTGTGCGAGGTACTTGAGGCTGCCGGCCTGGAGAGGGAGCAGGGCAGGGCCGGAGCTCAGCAGGGCCGCCGCGCACGACATTCAACGGAGCAAAGTGGTGGGATGAAATCCGTGTGTGTGTGTGTGTGTGTGGTGGTAGGGTGCATACTGCCGTAAGCTTACGGAGCTGGGTGCAGTCTGTGAGTGGGGCGCAGCTTCTGTGAGGAGGGGGCTCCTGCCCGAGTGAGCCCCCCGACCCCGGCATGCAGGTCCTCTGCATGACGTTAGCTGCAAGGTGTAGTAGGCAGGGTGAGACAGCCCGATCGGGTCCCGACAGGAATGGCACTTGTCCTGAAAATCCCGACAGGCTTTGAAAATGCTTTCGGGCGGACCCGACGAAAAAGGGGGAAAATGCCAAACGGCCATCGGGAGCCCCCGTCGGGGCCCGGAGGGCCCCCGTCGGGGGACCCGACATGGTTAGGGGCGCTAGGACCACCCGATCGGGTGCCGTGGGTCGTCGGTGGGCCCTTCGGCGACGGACAGCTACAGCGATACATAATGGCATTCATAAAAATATAACTGGATGGAAATATGTAATGTAGTGGTAGCATTCTTTATCCTTTGACTCTGGCATTTATGAGTGATGGGGATCCAGAACTGTCCAGTGAGTCTGGCAGTGAGGTTGCCGATGAGGGGGAGATGTTCCTCTCCAGTCCTACGGTGTCTAAGGGTGTCCTTGAAGAGCTCGGGTTGTGATGCTCACAGGCAGACGTGCAGGCGTGCATGTGTTGCTGTGTGTGTGTTTGTTCGTGCATATCAGAACTGTGAACTGTAAACTGAGAACTGGAAACTGCGCATATAAAATACGAATAAATGTAATTTCAAGCGGCACACAGCGAAATTTCGTTCTTGCGTCACCCGACAGGTTTTGGGATGGGCTATCGGGGCACCCGACAGAAATTGAAAGATATGCAAAAACGCTATCGGGCGGGGCCGACGGGCATGGGAAGGGGAAAACCGGCAACCCGACCATTTTAGGAAGGTCCTGTCTAACCCTGGTAGTAGGTGCAACGGGAGGCAGCAGGGGAAAAGACGAACCACGAACGAGTGAGATGCTGCTGCTGCAGCAGTGTGGCTCTAAACTCCTCTCCTTGACTGCGGGACTGCTGAAGGCTGCGAGGTGGTCCGGCGTGAGGGGCGACGAGTCATTTCCCAGTTGCGTGTGCGGGGCTGTGGACCGCTCCGTGGGGCGCTATGTGCCAGCGGATGCTGGTCACCCCCTTGGCCCGGCGAAGCGGCCACAGCGATTAACTGCCGTCACCAAAACCCAGGGCACTTACCCCTCGTCTCCTTGCCAGCTTTACTCACTAGGGTCGGTTCGTCCGGCACAACAACATTGGCAACATGGTGTACCGTGGATGTGCCGTGTGCGGGTTAAGAGGAAAAGCTCTTGGGCCCTTTGCACAGGGAACCATGTGCATGCGGAATTACCTCGAACGCCATGAGGTACGAGGGCCGGCGGCGCCAAGCCTCGCTGCCGTACGGTCCAGTCGCGTAGCCGTACTGCTGCAATAGCCTCAGCAGCTCGTCCTCAAAGGTGGTGTTCCGGGCCCTCAGCTGGGGCTCCAGGACGGTGTTGTGCCAGGAGGCGGCCTGGATGTGGACCGCCACACCCACGGCAGGCTCGACGGCCTCCGGGGCAACGGCAGAAACAGCAACACGGGAGCCGCAACACGGGAGTGAGACAGGGAGTTGCTGGGATGTCGGCTGAGGAACTGGGAACCTCGTTAGCATGCCATAACGACCGAGCAACACACAACACGCGAGCCAGGTGAGTGGCAGCTGTCACCCTCGCGGCGCACCAGCAGTAAATGCAGGGCAGGGCAGGGCAGGGCAGCGGGCGGTCCCACCTCCCCGGAGGGACGTCTGACAGCATGTGGCACATGGGGCGGCGGCTTTGATCCTAGGTGGACCACAAGGCCCATCTGACGGCATCTGATGGCAATGTGTTATATACTATTTCTTAAATCTGGTCCTAAACGGATACATTTTCTGTCTGTTTTTTCCTTTTTCGCTTGGCACGGTTGTTGGACGAGTTTGATGGAACTAACTGAATTCCAACTGCCTATTTTGCCGCCTTTATGTCAGATTTATGGCTCCGACCTCTGGGTCCGACGGTGAGCAGGACGCGGTCATGGATGCCTACAAGTATGGGCGCCGCCTCAGGCGGAAGTCAATACTTGCAGAAGTATGGGCGGGGGTCGTAGCACAGGCTACGACTGGGACGCTGGTCCCTGGCTCGCGGAGCCCCGTCATCGATTGGAAGCATGGATTAATGGTACGCCATTCCGGGACTGGACCGCGCCATTTCGGAACTGGCTGTACGATTCATGAGATGGCTGCATCCCCGCTATTTAAGCGGACAAAACCCTTCCAATCGGTGTCTTCCAACGCCACCATCCAGTTGTGCCTTGGTTAGACACCGCACAATGTCCCCCTGGGTGCACCCCCCGATAAAACATACGCTGTACAGGGACAAGTGCAATCCCCTGCTGCTCCGGAATACAACTTTACGGTAGATACTTAGTGCCGGGTGTTCACTCACTGTGGCCATTTGCAGCAGGTCCTCTAAAGAGGCTACCCGGAGGTCCTCCGAGTCAGGCGGAGGAGTCACAGTGTAGACGATGTCGGACTCCTCCACCACGCCGATTGCCTCCCTCCCGGTGTCTTCACCAGATCTTGGAGCCCACGGCACCACACATTCCGCTGCAGCCCCCACTACCGCCGCCGTCGCCGCTGCTCCTTCTACTTCTGACGGCTCCCCAGCTGTTGCCGCAGCTGCTGCTCCCGTGGATCCCCTTGCTGCTGTTGCTGCTGCTGTTGTTGCTGTGCCAGCATCTTGTGGGAAGACCGCTTTAAGCCGCTTAATCTCTGCGAGTGTCAAATCCAATGCGAGGAAGATGGGCACCCCTTGACCAACATCACCGTCACATCTGCCGTCACCGTCACCGGCTTCCTCACTGTCGCCCCCGCCTTCCCCGAAGCATTGCTGCAGCTGCTCCTGTTGCTCTTGTTGTCGCTGTTGACGGGAGATGCGGGTCGATAGCACATCAGTAGTCTGTGCGATATCGGGCTCGTGACGGCACACAGGTACCAGATCCCGGCTCAGTACGACATCACACTCGATGAATCGGGCGCCTGGCACACGGATTACAGGGCAATGAGACAGAAGCAGCGGGAAGGGCAGTTGTGGCTTCGAATTACATGTCGCACAGGCCGGGGGCACCTCCTGTCATAAAAAGATGCCAACCAACAGCGCAAACAGAGGAACACAAAGTGGATGGTGACACAGTATGAGCCTTGGCCCATTGTAAAACGGTTGGACATGTTCGCGCGATGAACCTTCCTTCCTGGTCATGTCGTACTCTCTGACCTGAGAAGGGGAGCCACGTTGGCAGGCTCGCTATACAAGAAGTTCGTCCATAATAGCTGAGGGGGCCATGGACGGTCAATATCCGTTATTGTGGCGCCGAGTGAGACTGTTGATGTCCTCTCTCCACCTCGTCTGGGCTCGGCACCCGCGCCTGAGCGTGATGTACCTGTTGGTCTCCCAGACCTCCGAGAGGAAACTAGCCACAGCCCGTCCGCCATAATAGCACACATCTTGCGTCCCCGAAAGCTAATGCCCCCATCATATTAACTTGAAGCCTTTGGTAGGCTGGGCATTCACAAAAAACATGCAGCTCGTCCTCGACCACACCGCAAAGCCTGCAGGTGTGCGCGCGGCACGCTCGCGATCTGTTAACATCCGGTTCCCAACAACCTAATCTGAAACGCATGAGCACCTAGTGCAATAGCTTAGGCGACACAGCCCCGGTGTGAGCGAGCCACACCAGCTGTGCTCCCTTTCTAGGAAATGCTGCCATCCAGGAGGCGGGGGTTTCGGACGGGTACCCCGGAGGTGTTCTCTCATCTCGGCTGCTAGGGCACCCGGTTCAGCGGACCCCACCCGATACCTTGCTCTATTGCGGCTCGGTACGAGCCAATGCTGTGTTCCGGAAAATCGCCTGACGCGCCTCTGTACGCCATGACGAATGGCAAGTCATCCGTCTGGTCGCCGTACGAAGCGCGAATCATGAAAAGAGATAAGTTATGTCGTGGTTAACACCACAGATGGGTTGCTATGATTCACAGCTTTTGTCGTGGCCCTCACCGGAAGGAAGCACGCGGCGTCGCTGCTCGCCCGCGTGCAAGGTAGCATCAAAACGCCGACCAGAAGCGGAAGAGCATTTTTTGCCACGACATACATAGACGTATAAAGTCGTAACATGTTTTTGAGTAAGTCGATGCGCCCTGGTCCACAAATCGTGCTACTTGATTGAAGTTGGGCGGCGCAACATCGTCTCTGTCAGCGATCGTCTTACGATGCAGAGATGCCAATCAGGTAATTTTCAATAGCTGAATCATGGCATCTCAATTTCACGCAGTCTACCGGTTTCATGCTGCCTCTTCTTCAGCTTGACTAGTGCCAACTACCTATAAATTCCGGACGGTTGGTCGTTGCCCAGCATTACCCATCGCTGCACCGTACAAGTAGCAAGCTTACAACTGGCAAGGTCACCGCTTGAAAAAAGCCTGCAATCCAGCTCGGGAGCCCGCACATCCCCTTGCAAGAAACTCCGCGCTCCTGCCGAAATGAATGGTAGCCCCGCTTTTGGCAGTTCTGATGCTGTGGTGCTGAGGCTACATGTCGCCCAACGTAGAGCCCTTGGACCCGCAGGCACATCCGTGCTTAGACTTTTACAGTCAGCTGGCAATGCCCGTGCTAATTCCCGGAAACCTTATTGGATTGGTCTTTCGAAGCGCTTTCAATTTGCAATGGAAGTAGGCCGCCATGAGAAGGGGCATCGTGCCTCGGTGCAGAGCGCGCACGACACATATCGCGAGTTATTTGTGTTACAGCACACTGGAGGCGATTTTGTTGTAGAAAAAACAATCTCACAGCGCGCTCCGATATACCCGTTGACACTATATCTACTAATACTACATCACTTCGATCCCTGGATAATAGTCTCACACCGTCCGGCAGCTCACCTTGCATAAAACTCCAACGGTGCGCTCAACCTGCATCTGCATCCTCACATTCCGGAAGTGGCCAAAAGCACCACCACAACCACTGCGCCACCACTGCCTTTCGCCAAGCGCACCGACCAACACTGCATCCATCCACCCACACTCGCAGCTGCAAGTCTGTGTCAAAAAGTCTTCTGGACCCGACCCGGCGCTCAAACTGGCGCACAGATGAATCCGAATGTGGCATGGATCAAGGAGATCTCAGCTACATGGAAGGCATTGCGACTTGTGCGGCACGCATCCACGTGTATAGGTGCACACCCCTCCATCAAAATGGCCACCGAACCGAACGCACCGATACCCCACCACCACATCCTCCCCAGGCAATCCAACGGTCCTGATCCTGCTCTGCAATCCACGCAACCATCCACGCGCGATGGCTGAAGCCGGCGAAAACCCTAAGTGACCTTCCCTGGACCTGCACAGGCCAGACACACAAACATACACAATCCAACTCTTTCGACGCGTAGACGTACACACGTGAAGTTGCGCATGCGACATCTCCTGCCACGTGGCTCAGTTCATTTGAACAGGTGCCTGTTCCCCGCTCGCCATGCCGCTGCCTGCACACACTCCGTCCCCTGAGCCCGACCCCCGCCCGGACCCTTAAATCCCCCCTTGCTTATGCCCCACCTTCATCCACTCCCTCTCACACGCCCTTGGCCCGCATGCGTGCCTCTCTCTCTTCGCGCTGCTTGAACCACTCGGCGCTCCTGTCCTTCTCCAGCGCCTCTGCCAGCAGCCGGGAAGCAGAGGGGTCCCATACGGACAGCTCCCGGAAGCCCGCATCACCCACGAAGCAAATCTGGGTCGGGTCGAGGGAGGAGAGGGGGGATGGAGGTCGGCGGAGAGGGCAGCGAGCGGAGTGCGGTCGAGCAAGGCAGGCGGATGGCGGTAAAGGCAGGCAATGAAGGCCCCTTTCCTGGTGGCACATACACAGCCTCCGCTTGCAGGTACACTCACACATATAGGAGCTCACCGTGCATGTAGCTACAAGGGAAGCAGCCAGCCCCGCTCGCCCGGAAGGTAATGCACGCCGTGGCTTAGCACGACGATGGTACCCCCATTCTGGCATAAGTTCCTAGAGGTGTGCGCATGAAACTAAATCAACACACTTGCACACTCAGCCAGGTGCACAGTCACCCGCTGTTCGCGCGCAAGAGCAATTCTACCACCCAGCGGTGTCCTCTTCCACTGCGGGTAGGTCCCTCAAGGACGTCCCTCATGGGGGGAACACTGCCCACCCGCCGCCACCTCAATGCGGGGATGGCTGACATCTCCCCCCGCCCCACCTCGTGGCCGTCCGGGTCCTGCAGGATCACCACCTGAACGGTGGCCTTGCCAGGAGTGTCGAGGGACACGTACGGCGTGTGTACGGTGTACCCAGCCGCCCGTACATCCGCCTCAAGCTGCTGTAGCTGCTCCCCTGGACAGGCGAACGCCACACGGCCGAAGCTGCGGATCGCGGTGTGGGTGCAGTGGAGTGAGTTTCTAGGTGTGTATGCCAGTCAATCAGCAGGTCGGTTGGGTGGTGTGAATTGGAAGGCAAGGGTAAGAAACGAAAAATGCGGCTGCGGCTGGAGAAATTAAGGACCCATGTGCGCTGCAGGCCTCCTGCTTGGGGTTAACACTGCCATTCCCATATTCACCCCTAATACCCAGCACAGCACGATAAAACTGCACCAGGAACCCCCCTCTCCCGATTCCTCGTCCAAGGCTCAAACGTCCCCTTTACCGTTTGCGCCTGCGGTTGTTTCCTCCCTTAACCCTCATTTATCCTCAACATCCCCACTGCAGTTCAGTAACAGCACCAGCAGCAGCGTCAGCACCGGGGCGTCGGGTGGTAACTCACGCGGTGCCACGCTGCAGTGGCTGTCCCTGCGGCAGCTGCACCAGCCTCAGCTCGCACTGCCCAGGTCCGCAGCTGAGGAGGGCCTCCCCTGGAGCTGGCCGCCGCGAGGAGAAGCCCAGGAAGCCCGACCAGAAGGCTGGGGAGGGCGGCGCCCCGGGTAGTGCGGCCGCGCGGGAGGAGACAGGAGTTGCGACGTGGGAGGGCCACCGGTCAGACGGCGAATCAGCAAGGACGGAGTCAGCATTGGCGGCGGGAAAAGGGGCGGAAGGGAATGCAGCGGCTAATGAAAACTTGGAGAGTGGTGATGGATGATATGGTGTGAGGTTAGTCTGAAGGCCGAAGGGGTCCCAGGGACAGTCCAGGGAGGGGGCCTAGGGAGGAGAATATTGGGAACGCTCTCGTAAGTGTACATACACTCCGCCCCACACGGTGTAGACGATAGACCCTTCAGGAATAGCCAGGAATAGCAGGCAGAATCCCTGAACTAACCGCCAACCGCCCACCTGCCCACCCTTCCTACGCAGTGCATCCGTCGGCGCTCTCCAGATTTGCAGTCCCTTTCAGCCGTCAGCCGTTAGGAAACCCGAAGTCACATTTCCCAATCTTAACCTCCGCGAGGGCCCCCACTTCCCGCCGCCCCAGCACCCACCTAGTGACCTCTCCAAGTCCGTCACATGCAGCCTCAGCTCCGTCATGGGGCAGGGCGGGGAGGACGGGGAGGAGGAGGAGGGGCCGGGCAGCTGGGGTTCTTCGTCCTGCACCCAGAAGCGGTAGCCATCAGGCGCCGCCACCTCAACGCAGGGGACCTGCTCGGTGGGCCTGCCTGCCGCACCTGCATCCCCCTGGGGTCCCAGCCCGGTGTAGTCCACCGCCGTTCCAACGCCCTGAGGTCCCAGACCAGCCACACGGAGACTTTGGAGGTATTTGGCAGGTATTTTTGGTACACCGGAAATGCGGTTTAAATGTGGCGCCTTTTAGCGAAATATGGGCAGGCCCGTGTAGTCGCCGGTAGGCAAGACACAACCTTTTAAGCCTGGCATGTATCTGTCTAAATATGTCGTATCTACACATCTGGGGCATAGACGTGCCGGCGGGCTGAGCAACGGCTAAGCTAAACATGGTGGGGTCTTCATGCTGGTGAGACACAGCAGCAGGCAGAGCAGAGGTAGGCAGCGAGGAGCGGCGGTGGCCCAGCAATGCAAAGAGCTCCCCTTTCCCCTTCCCCACCCAGCCCCATCCTCATGCCTAGTACATGCTCACAGGGCCGGTCGGGGCCAGTCAGGACAGCACCTGCTGCCTCCCAACCGGGACAGAGCTATCGGAGGGAGGAGGAGCGGCTGCCTAACTCCCCCAGCGCCAGGTCAAGCTGCTGCCACGTTGCTATTGGGCAGAGAGGTTGGAGCAGAGAGAGAACGGCCGGCTCTCCACCCGCCTAGCCGACCAAGCTCCCTTAGCGCAGTCACTAAGCAGGCGGCCTTCTGGCCCCCAAGAATCTCTTGCCTTGGAGACTATATTGCCGTACACGCGCTTGCTGCGGATGGTGATGCCCATGTAATCGTTGCCCAGCTCGTATGACTTGACACCTGTCGGTTGTAAGGTGGTTGGCCCCAACGGGCGGGTATTGAAGACGCCAGCAGCGACGGTGCACTCAAGGCCGGCTCCGCCTCGGAAGCCTTCCCTTAGCCACGATCCAATTGGAAGCGGTACACTGCTGTACAGTCTTTCATCCACTGTCGGAGTCATTTACTGTACATAAGATCACATGGCCTCGAAGCCCCTGTAGTCATATACGTACCGTAGTTGTACGTCAACTCCAGCACGAAGTTGTCGTCCTCGGGGCCGTACCTGCAGCGGTGAATTCCCAGTGCAACGAAAAAGGGAGCGGTCCAGCCAACAACTTGACCAGGGCACCAGGGCCGGGATGCCACACACGAGTGCAGGTGACAGCTGATGGGCCTACGGGTCTGCCGCCGCGCCCAAGCACTAGTGTGTCCTCAGCGCGCCAATTTAGCTTGGGTCCGGTCCAGGCTTGGGTGCTCGAGGGCCAAATCCCAGCGCCCAAGCCCAGCCCTGGGCCCAGCCTAAGCTAAATATAACCAGCATCATATATTAGGCCCGTGCCAGCTATGAAATGGCCCCTGTGGCCGTAGGGCATGTAAAGGACTTAGAAAGGCCCTTTCTCTTGCGATGCAGACAAGTCCGTTGACCATACTAGATGCCTTACCCGATCATGGTCTTTGACCACATGCCGTCGTACGGCCCGTTGCAGGCCGCCGCACAGCCCTCCGTAAACTGCATACAGCATACGGGTGTCCAGGAGTGGCCCGTATGATGGGAATGCGTTGTGTCAGCAGCGACAGCAGGTCGTGTGGTGCCCCATTTCATATGGTGATCAGTGCGCTCAAATGCCCGTTTATATGCGTACCTCCTCGTGCCGCAACGGCTTCATCAGCAGGACGTCCTCATAGAAGCGAATAGTAGCAGTGCGGTCACCCACCTGGGCAAGCGTACGATACAGAAAGTTAGACGCGCATAGCGATGACGGAGCTCATGTCACGCCCTTGCCTAACGATGAGCCGCTGGACAGAAGTTGTTCTTCATATGTGTTTGCGGTTGGAAATGCGGTTGGATTTCGGTACACGATAACAGCGGAGAGGTATATAACTTGCATGCAGGATTCACCTTGAATACCCAATGGAGGTTTCGGCATGGAGTGGGGCCCATAACTTGCCGCGACAACGCTTGAGCAGGTACGTACTTGCGCCTGCCAGTGGTGACAGGGCGCTGAAATGCAGGTTGCCGCTTGCAAAGCATATGAGTACTCGTTGCACACTGCTGGAGCGTTCGTATGCAAACGCTCGAGACAAATGGAAAACATTGTACGACAGCCGTATTTAGGTATGACCACTAGAGTGTTATTGCATCAAACTGGATTTTGCAGAGGCCAAATGCTTTAACTGATGCCTGGATTATTCTACCTGAGCGACATGGCTTGACCACAGTATGGGACCTTCGAACAACACCATGAGTTTCACTTAGTCAATAGAAATGTTGTAACGTGGATTTATAGTCTGTGAAATATAAAATGTCGCAGCTTCAAGTATCCCCGCCTGCAATTGACTTTCCGAACGTGGAGCCGGGACAGGTCTTGAGCGCTTGGGTGACTGTAAAGGTAACATACTATTAAGGCGATCCCTGAAATTATTTTGGTAGCTGCCCGTCATTCGCGACGTGGGGGTGTGCGACATGCATGGCACCAGTGCGCTATGGCGTGTTCATTTTGTGTCGTCTTGCTGTGTACATGGAACGTCAGAATCTTGATGCACGAACGCGCACGGTCAAGGTTCGACCACCCAAATCCAAGTATTTTGTCCTGAGGGAGTTCTTCAAACCCACCTCCCTTGCCGGTGGCCTGGAGACGCGCTTTGAGGTGAGCATGCTTGGCGACGTTTCCAGCTCAAATGCTCAGCATAAAACTTATGATGAAGATTCCTCCCAATGCAAGGCGGTCCCAAGGGTCGTATGTTCTGTTGGGGAAGGGTGGTATCGCCTCATTCGCGCTGCATGCCGTGCTGAAGCCTCCTGGCACCGCATGCTGCCCGCCTTGCCTGGACCCCGGCCGCAGCCCCCTATGGTTCCAAAATTCCACACGTATTCCCCACGGACCCTGCTATCCACAGGTATTCTTTGATGGCGATAAGTTTGAGCCGGACCGGCAGTCCGTACAGGACAAAATTGTTATCCAGACGGAGACTGGCAGCTATGACTTGCAGGCAAGACCACCGGATAGCAGCAGCAGATGTAGAAAGGGAGGGCCCAGTATAGAGCAGGTCGCGCATGAGGGCAGGCTGAAGACTGGCCAGTTGCTGCTGACGTTAGCTGGCCCAGCCGCTCCTGCTGGAGTTCATCACATTAGGCGGCAGCGGAGAAAGCTGCAATGAACCCAAACAAGAGCATGATGTTTGACCCGTTAAGCCCGGAGTTGGATGGATAACAGCACTGGGATGGGTTCCGTCCCCGGGCACAGCTTGCATATCGGCCGCGTAGGGATTGGGGAGATCCAACCTGGGATTGGGCCCTAGGAATCAGGGAGGAAGAGCTGGGTGCTGACAGGACGGAAAGCCATAAATGCGGGTTTTTTTCCCATCACCCGACTGCCAATGGTTCGGCGGCTGGGGGGCCGGTGAAGGCGGGCAGTGGCGTAGCAACATGCACGGTTGGGTACCCTCTGCTGGGGCCGAGCGTGAGGCCCGTAGGGGTGCTTAACAGCGGTGAGGCGGATGTCAGCAGTGGAACTCGAACCCCGTGCTCATGCAGCCGCCAAAGGGGAAGGCGGCTTCTTGCGGCAAGGCAGCTTGGGAGCATTGGCGAAGCCTTGGTTGAGCTGGGCAAGAGATTCGTGTAGAGGGCACACGTGCTCGGCAGGCTGACCACGGGCACCCATGGGTGTGCTTTTCTTTTTGGGTCGCCACGCACATCTGTTCAGCGAACACACCACCCAACTCCGCGTGGATTGTGTAGACTGTGTTTCGTGGCAGGAAGCGCCGTCGACGCTCACTATGCATTCATGCCGCTGCTGCACACGCGCATGTGGGGTTTGCCGACTGCCTATGCGACCATGGCCGCTGCACCCGCCGCCTCGCCCGCGCCGCAGCTCAAGGCCACCGCTCCCAAGGCCGATGTGCGCATCCTGGGTGACCTGATCATGGGCCTACTGCCTAGCGACAGCAAGGCGTCTAAGACCATCCAGCTGGTGAATGATGGATCCGCACACGCGTCTTTCCGTGTGGAGTGGGACAGGTGGGGCATTGAGCGCGGCTGAGCGCCAGGGGGGGGTTGCGGGGTGGGGACCTGCTGAGGAGGTTGGAATCGTGCGCTGGGACCCATGGACGAGGTCTGGGAGCTACGGGTACGTGGGCCCAAGATGAGCTTGTGGCAGGTGTAAAGCGCCAAAGGTGGCGACGGCCGGGTCTGAGGTATGGGTATTGAGGCGTGGTGGGGCCGCGGCAGCTTAGCTGGGTCAGTGCTGCACGCGTGTAAGGGTGAACTGAGCAAGTCAAGGGCGGAGGAAACGTAATGATTGGATGTCAGTGTCATATGGGTGGGTGGTTGATGGTGTCAGTTGGCAGGCGCCGACGCCCCTTCCCTGCCTGCCTCTCCTGTGCCCCTTCCCAATCCCGCTTACTAGGAACCTGCCCATTATTGTCGAACCCAACATCGGTGTGGTGGACCCGGGGGGTCAGCCTGTGGACCTGACCGTGACCGTCACTGTGGGGGACGCCGGTTCTCTGGCCTCGGAGATCACGGTGGTGCTCGGATCCATCACCAAAAAGGTCATGTTTACTGCTACCATTATAAAGCAGTCTTTTGACCTGGTGGACAGCTCGGGAGCCATTCTGACTGAGGTGAGGGAACGCAAAGTCCTGCGGGGCCAGGGGCTGCGAGGGCGTGGCATAGGTTTTATGAAGGGCCTGGGGATGGAGGATGCAGGTGCTTGCACGGCCTGGGGATGGTAATCACAGATGGGCTGCTGGAGAAGGCAGCGTGCACGTACTCCCCATGCGACCCTCCCATCGACTCCACCCTTCCTCCTCCGGGCCTTCGCGTAGCGCGACGCGGTGAAACGGGCGCCCTTCCGCAATCCTCATAGACCTACTACCATGCTCTAGCCGTGACGCAGCGACGGCGGCATCCTCCCACACCCCTTCCGTTCCCTCGCGGGTTCCAATAACCGTTCACCCCGCGCTTGCCATGCCGGCCCCTGCTCGCCGCACCCCGTTCACTCCCACCCGCAGCTGGACTTTGGCAGCCTCTACTACGGTCAGACCTCGGAGCGCGAGGTGACCCTGTTCAATAACGGTCCCGTGGAGGCCCGCTACATCATCAGCTACGGCACCCTGGCGGAGATGCGGTCCAAGGTGGATGATGAGGCGGCCGCCAACGCCGACCCCAACGACCCCTTTGCTGACGTTATCATGGCCGCGCGGCAGCGTCAAAAGGCACGAAATACCGGCGACAACCCCTTCCACGTAACGCCGCTCAGCGGCGTCATCGCGCCCTACTCCAAGGCCTCTGTCAGCGTGCGATATACGCCGTCGGCCCCCCAGGCGGGCAAGGGCTTCACCTGCCTGGTGCCCTCTTCCGACCAGGCACTGCGTACGTTCGAGTACTTTGCGGTGGTGGAGCTGCTGGGGCTGCCTACCAAGATGAAGCTGCCCATCCGCGCACGTGGCATGCCCGGTGGTCTGCGGCTGTCCTCGCAGGCGCTGGCGTTTGGCGATGTGGCCACCCACAACTGGGCGGACCAGCTGCTGGGCATCACCAACACCAACTCGCAGATGGGGGCGAGGTACCAGGTGGGTGTGTGGGAGCTAGGCACCGCGCCTTTGAAAGCATAAGAGATCGCTTCCTAAAGAACATCCTGCGCTGCCCTTCTTCTTTCACTGCGCGCCCTCATCCCAATCCCCACCTCTCGTTTGACCTTACCTTGAACCCCACTCCTGCATGTCCTCACCCGCGCATGCAGATGATCAAGTCCACCCCCTATTTCTCCGTGGACCCCTCCTCGGGGAGTATCCTACCGGGGGGCAACATACAGGTGGTGGTCAGGTACCACCCCAAGGCCATGGGAAAGCACAAGGGGACGATACCCATCAAGGTGCGCAACTATCGCCGTGGGGGCTTCCCGAGCCGCCATGACCTAGCGCCCGAGTGCGGTGGGGTGGGTGAAGTGATCAATTAATCGTCGCGCTTGGGCGATGCGCGATGTATAGGACGCAGGATCCTAGGTTAGTCGCGAGGCCTAAGCCGAAGGGCGGAATCGTGTATGCCGCAATCCCCGGCTGTAAGAAAAGAAGGTGGCTATGGACTATCCGCTCGGTCTTCTCCTTCCCTCTCTCTCTCACACACACACACACACACAAGCAACGACAATTCAAAGTCTGCTAACCCCAGGATTCCTTGGGAAACAGGCAGCTGAACAACGATTCCACCCGCCCTGTGCCACAGCTTATCGCACGGTTCAAACTCCAGCTCCAGAGAATGCTGTCCCTTGCATGTAGTGGCCTGGAGAGGGGACCGGGTTGCTGAGTGCTTCACATCCCCGTTGTGCGGCTCGTACACACACACACACCCTTTCACTCCTTTCCTCCTAACTGACGCATCCGTCGCACCCGCAAACTATTGTGGCCTGTTTCAGGTTCTTAGCGAGCAGGGCGAGGTGATCCAGGAGCTGGCCCTGGAGCTGTCTGGCACCAGCCTGCGCATGGGGGAGAAGGATTCGCTTGTAGGAGGGACGGACAAACTGCCACAGGACTTCGAGCGGCCGCGCAATTTCGTGGACGATGAGCAGGTCCGTGGGAATGGGTCTGTCAGGGGGAAAGGAGCAAAGCCGTCAGTTTTGGAGAAGTGTATAATGACCCGAGGAAGAAGGGTTGAAGGCGCGATGTTGGCTTCAAGGTAAGGCAGTTACGAGAGGGACGGCAGACTGAAGAGTTGAATCTGGCCACGTGCTGGGCTCTGCGTTTCATTACATGTTCGCTAGAGAAGATCAGGAAACTTTACGCTCAATGCCTGAACCTGAAAATCCCTAACTCCCTGCCACCTTCCTTCCCTGCCTCACTTTTCCCATCCCTGTCCTTGCCCGAGTCCAACCCTAACGGGCCCCCTCCTCCCTTCCTCCGGGGCTTCACCTCTGTCCTAATCCAGGTAATGCTGACCACATTGGAGGCCCGGAAGAAAAGCACCCGGTTACTGACCAAGACCTGGGACAAGCCCGAGCTGGCGGATGCGTACAAGGAAACCTCCACCAAGGAGACCATGTCGCGGGCGCAAGCGGCGGCAGCAGGAGCGCACAAGGAGAAGTACACGACCTTCATGCGCGCGCAGCGGACGGCACGGGAGGAACAGCGCAAAAACGGACGGGTGGGTGGCGGCACGTTAGCCTAAGAGGAGGTGGTGGGGCTGTGTGTTGACTATGGGCCGGGCCCTTCCGTAAAACACGAATGGCGGGGCGGTCTGCAGCGGCAGCGACGCTGCGACGCATACCATGGCTGTCACGCCGCATCCAACCACTTGGCCTCTCTACGCGCGTCCCTTTCTCCGCACGACGCTATACCATACGCCGCCATACCTCCCGACCTTCAATCCACCCGATGTTTTACCTTCCCTCCAGTTCCTGATCTGAAATATGTTTTTTGTCCACCCGCTTCTCCTCCTACCTACCCCGCATCCCACCACTCCCGTTCACGTCGGCCCCACGTCCTCCTCGTAGTCCCCTCCTCCACGTTTGTCCTCTATTCTTTGGAATCCCCCTTCGTCCTCCTCCAGGTTGACGAGGACGATGTCAACCTGGGCATGGACACCCGCAGCGGCCTGCTGGCTCCGGAACCCAAGCTCAGTCGCACCGTGGACCCGTTGTGGAGGGTGGATGCCAGCAAGGAGGCCGCACCACGCATGCTGAGACAGCTGGGTGCTGCCGATCTGGAGGGGGCGCATCAGTGGAAGCCGCGGCCGCAGTCAGAGCAGGAGCGAATAGACGTGAGCGGATAGGGCCGGGGAGGGAGGCGGAAGGGCGGGAGCGGGTGGGCAGGCTGCCTGGTCGGAAAAGAGGTGTGGCACATGCGTGTCGGCCATCCTGGGCTGGGCGTTAGAGGGGTCTCTGGACGTTAGGCTGGGCTGCCGAGCCAACGTGAGTTGCAGTGGGCAGCCGCTATTGGGACCATGGCGAGGCGAGGTAGAGTGATGTAGCGGAGCTGCAAGGGCTCTGGGACAGGGAACATGGAGTCACATGGAAAGCAGCAGAAGTCGCAGGCCAGCGGGAGTAGCACGGCCATCGCACCACAGGTCACAGGCTTTGCTTTGTAGCAAAGCTCACACCTTCTTTATCCTTACATTGTGAAATGCAAAACCTTAGGATCGCTGGCTGCTTCCGGCATTATTTGACCATCGTCCATTACTCTCTTTCCCCATGTTTCACACCGCTCCTCCCTTCCTTCCGTTGGCTCTTTGTGTCTTGCATGTGACTCCTCTCCTCCTTCCCCCTCGCCCCTCCCTCCTCATCCCCACCCGGTTTCCCGGCAGTGTTCCCGCGAGCTGAGCAAGGACGAGCTTGCCCGCCTGGTAGTGGGTCCCCGCATTGTGGACTTCGGCAAGGTGTCCATGGGCTCCACCAACACCCGTCATCTGGTGATGCAGAATACACTGGACGGCTTTATCAATGTGGTGCTGGACATCAAGCACCTGGAGATGCTGAGAGACTCACCTAGCATCAGCCAGGTCATACCACCGGGAGCTAAGGCGGACTTCCCGCTCGTGCTGCAGGTGGGGAGGGAGGGAGGGCAGGGGTTTGGGGACGGGAGCCGCAAGGGGGCTGGACGGAGGGAGGGACGAAATCGGTGGCGGGAGAGGGAAGCGCATGCAGAAATGGCGGCCGGAGGGAAGGGGAGCGGAGGGGGGATCACGGTGGGGCTGCGCGCAGGGTTATCGCTTCGGTGGACAGGACAATGGTGGCGTGCTGGAGTGGAGGGCAAGGAGGATCAGGTCTTGATGCAGGCGGAGGCAGCGGCGGCGGAGAGTATTCTGGCGATGAAGGGTGGGAGGAGCAGGGTTGCTCCGAAAGGTCGAAAGGCCCGAGTTTGATATGTGTTAGTGGGATGAAACAGGGGCCCTCATTCCTGAGCCTCTGCCTCTTGCCTGCTGCTCGACGAGTGACCAGCGACAGAGTGCTCGACGCCGCCCGGCCAGATCCAACAGCTTATACACCCCACGCAGCTCCTGTCCCACGCTCCTGCTTCCAGGTCCTCCCTCCAACACCCTCCACATCCCTCTCTTCACCTCTGCCTCCCAACATCCCCCACCACCGCTACCCGCAGGCGAGCGAGATCCGGTCCGTGAATGAGAAGGTCGAGTACGTGGTGAACGGCAACCACGTGCTTTCCTTTCCTCTGTCCGCCGACATCGTGCCCGTCAACCTGGACTTCTCCGCCGAGGACCTAAACTTCCAGTTCAGTCTGGACAACTGGGACGAAGCGGTGGAGAAAATCCTTATACTGGACAACCCACACAAGTTCCCAGTCAACTTCACCGTAGAGTCCACCAACACATGCTTCCAGGTGAGGCTGGGGCAGAGATTTAGGGGAAAAGGCAGGCGGACATGAGCTTAAGGGAAGGGGTACCGGGCTAGGGGCTGCGGGCTACGGCTGGTTAGTAGTGTGGGGTAAGTGGCCTGAACAGCTCCGTGGCGGTGGCGGCAGTGGTAGCGGTTGGCATACGATGCATGCTTGGGGTTGCGTGCAGGCGTGGGGGTCAGTGGATGTATGTGGGGGTGTTGATGTGGCCTTCTATGGTGCGCATTGGGCCCCCTGGGGCGCCATTGCGCTAATTGCCGTGGGCTTATCAAAACGATGAGAAATACATGGGATAAGTTGTTTCAGCCCAACGGAGTGTGGGTCCGGTCTCCCCTATTCGGCGCATCCTTCACCGCCTGACCCCTCCCCATTTGATTCCATCCCCCCGGCGAAACCCCCCCCCGGCAGGTGTCAGCTGGTGGCGGCGGTATCATCCGCAGCCAGTCGTCCGTAGAGGTGGTGGTGCGCTGGGCTCCGGATATGATGGGACCTCCCAAGCAGGAGGGCTTCCTCATCATCAAGATGGTTGGGGGTGAGAGCAAGGGCGGGAGTCAAGTGGCGGGTAGCGGGAGGAAATGCCAAAGACGTGTGCGGCGACCGGTAGGGTGGTGGAAGACCTGGTTGACCAGGAGGAGGTTGACACTGCAAGGAGGGAGCGCCACTGGGAGATGAGAGCTTTCTTCCAAGGCGGGAGGGAAGGGGTTGGGAGGCTTCCCCATCTCCTTCCCTCAGCCAGGTGTAGGTACATACCACGTGCATTTTTGATGCCACGGAAGGGCACGCGGATGTGTGTTAGGGAAGTGACTTTTCCGCGCAACGCTGGCCCATGTCCCTCGTTTTACCCCGTGTGCGTGATGCTGCTAGCGACGAGCTGCCACAGAAGGCGATGATCTCTCGGTGAGCACGGAGATGCATCGCCTGACCCCGCGCGCAATACTGTTCACACTGTGTTACGGCAGCAATGAGGTCCCAACGGTTATGCCACCGGGCTCCCACACGCAGGCGAAGCCCCCAAGCGCATCTACATGACGGGCGAGCTGCCGGAGGGCAATGTGCGGCCCAAGGACAAGGAGCTGGTGGTGTCGGTGGTGCCTGTGGGCATACAGCAGAGCACTGTGCTGCAGATCAAGAACCACGGAAGCCGTGATACGGCCTTCCGCTTCTTGTCGAATGAGGAGGTGGGAGGGGGCAGGGGAGCAGGGCTGGGCGGAGCAGCGTGGTGGGCGGGTGAGGACGCGGTTGGAGCAGGGGAATGGGGGGTCCGCGGGGAAAAGCGTAACCCAGTTAGGGAATTGCAGCACGTTGCGGGGGTGACGCGGTGCGGCGGTGCTTCTTCCTTTCTCTCGTACTTAAGCTGATGACTGCATCCCCCTGCACGTTTTGCCATCATGCACTTGCTATCTCCCACACGGACGGACACCAGTCTTCCCAAACGAATCATCCCAAACGCTCATTAGTGACTTTTCTTGTGGCTTCGTCTCCGCTGTCCCCGGTGTGTTGGGCTCTGACCAGCTTGCCTAACGTGGTTCCTTTGGTTCTCTCTGCGCATAGCCCACTTTCCTCCCCCTTCCTGTAGCTGATCACCAAGCCCAGCAGCGGCCGCATTGCCGCCGACGAGACCCTGGATATCGAGGTGCTGTTCACCGCCAACGAGCCGGGCACGTTCCTCAGTTGCTTGGCGCTGGAGATGCGCGGCGGGAACATCGTCAAGATACCCTTCCGGGCTGAGGCGGTGGTGCCCAATGTGGAGATTGAGCAGGTTGGGACTAGTGGGGAGAGCGGGTGGGGCAGGAGGGAAGGGGAGGGCGGGCAGACAGGCAGCGGGATGGACTCCTCTGGCCGCCCAATAGAAGCCGTGGAGGAGGGGCCGTCCGTGGGAAAGTGGGACCGGGACGAGGAAAAAGGTGGCTACGCTTTCCTGGCGCGACTGGTCCGCTAAAAATTATTCACATTGACCATTCATCGCTTTTGACTTTCGCCCGAACCCAACCCTCACTACACCTACGAGAGCGCAGACCTTTCATCCATCTCGCTGCCTTCCCGTCCGGCGCCCAATCCGGGGCCCCTTACCCGTTCCCCCTTCCTTCCGCCAGGACGAGTTCAACTTCGGCTCCGTGTTCGTGGGCAGCTCCTCCCGCCTGCCCCTGACACTGCGCAACACCTCCCAGGTGGCCGCCACCCTCATGATCGACCTGGTGGCGCACCCCGACCTGCAGCTGCTGTGCCCTAAGGATGCATGGTCCACTGCCGAGTACGAGGCATGCCCGCTGGAGGCCATCGGCCCCGCCGGCAGCCAGGTGCTGGGAAGCCGCTTCGGCAGCGGGAGGGTCAGCCGTAGCGGTAGCAGGCGACAGTCGTCGTCGCTGGGCTTCAGGTCAATGTGTGAGTGCAGAGGGTGTGGGGCTGGGGTGGGATGGGATGGGGTGAGGTGGGCAGGGTATCTTGCACCGCGGGAACTGGGAAGAGCAGCCTGGGCCAGGGAGCGTGGTCGGGATATGTGCATAAGTTCAGTCGCTTCTTTACAGCTGAGCTGACTGCAGTAATTGGCTGTGTCACGGAATATGTAGGGCTGTTCCTGGGGAAAGGCAGGGCCTGCGGTTGGCTTGGGTGGTCGATATTTTTCCTTTGTTCTTGATATGGACGCACCCGCTAGGCTACCATTCACCTCCTAGCTCGAGCCCTTTCGGGATGTTTTCATGCTGGCTCCTGGACTGAGCATGTGAGATCATGGGCCTATGGGAAGCCAAGACAAACTGCGTCCGGATATACAGGAGGAAGCTCTTTACTTGCTTGCCGGCGGCCAATCCATGAAGCTCCCCACTTCGCAAAGTATTCCCCGCGTTTGAGCCTGCACCTGCGGCCGCATGCCGCGCACTTGCGCTTTACGTCCTCAGCCTATGATGGCTTCAAGTACCGCATTACCATCAACCCCTGCAAGGAGCTCCCATTGCTCCTGGACTTCCGGCCCATGGAGCAACGCGATAGGGACGTGGAGCTGGCCTTCCACCTGGTGACGGCAGGAGGAAACTCCGTACAGCCAGTACGGAAGGTGCGTGTGTAGCATTCGTACCATCCCGTCATGCAGCCGAGTGCCTTCTATCAGCCGGCTGGGCAGACGGTCCTCAGAGCCGCAGGCTCTGTGTGGGCCATGGAGGACGGCCGCAGCCCAGGTCTTTCCACTGACACCCGTGTAGGCCGCTCCGCGGCTTTTCCATGCGAAAGATGCTACCGGGCCAGGGGCTTAAATGAGGTTGACGATCCGCTCTTGAAACTGGCCCGCCTCGCACTTGCCGCCCTCTTTGGGCCCCCTTGTTCAGGTTGCTACTGGCAAGGGTATGAGTCCCCGCATCATCCTATCCAAGACCCTAATCGACTTCGCCAACAAGGTCGTCATTCGCTCAAACCAGCTCAAGGCGCCTTACGTCATTGACCTGTACGTCACCAATCAAGGTGAGGCTGAAGGGGCCAGCCAGGGAGCGAGGGGAAGGTGGACAAAAGATGGGGAAAAGGGTATGTACCAGAGGACCCGTGAAGCGCACCCAAGTACTACCGCTTAGCTTTCCGCTGCCTTTCTCCTCCGCGTGCATCCCACAGAGGAAAAACCGGTGGTGGTGTCGTTTGGCGAGCCGGTTCCCGCACCCCACGCTGCGGGGCTGCCGGTCAAGGGCATCTACAGCATGGACCTGGCGCCCATGCAGTCCCTGGAGGTAAGTAGCAGGAACGGAACATGGGATACTGAGGTCATCATGCGGGTCGGACCGGGCAGGGTAATGCAGGCTGGAATTTGTTGGAGGTAGGGTCGTGTGCAACGTCGGTGACGACGAAAACATCCGCTGAAGATTGGGAAGCGCACAATGAGGGTCGGGCACTCGGGATTTGGTCGGTGAGCAGACGCGGCAGTTGGCCATCAGGGAGGGGAGATCTGAGAAATCGACTCGCTTCACAGTCTGCTTTTATTGCATGAATGATGAATCTCCGCCCTCCCTCTTTCACAGGTCCAAGCCCAGGAGATGGTGGGCGTGCAGATCCGGTTCTGCCCCCGTGACTCGCGCACCTACGAGGCGCTCATCCCTGTATACCTGGACGGGGCCACGGATGCGCCCTACCTCAACATCGAGGTGCAGGGCGTGGGTCAGTACCCCAGGTGGGCAGGCGGGTGGCTAGCTGGACGGGTGGGTGCGCGGCACGGTAGAGGGGCCGGTTAGGGAGGGTTAATGCGGGGCGGACACAGACAAGGTGAGGGTGATGAGACCTGAGTAAAGCTTCTTTACGGAAGTAAGTTATCATGGGAAAGGACCTGTTGGTGGCCGGGATACCTCGCTGGACACAGATGTCGCCATTCTGCCGCTGCTCCCGGCACCCACCGCAGCCCCGCCGCTTACTGACCTCTTCGCAGCTCCCAAAACTTTTCCATTCCAATTCATTCTCCCGCCCTCGCTCCACCGACCTGGATGCCCGCAGGCTGTCCTTCGATGTGCGCGAGTGCTTGCTGCCGCCCGTGCCTCTGGGCCTGCGCAGCACCGCCACCTTCTTCGTCGTTAACAACGGCTACGACAACCTGGAGCTTAAGTATAAGCTGCCTGCGGACGAGGGCCACCTGCCCATGGAGGTGGAGTTCCCGGAGGGGACGATCATTGGTGAGACACTGGGACGAATGTGCCGATGATGACTTGATTATGGGAGTTCAGGAAATACCAGGTCGGCGGAGCATTTCCGTCCTCTAAGCCTGCGTTACCAAAGACCGCCATGATCTAAGCGTCCGTGCCAGCGTGGGTACACGTCTTCCTTGTTAGGGAAATGGTACCCACTACTTTTTAGGGCCCCGTCGCGACTTGGCCAAAAACTAGCTGATTGGCACGATTTCGTCAGTCGAGAAAAAATGGTAAAAATGGAAAATTTTGACTCAAATTCCTCTGATGAAAAGTCCACGGTCGGAGTTTCATTCCACATACGTGCATTGTACCCATGAAATAGCTCGGAGGTGAGATATCTGTGGTCACTTAACCTTTCTAATACTTATAGAATGGCCTCAAAGTTCTAAGGAAAATTTAGCAAAAGTAACAGAATTTTCTCATGAATAATCCTGCCATTTAAGATAGCCACACTGGTTCGAAGACCACGACAAAGGGGGGCTGGGCGGTTGCTTTCTTTCTTCCTGCTCCCAACCCTAACGCTACCCATCCCGTCCCCAGGTCTTGCCAAGGACCGGCTTCCTGTGGTGGTGTCGTTCATGTCCCCCAAGCCCATGTCCTTCACCGCCAACATCGACTTCATGGACGAGGACGGCAAGCGCTTCTCCATGTCAGTCACCGGCACCACCGACAACTCCCTGCTCACGCACGGTGCCTTCATGGCCGTCAACAAGAGCCAGCTGGTGTTTAGCCACGAGCCGGGGATGCCGGTGTTCCTGGAGGAGGCGGCGTACGTGCTGCCGGCGCCGCCCATGTGCCTGGGACCCGAGGTGCCCTGCCGCGGTGTGGCACGCTACCTCAACGCCACCACTACACGAGGGCCATTCGATAACCTGGGCCAGCAGATGATGGTCAGCCGCGGCAAGTTGCTCCTGGAGATTGTGGAGATGCTCAGTGGAAAGTCGGTGCCGGGCAAGGTGGGTGAGGCTTTGGGGAGCGAAACCTCGGGGGGGCAAGGAAGGGTTGGGTATGGAGAATGGAATCGACGAGGGTGGGTTGAAGTGGGGCGGTGTCGCGCGAGTGGGAAGCGGATGATGAGGGGATTGCGGAAGAGTTGTGCCAGTGGCTTGGTATGGATCTCCAAGCTTTGTAGACAAGTTTGAAGGTCGCGGTTGCAAGCTTGCAACTTGGAGTGTGTTTGTATGCAGCGGCAGCCGCCACAATCCCTCCACTGGTAAGAGGAGCAGCACCACAGCCACCGACCTCAATCCCCGTCCCGCACGTCTACGCTTTTAGACAACGAAGCTTCCTTCTAACGCTTAACCATACATCTTTATGACATGATTCTAACTCATGGCCTCTACCATGCAGATCTTCAAGTTGAACAACAACCGGAAGGAGGCGGTACGGCAGCTGCTGCTGCAGTACGACGCTGTGCTAGTGTTCCTCAAGTCTCACGGATGCTTGCTTAACGCCGTCAAGCCAGAGATGCTGCTCGAGTATGAAGACTTCTGCAGGTGAGGCAAACAAGCAGGCACGCAGGCGGGCGTATCAAGCTAGCCAGCTAGTAAAAGCCCAATCTGGGGATTATGAAAGAAAGTAACCCAAGCAGGTTCTGCCAGGGCCGCCCATTCTCGACCAACGCGATGATAAGTGTATGCCTGCCTGCGACGCAGAGTAATGTGGGACACCATACTTGTCACCGATGCCCAAGCCTGATGCTATCTGCGTGCCTCCTTTGTCGAGTCCGCCACCCATGCCGAAAAGCCCCTTATTTGGTACCTTTGCCTCAGCCTGTCATTACCCTCACCTCGTTGGCGCTGCTGCATCGCCACTTGATTGGCCCTATGTGTTCTAGGGTGATGAACGAGCGCAGCACCGCCGCCACCGACAACGCCGAGGAATTGGAGGCGTTGGAGATGTGGAGCGAGGTGGAGATGAACTTCGCCACCGTATCGGCTCAGGCCTGGAACTCCATGGTGCTGCAGATCTTCAAGGTCTTCGTGTTGGGCAGGGTGACGCTAAAGAGCCTGCGTACGCTCCCAGGTACGGTTGCGGTTGTAACTTACCGGGTCAGTGGGGGCGCGAGTTTGAGGGAGAGGATAGGAAATGCAGGGCGGAAAGGGAGGTTTGGGTGCTGGGAGTGGACAGGAGCTCACAAAAATGGAGTAGTTCGTGCTGTGAGGAGCTAGCGGACGGGTTGGGGAGGAGGATGCGACCTGGCCCCAACACGGCGCTGTGCGCAGTGGGTGCTGTTGTAGGATCCGGTAGGCTGAGGCCCTACCCGGTCACCCGGCGAGGGCCCCACCTCACCGCAATAACCTTCTTTCTGCACAGCATGGATTATGTTTGCCGCTGTCGATCCAAAAGCATCGTAGGCGTATCAATACCGCACATTGTAAGGGCCGAAGCCAAACTGTGCAAAACTGACTCCCGGCCAGAGACACGCCTCTGCACAGTAGTACTAAGGCGCAACCCTTGCACAATTTTGTTGTGGACTTTTAACCCCGTGTCCCCCTGTACACCCTATTCAGGGTTTCACCCATTCCCAGCATTGAAGCCATAAAGTTAAGTTGACCACCCTGTTACTGTACCTCCTTGCCGGCCTTGCTCGTCCCTTCTCCCCCAGGCTCTGAGAATCTTGAGCTCCCCCCCGACTCGTCCATCATTGGTTCCAACTTTTACAGCGTGGCCGAGTCGGCTCTTCTGGCCTGGATGTCGGCCCACTGCACCCGGGAGTTTGGACCCAAGTTCCCCAGGATCACCAACTTCGATTCAGGTGCGGGCCTGGTGATGCCGGCGGTAACGCCGGGAACTGCCGCCCTAGCTGTAGCGAGAGAACGAGGGATGCCCACTCCCACAGCCTTGTTCCAAGAGACTTCATATGCATTGTCTGTGGCTTGGCTATCTTTACGTCCGATGCCAACCTGAACCCTGCTTTCCTTCCATTTCCCTTACGCCCTCTCCCTTTCTCCCACCCGCGGCTCCGGAACCCGCTTCCGCTGGCAGACCTGGCCGACGCCAGCGTGTTGTTCGCGCTGTTATCCGGCTACTGGCCGGGGTTGGAGAAGAAGAAGAAGACGCTGCGTCTGGACTGCCGTGACGATCAGGACAAGCGGGAGAATGCTGAAATGGTGCTCAAGATTATGACGGTGAGGAGAGGGGCTGGAGAGGGAGGTTAGGAAAGAAGGGGCAGCGGGACTCAGGCAAGGCAAGGGGCCCAGCGGCGAATGGAAGGGGAAAGGATTGTTGAGGATTGTACATGAAGGAGGGGAGAGCTTAAGAGCTAAAACCCGCGTACGCTTTGCACCTGGCGGGACGGTGGAAGGGTCCATTACCGGTACATGCGCCCATGCAGGTTGCAAGCTTCAGGTCACAGGATTTTGCATGAGCGTTGCGTTCCGGCCCTGGAGAGAGGACATGCCCCTTCAACCCGTTGTGCCGTCCCGTTTCGCTGATGTCCAGGACCTAGGCTTACCGTACGATATCACGGTGGACGAGATCGTGAACCCCAATCCGCACGACATGATGGTCTTCGTGCTGTATTTGCATCATACGCTGCCGCAATTCGTGCCGCGGTCCTGCATCGACTTTGCGTGCAAACTCGGAGAGACGCAGGTAGGTGGGGAGTAGTGTTTCACGGCCCGGCGACAAGCAGCGGTGTGGGTGACGCGTCGTCCTTTCTACGTGTGTCTAAAGCCTGCTAGCTGTTTAAGGCCCTAAGGGGGGAGTTGTTTGGGCTGTGCCGTGGGCTTGCATGGGAAAGTGGATTGGTTACTAAGCGCTCTCTTACCCTTCCTAGTATCCTCGGAATCGCACTATGCACGCGCTACAGAACACCTACTCGTTGAAGCTGCGGAGCGGGGCAGCCCTCCATTTTGGAAGAAGACACATGCACTTGTCGCTTGCCGTGGCCCCGCAACGCCCCGCCTGCTCTCTTCTCTCCCCAACATAGCCTCCGGATTCCCCTGGGGCCTCCTGCTCCCCGCAGTGCAAGGAGCTGGAGCTGACCAACCCCAGCAAGAAGGCCATTAGCTACTCGGCGCGCCTGGAGGGCCACCGCGACTTCTCCATAGAGTCGTCATCGCTGCGGATTGAACCCAAGGCCGCTGCCAAGCTCATGATCCAATGCACGCCCACCAACACACTGTCTCAGGTAGAGAGAGCCTTATTACAATAAGCGGGAACCCCACCCCAACGAACGATGCGCGGCCTGACGCGCCGTTTCGGCAGCACGGGGAAAGCAGGCTCGGCTCAATCCCCGGAAGCGACCTGGGTCGACTTAGGGTTATCGGCAATGCTGCGGTTTAATCCGAGTCCGGCAGCAGGTCCCACAAATTGCGGACCATACGAGTATCTTCCACAATTAGGCCCCTCATCAAGCCGGGAAGTGCAAACTGAGAAGAGGAAAACAGTTGGGACAACGTCTCGTACTCGCTCAATGCTGTACACATCGTACGGCCTCACTCAGCGAGTCGTTACTTCCTCGCGCGGGTTCCTGCTTCTTCGCCTGGCTACTTGCCCGCGCGAATATACCTCTCAGCTTCAAGAGACTGACTACTACCTTAAATCCTTAAACCCGTACTAACCTCCAATAAAGATTGCCAGGGGAGGAAGGGGGGGAAAGGAAAGTAGAGGCACCAACCACACAGATCCAAAGTCGCTGGCCTGCTAGAAAGCCCATCGTAACCAGAAGCGGCCAACCAGAGACACCTGCTCTGACCCAACTCCACGGGAACAGACAGACTCCGGACTACGACAACCCAGCACCCAGAGGAACCTGTACACCACTACCGCACAACGCCCATTGCTGAAAGGCCTCGTCTGTAAACGACACTTTTGTTTGCCAAAACCAATATTTTTGCTTCACCAAGTCGGCAAGGCAGTATCACCTGGGCCAGCCTACCTAACCCTCTGGCAAATGCGCGACGACTCCTATCAGCTCCCTGGCCTCACGCACTGCACACTTTCCTCCCCGCGACCCCCCCCGTCCTGGCCTCAGGCCTCCCGGCTGGTGCTAATGAGCAAGCGCGAAGGAGGAGTGCATGCCGCCACCCTGGTTTTCCAGCTGGCCTGCAAGGTCAACACGCGGGCGCCGCTGAAGCGTGTGCGGACCGAGGGCCCGCTGTACGAGCTGCAGGTGTTCGAGTTCACCGTCACTAACCCCTTTCCGGCGGGTGCGTACGGGTGTGGGCTGAGTGGTGGTGGTGGTGGTGATGAGAATGGTGAGAATGATGGGGGGAGAACGCGCGATGATGTTTGCACCATGTACTGTGCTGCCGTGTGTCGTAAGACTTAGGGGGTTGGACTTAGGGCACGTACCCCCTTATATGATTTGTCGTTGCACGGAAATGTATGCCTGCTGGCGGCGGCGGCACTCAACAAGCGTACCAAAGTGCCGACATATTTGGGCACTATAGCTGATCTACATGGGCTATGAGGGCGCCGCACTCGCACCCTCACCCTACACGGCCGCTCTTGTCACCCGGAAACGGACGCCCAGCTGAGCTGAAATACGGTGCGCCTGCTCCTGATTTGGATGTAAGGATCTGTTCGTACGGTTTCGCAGATGGTGACTTCACCATCCAGATTCTGCATGAGCCTGCGGAGCCGCTTCCCAAGAAGGAGGAGGACCCCGCCGCCGCAAAAGTCGGCCCCGGGTCAGCCGCCCGCAGCCGGGCCACCAGCAAGCGCAGCGGCCGCAAGGCCCAGCAGTTCGGTGAGTGTGGAGGAACCATGGGGGCCGAACGGGCAGTTGGGAAGGAGGGGCGGGCCGAAAGCTCTGGTTACGTTTCCCATCTGGACGCTAGAACACTTCCGGCTGCTGCTTCCTTGCCCTCACCCACGGCCCCCTCATTACCCCAACCCTACCTCCGCACCGTCCCTGCGTCGCCCCAGAGCTCCCCACGGCCGAGGAGGTTGCGGCCAAGTGGGGCAGGCTGTGGCCAGATGCTTTTGGTCTGGATCGTAACCGGCTGCGGCTCAAGCAGAATGCCTCTGAGCGCATCAAGGGCTTCTTCCTGCCCTTCACCATGACCGCCGCCTACTGCACGGTGCTGTTCCGCGACAAGGAACAGGGCGAGTTCTGCTACGAGCTGGTGGGGGAGCCGGGGCTGCCCTCTCCAATGATGCAGGTCAAGGTAGGTGGATGGGGGCATGGAGGCATAGAGGCACGGCCAAAAACGGTAGGGCCTGGCGATTGGGCCGTGCGGCGGAGGCGGAGATTTGGGGGGCCTCGGGCACCGGGCGTTAGGCGAGGGTGGCCTGTTGGCAGGGAGGGCTTCGAGGAGGTACGGGGTAGCGCTAGTGGCATGTTACCGTGCAACAAGTTGTGTTGACGCATGGGAAAGATGATCCTAGAGCCTGTTATCTGCTGCTTGTTGGTGCTGCTACTTGTCACCATGGGCCCCATCACTTCTCCCTTGATGGCCTCACTTGCCTCCGAAGTTTTCACCCCATCCATGTCACCCCGTTGCCCCATGACACCATCAATGACACCATCACATGACCCGGATCCGCCCTTTCCTGCCAGGGCAATGTGCCTCTGGAGGCCCCGCAGCAGGTGTATGACCTGCTGCTGCCCTTCCAGAACTCGGCACTGGAGGCGGCCAAGAGGGCCTTCCAGGTTCGGATGAGGGCGCCCAGGGAGGGGGGGACCCAGAGAAGTGCGAGTACGGTGGTGGGTTGTGTGGGGATTGCAATTTGACCCGCTTGGAGTATGTGAAGTGGTGTGCGTGTCACATGCGCGTGTGCATGAACGAAGTATTGGGACCGCGATTGACCTTGGCTGCCGTGCCCTCCGTACCCCGTACCCCGTGCACTGACACGCACGAAGCCCTCCTCGCGCGGGGTTTTGCAACTGGGGTGTGGGGGAAAGGAGGAAAGAGGAGGTGCCTGGACGTGACAGTCCTCTTTCGAGGTCCCTACGCCCTGCGTTTCTCATCTCCGTTCCGTGTCACTTACTACTGAGGTGTGAGGCGTATTCCTCCGAGGCTCATCTCCGTGCTCCATCGCGTGTCCGTCCACAGGAGAAGCACCCCCTGGCCAAGGACAAGGAGCAACTGTCGCTCCTGAAGCAGGACCCCTTCAAAGGAAGTAAGTCATGGGCGAGGGGAAAAGGAAGAAGCGGGGGAAATTTCACCGGTGTGAAGCGCAGTCCGACCCCGCCTCCTTCATCATCCCGCCGTTAAGCTTATCTTCCTGTATCCTGCCTCTGCACGTTGGCCGACGCTGCCACAATCTGTTCTTTATTCCCTTATCGGCCCCACCCCGCCAGACGAGATCGCGTACCTGGTGACCCAAACCAACAGCCTGATGAGCGCCCCATCGCACATCTCGCTCTCCGCTCGCTCCCTCCTCGTCTACGCCACGGAGCCGCTCCCCACCTCGCCACCCAACGGCCCTGGCGGCGCGGTACAGAGCGCCGCCTCTGGGGGCGCTAATGGTAACTCCGGCGGTGGTGGCGCCAATTCCTCTCGTTCCGGGGGCCAGCAGCGCACCCCCAATGCAATGCCGCCTCCGGAACCCAACACGCTGCGCTTACACCTTTCCCCCATCGGCACCGGCATTTACCCCACTCGCATCATGCTCACCTCGGCGCTGGACGTGCGAGTCATCGACGTGGAGCTTACGGCCCAAACCATGACGCAAAACTTCGTATTGGAGTTCAGCACATCCGCTCGGCAACCCATCACCCAGGCAAGCCGCGCCGGCGTGTGAGGTGGAGAGGGTGTAAAGCGCTTGGGTGGCTGGACAGTTGGATTGAGCCGTTGCAGCTGCAGCTGTTGACCCGAAGCCATTTGGACCCAACTCCTACTTTTTTCCCCGCCATCCACGGGTCTTAGGGCTGAGCTTGCTGCATATACATGCCCGCCCCACGCAGTCGATGTCCGACGCCCTGTTTGCCTTGTTCATGTCCCAATCCCCTTCCGGCCCTCCCTCCGGCCGTCCCTCCTCCCTCCCTCACGTAAAGGACATTCCACTGGTCAACACGGGCGAGACCAGCATGACGGTGTCCGCCACTATCAATGGTGCCATCTGGAGTGGACCCCGGGAGATGATCGTGCCTGCGGGCTGCACCGTCATGTACCCGCTGCAGTTCAAGCCGCTATTACCGGGTGAGGGAGCAGATGCTTTGGGGGGGGAGGGCGGGTAGGAAGGCAGTACCATGCGGGATATCCTTCGAGACCCGCACACCCCGTAACACGGACCGAAGACTCGGTGGTGGGCGGCGTAGATGGGAACCGGAGTGGAGTTGCACTAAGATTGCTGGCTGGTGGGGAACGTAGAGTGCGGCTGCTACTCTCCGCAGTTGCCGCCGACTTGCAGATGTGGAAGGCGCCCGAGCCTCTCCTTGCAACACACTGTCAGAGAGACACCCTGCAAGGGGTGTGTCTTCAGGGCAAGTCGACGGCACCTGCACGCCCTGACAGGCGCATGGAACCCACCTTAGCACTGCCGTACCCATTCTTGGTGCGCTTCATTGGACATAACTCTTCTGTTTGGTATTGTCCTTCCCCATCCCTGGGGTCTGTCTCTTTTCCAGGTGACATCAAAGGCAGTTTGGAGCTGGCCATTAATGCCACCGGGGAGCGCAACACATACACACTGCTGGGTCGGGCTTCAGAGCCGCTGGCAGAGGGGCAGATCGTCATTGAGTGCCAGGTAGAGTGTGCGGGCACCTAGTGAGTGGATTGGATGGGGACAGGCTGCGGAGATTAAGTTAGGACAATGGCTTGACCACGGGCTACAGGGTTGTGCAGCGACGTGCACACGCATGGGAAATACATGCATGTGTCGGGCATTGCCAGTTTGGGCCTCTTTGCTTGGGCCAAGGGAATGCAGAGAGCCGCACTTCCCTGTGAGCTATGAGAGCTGATAGCGCCGCCCTGCCCTGCCCTGTCCTGCGGCACTGCCATCCGCAGGCCCGCAAGCCCGCCACCAAGCAGTTCAACGTGCCCAACATCATCGGAAGTTCGACGGAGTACAAGGTGATGTGCGACCTGGACTTCATGGTGGGAGTGCCCCAAGTCAAGGTGCCGCCAGGACTTGCCACGCAGTACAAGATCACCGCATGTCCGCAGCGCAGCGGCACCTACAACGGCATCATCACCTTCACTACCGCTGATGGGCAGTACTGCTGGTACGTAGTCGTGTACCTACGGACGGACTTGCACCGGGATGCATCCCCGCGGGTGCGGGAATGGAATGGGACGAACCGCCAGCCTGCCACCCCCGCCCGTCTGGCACATGTTTTTTTTCTCTGTCCCTCTCCCTCTCTTTCTCTTTATCTCTTTTTCTCCGCATACCCAGCCATCTGCGAGTTCCCCCCCAACGCCTAGAGGACCTTCCGGCGTAGAGTTGCTTGGGCAAGGGACCCCGGCTCGGTACTACCTCATTCCAAAAACCGATAACACGCCTGGCTATACATGTCCATACCTGGCGGGCCACCCCCCAATCCAGACGCAACAACCGCTACACGCACACTCAGCCTCACCCTCTCCTTAACCCCTTCGCACCTTGTCACCTTTGCGCTCCCCACTCTCTATCCCCTATGCACTCTCCACGCGGCCCTTCATTTCCCACCGCCTCACTGGGGCTTTCCTCTCCCTGCCCTTTCCCCGTTCCCCTTTTTCCCCCTTCCCTTGCCTACCCAGGTACACACTCGAGGTCCGCGCCTCGGAGCCGCCCGAGGTGGGCACCATTGACGTCCGCGCCGCCGTCCGCACCGCCGTGGTGGTGTGTGTCACCATGAGCAACCCCCTGCGCAAGGACATGGAGCTGGCGGTGCGATACAGCGATGTGGCGCTATGCGGACCTGCTGTAGTGGCTCTACCCGGCACCCAGGAACCCGTCACCTTTGAGTTCTTCTTCGCGCCGCTGGTGCCCGGCTCCTCCAGCGGCAGCGTGGTGCTGGTCAACGACGACGTGGGGGAGTTCCGGTACCTGATCAACATGGTTGCCGACCCCGCAGAGCCGGAGCAGCTGCCCGACATGACTGCGGAGCTGGGGCGCTCCGGCAGGTCTCCGCTGGTGATTGAGAACCCACTGGATGTGGCGGTGGTGCTGTCCGCCACGAGCAGCAACCCCAGGAACTTCGCGGTGCTGCCAAGCATGGTGGGTCAGGGCTGAGGGTAACTGGGGATTTGAGAAGGAGGACAGATCCAGATAAGACCAACGGGTGGGGCCCGCTAGCTGGTGACGGGGTAGGGAGAGGGACTTCCACCTGGGTTGGGGGGTAAGGACGGGGAGTGAGGGAGGGGGGTCTGGGAAGTGGGGGCCGAGTGGGGGATTCGGGTTTGGGAGTGATAGTACGTTGTTGTGCGGCGCCGTAGCTATCTGAGTGCATCATAAGGGCCTCCTCAGTGGCCATGACCATGACCATGCCCGCCACCAAGCAGGAATTGCATCACCAATATCGCCACCAACCAAGAAATCGTATCCTGCCCTTCACCTGACACGCGAAATAAGCATTACCTGGTCCATGAGTAGCCGATTGTCTTTGATTGTCTTTGAAAAGGAGCACAGGAAAAACCAGTGTCGATGGAGACGCACATGTCCGACGACACTTGGTAACAGGGCAACGCTCCCGGACATACCTCCCTTGCCCAACCCACCCACCCGGACAGGTTGCGCTCTCCGCGTACGGCACTGCTGAGCTCATGGTTGAGTACTGCCCCAGTACCTTGGATCATGATGAGGAGGCAACCATCACGGTGGATGGGGACATCGTAGGGACGTGGGAATACAATGTAAGTTTTGCCGGCAGCGTACACAGGGGCCGTACCCTGGCTGACCCGTGGGCCTATACTATTGGGAACTGCCTCCAAACTCCCTCGTATCAGCACTCCCGTTGCGGCTTCCAAACGCTGCGTAATGGGCCCGCGCCGGGCCATGGGCCATGGGCCCGTGAGCGGTTCCCTCCCCTTCTCCGTCCGCCCCGTTTCCTGCCTCTACGGCTGTCCACGCTGTCAGGCCTGGTCTCTGTCAGGCCTTAGGTTTCACTCAACACCTTCTGCCGCACACTCCCCCGGCCCCACTGCTTCCCAGGTCCGTGGCCGTGGCGAGCTCCCCACCGTCATGGAAGCCACCCACATGTCCACCATGCTGGGGGCCCAGGGCCAGGTCATAGTCACGTGGAAGAACCCCTTCCCGGAAGCAGCCTCCGTCAGCGTGCAGCTGCGGACCGACGAGCCGCCGGGAGTATTTGAGCTGCTGCGTCTTGGGCCCTACAACGGCGCCAGCTCGTCCAAGGCGCTTACGGGAGTCATCTCTTCGAACAGCTCCTCGAACAGCGTCCACGGTGGGGTGGGGCCAGGGCCCGGCGGGGGCAGCGGCGGGCACGCCGCTACGGCCGCCCTCGCGCTTGGAAACGGCCCACTGCGCAGCGGCGGCGCCAGTGGCGCGTTGACAGTGCAGGAATGGACTGTACAGCCGTACGGCTTGCTGCATGTGCCGCTGCGATACACTCCTGCAGCACTAAAGACGTGTTCCTGCGAGGTCCTCGTTGCGGTGGAGGGCAGCAGCTACAGCCTCAACACCCTGGTGTGGCGCTTCCCGGTGCGGGCGCTCACGGAGGCCAGCCTCAGCGGTGTCGTGTTCAGGTGGGGGCCATGTGGCGTGAGGGAAGGGAAAGGGAGGGAAAAGTGTTGTTTTAGGGGGCTGGTGCTGAGTGTTAGGACAGTCCCTGAGAGGGGGTTGGTTGGCTTGTGGATGTTATCGTGATTAGAAAACGATCAACCCAAAACGATTATCAGTTTGGGTTGATGGGAGGAGTGCTTCTGCGTTGCTGGGGTGGGATGGAAGAGGTAACTCGTGATGTAGTGCCGGTGATAGTGGCTCCTGGTCGCGCATGTGCGACTTATTCCCCAGGGTGGTGTTCTTGTTTGTTAGCGCATCCTCCGCATCCTCAGCAAACAGCGGTGAAATGACCTTCGCTGACCTCCCGCCTCTCTGTTTCCCCCTTCAGGTACAAATGCAAGGCCCGGTCCCGCATTGAGGAGACCATGGAGGTGGTGTTGACAGGGCTGAACAAGGTCGGACCTGAAGACGAGTTCAGCCACGAGATGGTGCTGCCAGTGGAGCACAGGTGAGGAGAGGGAGGGGTGGCGGGAGGGGGGAAGTGGACGGGTTGAGAGAGCTCGACGGCGGGGCTAAGAAGTGGACAAGAAGATCCGTTGACTGCAAATGATACGGTCGACAAGCCCAGGAGGAGCAGGTCCCCTCGTTTGGGCAATTGCCTTGGCGTATCGACCATGCAGACCAGCCACGGCCAAAGGATAATTGGGCGCGTTATAACTCCCTTGCGCGTGGTCACTTCCCAAGCTTGTCCAGCTTCCCACCCGCCATGCTTGGCTCGTGCCTTCCTGATAGCCTCCTGGGAATGAGCTCTCCTTGCCTTCTTCCCGCGTACCCTTGGCATACCACCGCCATCCGCCCACCGCCGCACCGCTCCTCCTCCCGCGCTCCCACCCCAATACATGCAGAGCTTTCCTGGAGCAGTCTCTGGTGGTAGAGCCCGTGGGCCCCAACCCTGTACGACTCAGCCGCCCTGACGCCCCCCTGCGCTACAAGGTCTACTTCGCCCCCCAGCGCATGTTGCCCCCCACCTCCCTGGAGCTGGTCATCAACAAGTCCACGGGGGGGAGATGGAGGTTCGAGATGCAGCTGCAGGTGGGGGAGAAGCCGGGAGGGATGGGGACGCGCGTCAGTCCGCTGAACCGATGCTAGGGCCAGGCCACAGGAAACAGGGAAGCAAGTCCTGTTTTTGCTCTCCTGGTGGCCCGCACGATGCTCACAACTAGCCTGCGACTGCTTGCCTTGTGCTCCTTCAGTTTGTCCGATGAACGCCCAACTCCTCCCCGCCAACTTGTTCTCTCTCCCGCGCCGCCCCCGGCTCCCTCCCCATCTGTAGGCCACGGAGCCCGACCTGGATGGGACACTGACCATCGAGGCCGCCGTGGGCGCCACCTCCTACGTGCCCCTGCGCCTCTACTCCTCTTCTAACGAGCCCCAGCCCTTCACCGCCTCCTTCCCCTCCGACACGCCGCTCGTCTTCAACGTCGTCCCCTCCAAGGGCCTTCTGCCACCCATGCCGCGACCCGGCGAGCCGGAGCCCGAGCCGCCGCTGCAGGTCTCCTACAACTGCCGCGAGTTTGGCAAGGTGGTTCGCGGCCGGCTGCACGTGCAGACCTCCGACATGCACTACTCCTACGAGCTGCGCGGCCGCATGCCCACCTACGTGCCGCCCAGTCCCGCGCAGTTTGCAACCTCTGTGGACAACAAGCTGGACCCTGCCCTGGAGACCCGGCTGAGCCTGGGTCGGCCCACGGGGAAGAACTACGTGGCTACGAACATGCGAGCGACCCGGGTTACCGGGCATGGGGATCAGGGAGGAGGCCACAAGGGCCAACCGGGGGCTCAAGGTGCCACTGCTGTTGCGGCAAAGAAGCGGTGATGACGTTTTGGGGGAGGGTTAGGGCTTTTCGGGTGGTTGGGGGGGCCCGCGGGGACAGGAGGGCGGAACATACTCGAATTAGGCAGGAAAAGGAGGAGGACGTGCCTTGTCGTATCGCATGGATGTGTCCACAACGACTCGTTCCTAGACCTCGTTCTAACCTGGGCCGGGCCCTGTCTCCTGCGCGTTTGCTTGGCTTTGAGTGTTTCCCAACTCAGCTGAAAGGAACAGCAGCATAACTCAGTTCAATGATCCCGCATACAAGTACCGTCTCATGCATAAGTGTGTATATCGTCGTGTTTGTGGTCCCCCGGGACGCGCAGCGGGAAAGAGAGTGCGAGGACAGGTGGAAATCGCAACCCCTCGCTGCCACATGCGTGGCTGCCACCCCACTGGTTGGCGACCGGCAGTCGAATGCACTGCATGGCTGAAGAAGGGGCCATTGTGCAAGACGGAACTAACAAGCGGGCCTTATGAGACGCCACTGATAATGAAGGCTGTAGAGTGCCCCGAACTTCACCTAAGTGCACTTCTTTAGTCCTCCATGTCCACTGCGCTTCTGGTGCACATGATCGCACACAGATGGACGCAGCTCGCAACCAACGCGACGGTGTGTGGTATATCGGCGTTGATACTACTCGCCACATGTGTGCGTGCGCATGTATGTGTCATTCATGGCAGCAGGGCTGGGACGCCCTGCTTCACTGAGTGTAGGCAGGGAATCTCACTCATAGCCGGTTCCCCTCTCTCTCCACTCGGGCCGTTGTGATGTGGCAACGGAGTGACACAACCGCACTGCGCTTGCTGGGGAGGGGGCCATCACAAGAGGAGGCGGAGGAGGAGGACGGGCGAAGGTAGCGGAGGCCCACGAAATTGGACTAGCTGATTGCCGGTCTAGGAGGGCCACGGGAGGATTGGAAAAAGGGTCCAGTCCATCGGCTATCCTTCAATGATGATACTGGAGTCTGTGAGGCTGGCGCCCGGAATGCAATGGGACGGAGAAACAGCAACTGAAAAGCAGTGCAGCTAGCAGGGAAGCGCTTAATCCCGAGGCCGCGCGGTTCGGTGCGGATGGAAGCGAAGGAAAGGGGGGTAGTGGGTGGCAGTGGGGTCCTGCACCTCTCACGGCAACGAGCCTGCATCCCCGGTTAGCTTGCAGGGCAGGGATAACGGGGGATAACGAAAATGCCAATGACATTAAAGATGGAAAAAGTTGACCCCAGGGCCCATTTGCCCGCTGCAACCCTATGTGCCGAGCGTTGAGACTCCGAAAACGGACGTGGTTCGAGTTGTTGCCTCTGTTGTTAGGAGTGGATCCGTTTCATACTCGCCTCGCCTTACATCAGTAAATGGATTGTGTGTGGAGGGTGCAGGAATTCCTCTTTTACGTCGGCAGCCTGCCTCGGGCTTAAAAGTTGTCTCAAGGCCTCTTTCCAAAGAACAGTTAGTTGTGGCCAGCAATTAAAACGTTTCCTTCCGCAAAGTCCCCTGCAGAGAGGTGATTACCAGATGCAATTAGATAAACAAAATATTTCAGGCGCCATAAAGCAACATGCGGGCTGTGATGCGACAGTTGTGTCGCCGCGTCGATTCGCTTTCGTCCCGTTGGACAGTACAACGAAGTCGAAGAAGCCTATCAATCCGGGCTCCAAAGTTTCGAATTAAAAAACAGCCCAAATAAAGGAATTCCCAAGAGCTATGGTCATATATTACCGCCGCCCTGCAATTTGAGCTAGATCCTCCTGCTCTCCCGATCCAACTAACCAAGAACATGCACCCCAGCCTGCTGCTACCGGCTACAATCCTCATCCTCGCGTCCACGTCACAGCTTGTAGCATCTTCTCAGAACATAATCGGCAAATCATGGCCAACGTTCGGGGTTATCAAAGGGGGGCTTGACAGAGAAACTCCCTCTGCGAAGCTGCAGCTCTTGGAACGCCTCCAAGCACGTGAAGGCCGCTTTCTGTCGCCCGTTGTACGCGATGGCGTACCTGAGGGCGTCCGCTGCGATGCAACGGAGCGGTGAGAAGTGGCCTTCGACTCCCGTTCCGCTCGGGACAGCCGGAGCCTCAGGGAAGAACACGACCGGAGCCGCTCCCCCTCGTTTACCAAAGCTGTTGTCGTGTCCTGATTGCCCTAGCTCCGAAACAGCACGGAGGTAATCCTCCGTGTGATTTTGGGCTGTGCCGTGTGCTGTTGCGTCTGGGCCCCCGCAGGTGTGATAGCCACAACGTGTGTGCCCGGGTGTGCGCTCGGGGGTCTGTGGCAATCGACCCCTGGTTGCGATTCGCCGTCGACTACCAGGTGGGGGCGAGTAGGGAGGTGGGCTCGGGGCTCAGGGCTCAGGGCTGTGTACGGGGGGCTGTCTATTGCTCGGTATGTCAACGTAGTCGCCATCCGCGAGCGCTAGGACCTGTACGCCAATGCGTCATTGCACTCCAAACAGTGGCAAGAGGGACATGAGGGCGAGAAGGGCCATGCCACCGTTTCAAATCCCGCACCTTAGAAATGGATGCATAGCCTGTCATGTCTCTCCTTTTCCGGCCCCCCACCCTAACCACCTGTCCTCCTCCCCTACCAACACCCACCCGCACCAGTGGCGGCTGTCCCGCAAACAGCCTCTTTGCTTCGCCCAGCTGCTGGGTACTCACAACTCCGCCATTACCCTGGCGGACGGGTACGGCATGCACGATGACGTGTACACCCAGTACCTGCACTACCTGGGCCTTGCGGTACGACCCTCGCGAAGGCTGAAAATAACGGTTTTTCCGGGCCTTGCAGCCCCTCACTTTTTCAGTGGGACAGTGCTTTGGGGTTCTGTACGGAATTGCAGTACGGCGCCGCCTGGCCCCGCTCATTCCTTCCGTGTCACGTCACGCCATGTGAAGTCCTGGAGCAGGTGTCAGGTTGTGGACCGGGGACCCGGATGCGACCCACGGGACGGTGAGGACCCGGTCGAAATTTTTGTTTCGTCATATTGGTCGTAATAGCAGTTGTACCCCTCCCCCTAGTTCCCCCCTCCTGCTGCTGCCTGCTGCTCCCCCTCCCGGGCGCGTGGGCGGGTGTGTGAGTGGGTTGCAGAGCGGCTCCCAGCGGCTGATGACCAACAACCAGGTGCTTTCCCTCACCGACCAACTCAACCTGGGGGTCAGGTTCCTGGAGCTCGATGTGCACTGGATCCAGGTGTGCGCCTATGTGTATCTGTATGTGTATCCGTATGTGCATGTGGGGGCCGGCGAGCGGTTGGGAAAGGGGGTCAGGAGTTGGAAGGGTCCATTTGGATCCCCTCCACTTCACACCCACCGCTGTGGCGCCCGGGGACCACCGTCCACAGACCCGCGCAAATCCTCAGTGGGCTCACCATCTCAACCACCAAGTCGTAACTCCTGACCCCCCGGCAGGCCCCTGACCATCCCGCCACGCCAACCCCTCGCCTCTCTGCACCCCTTGCCTCCCTGCGTGTGTGTGTATGTATGTGTGTGTGTGTCCGGATGGGGAGCCCGGGGGCCCTCCAGTCCGACCTCCACATAGCGCACTGCGGCGGCTTCCACTCGCCCCAACTCAACGCGCTGGTGGCGGCGCTGAGTGCACTGGCCCAGCTGTTCGGCCACCCGCCCGTGGAGTGGGACGCGGAGACGCTGGGCTGCGACCCCTCCATGTCCTCACTGCCGACCAGGGACCAGCGGTGTGTCGTCTTGTGTTGTGTTGTGTGATTGGCCGGGGGCCTGGATCCGTGCTGGTTGTGATATTGTACGACACGGTAATGGTCCCCTTTCACCCGGTTCCATGTAGGCCTTGGGACATCCGTACAGCCCCCTACCCCACCCCACCCCACCCCACCCCACTGCAGAGGCCCCCCCAGGGTCTTTCCTCCGCTGGGCCCCCTCCTCCTCCCCCTCACTCCCGTGCACCTACCTTCCCCGCCCGCCCGCCCACCCGCCCGCAGCACCTTCGTGGATGCGCTGCGTGAGGTGGCCTCCTGGCTCACCTCCCCCTCCCCCTCCCCCTCCTCCCCCGGCCGCCAGTCGGAGTTCCTGGTGCTGTATCTTGACAACCAGATGGACCTGCTGCGGTGGGGCCGCGTGGGCACACTGATGGAGCAGGTGGTGTAGTGGGGGGGAGGGGTGCAGGTGCGGCCGGGCCGTAATCCATAGTAGCAATGTAATGTAATGTAATGTAATGTTACAGAGTGGGAGGCTTCTGGGCCGCTTTTTATCACATTGTCAGTTCTAGATCATTTATCACCTTATAGCACCATCCACCACTACCACACTGTACTTCGCCATACGAACTGTAAGTCCAAGGCGGCGGATCCAGCCTTCAGGGACCCCTCCTCATCCATTCACCCGAACACCCGAAGAGACGGAGGGTTCGGCAATCGCCACCAATCCAGCGTGCGAATCTGGTCCATCAGCTGTGACCTCAACTCCACATCTCAGCAGCTAGCCATAATCTCGCGCTCCCGACTAATTCGGGGGTCTCCCCAGGAATCGAGGGAATCGAGGAAATCCCCATAGTAGCGCCGTAAAAGGGCCTCCACGGCTGAAACATCTGTCAGATCGGGGATCCTACAGAACTGCTTGATTCATAAACACATGATTACAGACGTGCATATGCACGTGCCTGTGTTTGCACATGTGGGCCTTATGTGATATAGGGTGGGCCATCTCATCATTGGGGGCCCGCAGTTCACAGTAATATGATGTGTGGGACAGGGGGGTCCTGTGACCCAGTCTGTCTCCACCCTGTGACCGCCACCCGGCAGTCTCTGCATTCCCCGGTATATGGTGATCAGCCTCATCCAGTCACCCTAGCAGACTTCTCAGTGGATCGCTCAGGCTCCGCACCCCACCACCGGCATCCAACGGAATCTGCCGGGTCAACTGCGGCCCAACTCCATTCCTGGTCAGCTCTCAGGTCAACTTTCTCCCAGGTCACCGCCGTCCGTCGACTAGGGGCACCCTCACCTTCCCCTAGTGCAGGGCTTTCGCACTTGACCGGTCTCGATCCCGGAACCTTCTGGGGCATCGGTGTGTGCGTTACAAGTAGTGCCTGAACTATATAGTAATATGTACAGGCTGACCAACCGTTCCTAAGCTATGCCGTAGATGACGTACTCGAAGCCTACTTGGCTGCGCACCACTGCCCCGTGATTGTCGTACGCCCCATGTATGCGGCCACTCAGGTTATGTCGGTGATTCCGACCGCCCTCATCATCACCCCCCCAGAGCTAAACAACATCACTCAGCAGCGGGTATGTATGTAAAGCTTGACGTGCGGACGGTTGGATCTACGACATGTATGTTTGCATGCTGGCGCGGGCAGCTCTGCCCGCGCCAAGAGTGTACACATGCGCCTGTCGGTTGCATGCCCCCCTCCTGTTCCTCCTCGGCCGCCGCGGCCGGGGTTGGGGTTAGGGGGAGTAGGGGGGATGGGGGGGATAGAATCATCACTGCAGAAGCCTAGCTGGTGCGGGGCCGGGGGAGGGGGAGGGGGGAATATTGGCATCGCGACGCAAGGTCCTTTAGGCACAATTCCTTTGGGTCGCAACAGCTGGTGTAACGGCGAAGTGGTCGTGGGGTGAGAGGATGAAGAGAGGGATGCCGACGACACCGCAGATACAGCTCTGCTGAGGTCTCATGTACGGCACAACACAACCGTGAATACACTTTGATTTTCTGTTTGGCGCGCCAGGGCTCCATGCCCAGCGTTGACGAGCTCGTCCATGTGTACGGCAAGCGGCTCCTCTTGATGAGCGGCAGTGACTACGGCGAGGAGATGTCCTGGCTGGCGTTCAGCCACCACAACCTGTGCGACATGGACGAGCCCTTGTTCAGGTGGGTCGTACACCCGCACGCCTCCACACCGCACGCCTCCACACCGCAGGCCACCACACGCGTCTCCAGCCACAGCCTCCCCCCTCTTCCGCTGTCTTCTTCATCCTCCCTCACCCAGCTGCCCCGGCTCGGCCCCGGTACCCGAGGGTTACCTCGCAAATCCCCGTAAACTAAACTACCATCCCCCTCCCCCCTTCCCTCTTTCCCCCTAAACCCCCCAGGGGCTTCCAAGGGCCCCCTCACTGCCAATTCCATAACTGGCATCTCGACATGGACACACCTGTCATGGCCGGCAAACTGATCCGCACACCTACATGTAACTTGACGTACGGCCCGTACAACTGTTCGATGCTGCGCGGCGACAATATGTGAGTGCGGACGTAGACCTCGAAGGCATTGTATCTTTTGGCGGTGGGCCCCGGGGGCACGGGGGATAAGAGGTAAGTGAATTTGCGTTTCCAGTCCAATACCAAAGTGCCAAATCTTACCGAGTGGTAACGGGACATTAGTTATAGCACTGGGCTGGGGGCATTGGAACGCAGTGCTGGGCAAGGAGGACGGCCGGAACAGCCCCTTCGGACGGTGCTGTGGCGGTACCCCCTCCCTAGGCATGTACCGACCACACCCTGAAAGTCCACGATGTGCCACCGGGGCGGTAGGCCCTGGAGCTCGGAGTCCCCTGCGGCCCCTGCGGAGGTTAGAGCTCTAGTTAGAAGTCAGGTCTGACCAGTGGACCAGCGAGCCAGAGAGCCACAGACGTCGTCAGCCTCTTGGCCTCCTCAGCGGCGCATGGAGGACGTGAAGTATGAAGTCCTGGGGAGGTAGCTGGTCGGGTAGACTACGGGTGGCCACATGTGCTTGCCATAAGTTCACGGGAGCGAAACAACCAAGCTAAGGCATTTCGCCTAACAGCATCCCCCACTCTGCCCCCAAACCCCAACCCCACCCCATACGCACAGTCCGCAGCTAGATGACCACCAGCTGCCGGAAGCCACTTCCTGCGGCATCAACGTGCCAGCACCGGATCAAATAACACCGCAGCTCGTACAGTCGTACATCTGGAGTTGGGCTCCGGGACATGCGCCGCCGATGCCCGCGGCTGCGGCAGCTGTTGAGACACAGCAACCCAAGCGCCACTACCACCACCCAGCACAAGGACGTGCGGTGCAGGAGGCGCCACTTGCCTCCGGGGCGGCAACGGCGCCGTCGTCTGAGGGATCATTTACGCCTGGGGAGGGCCGGGTGGCGAAGGCGGCGTTGGAAAAAATAGTGTCGACGGCAGAAGCGGAGGCGGAGGCGGTGTGCGTGGTGATGAGCTCCAGCGACGGGCGCTGGCTGGTGCGGCCCTCTTGTAAGGGGGCGGCGCTGCTGGCATGTCGACGGGACACAGGTATGTGGGCATGGGACTGGGCGGAGGTTTGAGGAGCACAACGATGGCTAGAATATGTGAAGCGTATTGGGGCTCCCGTCCAGCTGTGGACCGTGCTGCTGTCCCCTCCTCTTCTGTCAAGGTCCTCGCCCTGCTGCACCACTGCCGCCCGCCGTGTTATCACCGGCTCCAGGTGCCCAGCACGTCCCTGGAGCAGACGCCTGGGCCCTGGCTTCCCTCGGCCCTGCTACCAGCGCGGGCCCCTGTCCGCCCGGCTACCTGCCGTCTGCCCCCCACACCGCGCGAGAAAACTGGGAGCTCTGGCAGCTGCTGAAGCATCGGAAGCAGCAGCTGCTGCAGCAACCCGAGCGAACGCAACGCGGGCATCCGCAGCAGCCAAAGATTCAGCTGCAACTGCATCATGATCATCAGGCGGTGCATCGTGTAAAGGACAGGGGTGTAGATGGGCAAGTGGACTCAGTCAAAGGAGACGGACGTGGAGGTAGGAAAGCCGGGGGTGCCGACGCCACCGCTACCGCTACCGTTGCTGGTGATGGTGATGGCGACATGTCTGCAAACCGCAGGGTGGCAATCCGTAGTGGTGGTGAGAGTGGAGTGGATGCAGGTCGTGATGATAGTGATGCTGGCGTTAATAGGGTTATGCATGTGGTCGACAGGATGAGTGGGGCCAGCGCGCGGAAAGGGCGGCAGTTGCTGCGGCGGCAGCGAGCTTCGCTAGGAAGGGGCTTTCCTGGGGAGCTACAACAGCAACAGTGTGCACAAGGGCCTGCTCATTCGGGGCACGAAATTCCCTCTCAGCATGCGGATGCGACGGGTGTGGAAGCGCTGCTGGCGGTTCTCACTTTGAACCCGGACACCTGGCTGCCAGCGAGCATAACTTGAGCCACGCAGCGTGCCGGCATATAACAGGAGATACATACACAGCTGCCTGCCCATGGGACACGTCGGATATATGAAGAAGAACCTAAGAAGCCAAGCCCATGGCGCAGGCCATGAAGAAAGAAATAAAAAAGAGTTACGAATGTAGTTTTGTGCATGAGATACGGCGTCCAGAAGTAATGTCGTATAGAAGCCCGAGTATAAATACCTGACGAATGCTGCTGGATAAAATGGACAAACTGGCCTAAGCTTTGAATGTTGTGTTAGTAGGCTCGTTCAATCAGAGCTTTGCTTGCTGCTGTCAAGATGCTTTCGCTGTACGGTTTTGGGGTTTCCTGCCTCAGCCTCGATTTGAATCTTGGATCAGGAGTCAAGAGGAAAAAGGCGTTTTTTCTGCATATTTAGTTAAAACTGCTGAAAAATCCGTAAAAACCCTCATGCCATGTTTTATTTATTAGTTTTTAAACTGCAGGATCTCATCCATAATGTTTACCTAATTCTGACGTGACAATCAGTCTGTCAGAAGGCTGTTTGGTGGCTGGAATAGCGCTTTTCCCAGCCGTGGTCAGGCAGCCAGACACATGTTACCCGCCCTAATCAAAATACAGCAAATCTCTTAAAAGTACAGCAAATCTTTGAGGTAGCGTCCGCAACGGGTAGCCATGGATACCTTACGTCAAAAGGATACTATTCATGCTTTTAACATCAACTGACTCGAACCTTTGATAAAAGAAAAGTTGTAGAGGTTGGAGAAGGAAATTGATACGCTGGCAAACGAAAGGACTGCCAAAACGAAGTGCTTTACAAGGAAGGAAGGAAGGAAGCCAAGGAGAAAGCAATTTACCAGTCCTTTCATTCTGTAAGAAACCTACTCAGCGCTGCCCCTGGCACGCACGCATATCGGCATACGCAGCGCAACGCCTGTGTGTGTAAGATGCTGCCGTTCAGAATTTATCCCATAAGAAATTTAACGAGGTCGCCTTTCTGAGGTCGCCTTTCTGAGCTTCATTCGCAACCATAATTCCAGGGTGGCCTTAGCCCGGGACATACCACCTCCCTCCGCTGGCGGCGCCATCGCCATCCGAGCTTCATGCAGCTGCCTGACCTCAATCCTGAAGGACATCCTGACTGGCGTCGCAATGGGACGAGCCTCTGGAGCAGACGCTGTGATTCCGTATGGCTGCACATGTCCCCACTAGAGTGCTTCAGCTCCAAACCATTGATCCCGCTAAGATGGGAGGCAAGCGCAGTTACGGCTTTAAGTCGGTCTATTAAAATTATTTGATATGTACAGAAGGGCGACCATGGCCTGGCCTGGCCCTAACCCCAACCCCAGCTGCCCCTTTTGCCCTCACATGCAGCCGCTCTTAGCCCGCCACTAGATGCGCAGCACACCCCAACCACTTGCAAGAACCGTGCCTAGGCATGCTGCTAAAGCTGCCGCTGTAACGTGGCCCTGAACTGGTGTGCGCAAGGAAAGCAGCTCTGCCCGAGCCCTGCTATGCCATCACCTCCGTCCCCACCCAAGCAGCGCCAAGCGACCTCCTGCCCCGCTGGTTCCATGCCGGCCGTCATCACGTGGACCCTCATCCATAAGCCTTCTCAGTACATCGGCGCCGCTTGCATTCCGGTGACGGGGTCAGTGCCTAACGTCTCCACCCACTTATTCCAGTGGTCGCGAATGGCGTTGAGCTCGGGGCCGTTAGCCTTGAATATCACGCGGTCATAAGAGTGTATGGGGTAGCCCGTCACGACGCACGGGTCATACTTCTTCTTGCAAAAGTGGCATGTGAGGTTGGCCTCGTAGGTGCCCTTGCCGCAGTGTTCGCAGGCACGCAGCGAGAGGACCTGCTCCGTAGTGCGGTCCATGGAGATCTCCAGAACCAGGTTGCGGACCTGGACGGAGCACCGAGAGAGGGGGAGGGGGAGGTCAGCAGGACAGGTGAAGTGTGAACGGGAAGGAAAGGAGAAGGCGTCTCCCAGCTACCCAGCTTGTAGGGAGAAAAGAAACCTCCACCGCTGCCAGCCAATGGTATGGGTGGATTCAGAAGCAATTGACCAATGGAGCCCAACGATTAGCGGCCCGGCACATAGAGCGCCCTTCCAAACGACTCGGCTACCCGGCGTCCCAACAACAACACACCTCCTCGCGCTGCGCCTCCGAGCAATAGGGCCGTTCCGGAATGGTGAAATCGTAAGGGATGTCGGTGTCGGCGAAGTCGGCATTCTCTATGACGGCAGCGGATGAGTCAGGCTCATCCATCGCGTCGCTGAGGTCCAAGAAGCGGTTGAGCATTACAAAGGCCATGTTCTTGCGGCCCGCCTCGTACCAGGCCAAGCCCGCCTCGTAGAACGCCTGTTGTGGAAAGAAGTCCGGGAGAGTAGGAGCGGAACTATCAATGAGCAAAGTTGCGAGTACGGTAGTAGAGGGACAGAGTACAAGCTGGAGAAGTGAACCATACAGAGTGACCGCGAGACGCACCAGCTGCGTCCAAAACAATGGCTAAGCAGCAGGGTGGCGCAAGGGATGAAGCAGCAAGGGATAGGTTATCCGTTCAGCCCTGAGACAGGAGCTCGAGACCTGTCAGGGTCGAAGATCCTTCCGATGGTGGAAGGTAATAGTGTCCCTAGTCGATGGACGGTGGTGACCTGGGATAAAGTTGACCTTCGAGCTGACCAGGAATGGAGTTGAGCCGCCGTTGATGCGGCAGATTTGTTCGTTTGTATTTCCGTCGGATGCCGGTGGTGGGTGCTGAACCTGAGCGATCCACTGAGAAGTCGGCTAGGGTGATTGGATGAGGGTGCCTCAAAATACCGGGGAAGGCAGGGTTTCGCCGGGTAGCGGCCACAGGGTAGAGATATGCCCCCCTGTCCCACACACTTTCCCGCTCCCCTAGCCCGCCTCCACTCACCCTTCCCATCACCTCGCCCCACCCCCTCTTCCTCACCCTGTCCGCAGGAATCGCATTGCCCACGTATCTCAGTGCACTGGTCATGCACATGGCTGCAATCTCCTTAAGACCCTGCTCCTTGGCCAATGCCGCGGTGTACAGGTAGTGCGCCGCCAGGTAGTAGCCCTGGAACGCCTCTGTATCGGCTTTGTACTTGTTGGCCCCTCCCCCGGTGCGTAGCAACGCCACCAGCCGGTACATCATGTCGCGCAGTGCCTTCTCCGCCGCCAGGCTGCGGTCGGCCTGGTTGGCGTGCAACACGCCCTGCGCTATGGAACGGTACAGCTCGAAATATTGCATGCTGGCGGTGATGCCGTATTGCGCGAACACGGCAGCAGCCTGCAGAACGGGCGAAAGGGAAGGAAAGGGCGTGGTAAGTGTGAAGCTGCTTGTACCCCCTCATGCGCCCTGCGGCTAGTAGCTCCTGTACCTCCCCGCCGGCGAACACCCTTCAATGTTACTCCTGCTCCTGCCCGTAGGCCCCTTCACCTGTGCGTAGTCTCCTTGCTTGAAGCGCTTCTCTGCGTGCTTGAGCGCATACATGGCTGCCACTTCGGGGCCTTGCTGCGCCGCCAGCTCGTGCACCTTGGACCACTCGTCGCGGGCCATAAACATCTCGATGGCCTGCAGGGAGCCGACGGGCGGGGACGATTTGACTGGCTGGGAGAGGTAAAGGGAAGACAACGAAACGCGCCATTTCTAATTTGGGTATTGGATTTTCAAGGACGCAACACAGTTTGGCTACAGGGTAGAACGAACCCAGGAATATCCTACCTGCTGCGCGTGGTGGCCTCCACGGCTGGCGAGCTCGTCGGCCTGTTGGTTCCGCAGGAGGTGACTGTTGTACTGGTCCTCGATGTAGCGTACGAACGTGGGGTTGTTGCCCGCCAGCGAGCGGGCTTTGTCCCACAGGCTCCCGGCGCAGTACGCGCGGATGGCGCCCTACAGGGGACAGACGCGTAGCAATGGCAGAGCACCAATTACTGTTCCGCATCATACAGCATGCGGCAGGCGCAAAAAACGTCTTCGCCACGTGTCATTCGCAAGTTGCTTGGCTGAATGAAACGGCAGGAAGAGGAGAGGTGGCCCCACACTGTCCAACTATGGCGACACGCAGAAACCTTTCAAGGAGTTGTGTCGAAGAGGCCAGGTACTGCATACTGACTCCTATACACCCTCCGAAACGCATGTCCCCGGTCCCCCGCGATCCGCTCACCTGCGAGTCGTCAATGCTCTCGTGCAGCTCTCCTGCAGCTTGGTGTCTGCCAATGTCCTGCAGCCGCTCAGAGACCGTGTTGACCACGTCTTTCATGCGGTGGCGCTGATAGTTAATGGCCAGCTGGGCGGCCTGCTCCCAACAGTGTTCTAATTGATCGTGATTCGTCGAGTCCTGTGAAAATATGCAGCCGGGATGACAAGGGCGGATTTGGTGCATTTCCATGTGGAGACGGATAGGTGCGTATGCGGTATATGTGCGTGCTGGTGAAGTGCAAAAGTCTCAATGAGAGGCCTTGCTCCATTCCTCTCGGATCAACCTGTCATACCTGTGCGGTGAGCGACAAGTAGGCCTCAATGGCGCGCGCATAGTCGTTGTTGCGTTCGAAGGCGCGAGCCTTATTGATGACGGCGTCTGCAGAGGGCGCCGCGGGGCCGCCGCCGCCCGAACCCTGGCCACTGAGCAGCTCCATCTGCACCTCCGCCACCTTGGTGGGCAGGTATTGTTCTGCCACACGAAGCGCGTCGTTCCACATGCGCGCGTCGCGGTACATCTTGAGCGCCGCCTCGGGCCGCTTGGCCTTGATGAACAGGCCCTGGGGCGGTTTGTAGAGGAGGTGGCAGTCAGCGGGTTAGGGTGCTTAGGGTTTTTCAAGATGCCGTAAGACAACTCATTATGCAGCATATCCCGCTGCCTCAGGAGGAGCCTGTGCAAACATCAATTTGAGGAATCTGTAATGGGCTCCACCCAAACCAAGTTTGCAATTGAATTGCTTTGTAAGAGCCCCCCATGCGCACAAGGCCACATCTAGAAGGGTGGGACCTTTCTTATCAAGTCCCTGCACCAAACAGCTTCCCGTCATTACTGACCCCCTTGCAAGCGCACAGCCATATACCCCGTCCTTACCTCAGCTGGCAGCCACTGCTTGCGCTCCATTGCCACTCGCGCCTGCGCCACGAGGATTTCCGATACCATGGTGGGGTCGTAGCGCTCCGCTATGCGCATGGCGGCGTCCCAGTCCTGGTTGTGCATGTACATATCGCATGCCTCTTTGGGCTTATCTGCCGCAATGAATTCCGCCTCTGCCTCCTGGAAGCGACCCTCGTCCTCCAAGAACATGGCGTACTTGAGATGAACCTCGGGCAGCTTGTGCTTGGCACCGGCGCGGGTCATTTCGAATGCCTACGCAAGGCAAGGACCAGATGAGTCGGTCCAAGGTCAGCTCGCATGAGACGAAGGTTGGGACGAGTAAACAGATACCTGATCTCTTTGATGGAAAAATCGTCCGGTTGCGCGGTGGATGGCAGCAGGAGGCAGGTGGGGAGGCAAGGAGACAAACCCAACCCTTGAATGTCAAAACATGTTAATACCAGACGAGCTCAGCCCGTATGGCAGCCACACGATTCGTCTATCCAGATCCCAGGCGGCCGCACCTGCGCGAAGGCTCCGCTCTCCACTGCGTACTCGATGGCCTGGTCAAGGAGACCCATCTTCTTGAGCAGTTGGGCGCCCTCGTCGCCGCCTGCGGAGCACATGCGCATGAGGAAGTAGGCAAGGAGCGAAACAAGTGCTTTTTAGGTCTCGGAAATTCCAAGCGGCCTTCCCAAGCGCAGCGCCCTCCAAAGCACCGCAGCGGGCCCATGATGTTCTCTCGCCTAGCGTCACTGGCCTACTTACCCAATGTGAGCGCCCAGGCGTAGGCCACCTGCTTGGAGGCATTGATACCGCCGTAACCCTTGGCCACTCGCAGCGCATCCTCCCATTGGTTGGCCTGCCGATACATCTGCACGGCGCTCTTCCAGTCCTGTAGGGGCCCATCGGAAAAGGGATGTGTACGGGAGTGAATTGCGGAACCGTAAAAGTGTGGTCTGGAACGGTAGTGCTGGACCTCGGAACTATGCACGGCAGGCCCAAGCGTGGAAGTGACCATGATGCCGCGGCTCAAACGACCTCAAAGCCAGGCAATCTCACGGCCCCAAACACTATGCTGCTCAGGGTGGAAACCACACCCCATTTCCTCTCGCACCTTGGCCTCCACAAAATGCTTCTCGGCCTCCCGCAGGTTACCCTCCACCTCGAGCTGCTGAGCAATCAGGGTATGGGCCTGCGGGGCCGAGGGGATAGAGAGGGAAAATGGAGTAAATGATGCGCATGCGCAAAGCATTTCAATATCTGCGTCTACAAGCATTCAAGGACGCCATTGGTACACGGTGGTAAGCGGCGACAGCAGCGCAATGCCGCACCCACCTCCGGCACCTTCTCCTTGCGGTACTGCGTCACCAGCCGAATCATGTGGTCGTACATCTTGGCACGCTTGTACATGGCTATAGCCTTATCCACATCGTCGCCGCCGGCAGCCAGGTAGGCTTTCTCCGCCTCCTTAAGCTTGTGTGCGGCCTCGAACTCGGCGGCCTGGATGAGGGTTGGCCGTCGTGAACAAGGACAGCCAGATGCAGAATTTGGCAGCTGGACCGCATGGCGACGGGCGCTGGAGATTCAACCCTAAGACACTTCCTGGTTGAGCCTCATCTCATGCCCGTACTTGTGGCTAACTTTCTCGGTTTTCACAAAAGCATAGCTAGCAGCGCAAAACGAGGTTTCCCGCACAGCGGTTGCGTCGGTTGGATATAATACAGCGTACGATGCCGGTTTGCCTTCTATTCAGCGCTATGTATTCCCTAATGGATTGCTTCCGAGTTTTCTGTCAGATGCGTTTGGTTCCTCGGTGCGCGTTTCATGGTGGCCATAACTCGCCCAATTCCCACACTTTCTCTGTTTGCAGGTATCCTTCTAGCAGCGTCCCCGCCTTAGCGGCGTAGGACACAACCGTGGTAAGCACGTTTATGACTGTGACAGTTACCAGAAAGGAGGAAACAGTGCTGTCATGTGGGGCCTCAAGACGTACCTTGGCACGGTAGAACGCGCGCATTTCGGACTCGGTGAGATAACCCCTCGCCACGCGCTGCGCCGCCTCCCACTTGTTATTGCGACTGTACATCTCCACCGCTTCGCGAGCCATGTCTGCCCGAATGTAGTAGCGCTCCGCCTCCTCCAACGCGCCCGTCGTCTCATAGTGCTGCGCAATGCGCCGGTAGTACGGCATGGCCTCGCGGGGGTCCTGCACAGGTCGAGTCATAGTAGAGATGAGGTAAGCACGTGAACGGAATACGCACCGGCAGATGGAGGGCTTTGCGGCCGGAAGAGCTTTTAGCAAGAACGCGGGAATTGTTCAGGACTATAAAAGCGGGCGGATCCATAAGACCAAGGAGTGGGATCGAGAAGGGTGGCTTATGGTGATGTTGTTGGCGCAGCGCATGAAAAATGCTCAGCCTAATTTCCCTCTTTCCAATGAAACATTTGCCATCGCTGAATTTGGCAGCTGTCCCAATCCCGCAGCCAGCCGACAGCTCACCAGCACTTCAATGATGCCCGCTGCCTTGGCAAACTGGCGGCAGTCAATGGCAGCCTTGATGGCCTTGAGCGTCGCTCCGCTCTCGATGAAGTGGTTGATAGCGGCGTCCATCTGCTTCTGGGTGACCAGCCAGTCTCCCCATTCCTCCTCGATGGTGATAACCTGACCGAGTGGGGTATGGTACAAGGGACCAAGAATACATCATTCCATTGCTGGCAGGGTAAGTCATTGTTCTAGGCAAATAAAGCGGGAAGCCATCGCCGTCTTCATGGCCATGAATTTCGCAGGGCAGTAACAACCAAACACAAATACAGCACATGTTCGCACCTCCTTTCCCTAGCTCGATTTTCCGACATCCACCTCCTTATCCCCAATGTTCATCTCCCAATCCTCAGCCGCCGCCCTTTGCTTTCCTGCCTCCCACTCCTCCCTTTCCCCTCGCCGTGCTCACCTCCGCGGGGAACTCCCTCCGCGCCAGGTCGATGGCCTTGCGGTAAGCGTGTCCGCGCCGGTAGCTCTGCATGGCCTCCGTGCTGCGCCCCATATGCTCGTACAGTTCGCCAGCACGCTCGTACAGGCCCGCCTTGGCCAGTGACGCCAGAATCGAGTCCAGCAGCGCGGGGTCCCAGCTAAGATTGTGCACGCTCATGACCACCTGGGCCGCACGGCCCGGCAGACCCCCCTTTAGATACAGCCCAATGGCGGCCAGGTAGTCGCCCTCGCGCTCCTTTACCGCTCCCGCCTGCTCTTCCTGGCTTGTCTCCAGCAGCCATTGCAGGAACTGCTGCTTGATGGAGGCTGCATTAGGGTGATGCGCCGACTCCGCCACACGGATGGCGTCCTCCCAGCGATGGTGATCTTGGTACATAGTGATTGCGTCGTCCACCTGCAGTGTGGTATCAGGTCAAGAAACGTTGAAAAGGCTGATGCCGACCGGCATCATCGATCATCATCGAACCAAAAGGCAGCTGGTAGGTGAGGACAGGTTCGGTCCGGGTTGGAGGAGTGAGGCTTTAGATGCTCGGGAAAATACTTCAAACGGAAGAACAGCGCGGAACGGACAGGAATGAGACAGGACATGCTGAGAGCATCAGGCATGGTGAGGGATTTGCCGCGTCCTAGAAAAAAGACCCGAACGCAAAGCTCTCCGCACGATAACCCTCCTAACCTAAGGCCGTTCGCACCTTGCCCTGCGCAAGCAGCAGCGACTCCGCTACAGGCCACTGCTTGTTGAGCATGGCCATCATGGCACGCACAGACCAGCTGTCGGTGCCATCGCCGCCCAGTTCCTTTGCAGCTAGCGTTGCCTTTTTCACCACTTTGTGCAGGAAACGCGTACGCGCAATGTCGCCCAGGGCCGCATAACAGCGCTCTGCAATGACCAGCTGGTTGTTGGCTAGTGCCTGGTCTGCCAGCTGCATCCATTGCGCCTCCGTCTCCGGTGTGAGCTCCAGTGGTTCCAGTGTCTGCACTGCGCGCTCGTAGTCCTGGTCCTCCAGCGCCGCGCCAAAGTAGATGAGTGCCTCGTCAAGCGCATAGGAAACGGTGTTAATGCCCTCATCCACAATAACCTCGGTGCGGTGGTTATGGCGCTCAATGTCAATAACCTCGCCCTTGATGGGGAACATAGTCACGTTGTCGGGTTTATTGATCGAGTACCAGACGCACAAGTTGTTGCGCGACTGCGCCACGATCACGTCGGAGGCGGGGACCCATTGCACGTACTGGCAGTAGTTCAGCAACGTGGTGCGCTCCTGAGAGGCAATGTTAAAGAGGTGCAGGTGGCGCTTCTTGTCGCGGAACAGCAAGTGCGTGCCACGCTGGTTCAGCTCCAGCCAGTCCACCTGCAAATGGAAGCCACCAGCCAAGACGAAGAAGGGTTGAGCCACCAGCACTGGGATCCGTCAGGTCCAGCGTCCAGGACACCGGACATCCCGGCCTGACCGGGCTCCCTCCTCCCACCCACCAATCTGGATGACAAGCGGACGCTGCCGGATTCTGCCGTGCAATACTTTGTCCCGAAGGATCAGTCCAGTGCTACTCGGCGCCCAACCCAGGGCAAGGCCTCCCGCCCTCTTCCCCCACCTTGGTGTCGTGGTTGACAGTAGCCAGGGTGGATCCCACTGGCCCCATGAGATCCTGAATCCGCACTGTCTGCAGGTCAATCAGGTACGCCAGCTTCTTAGACTCGGGCGCCACCCCGCGCGCCTCCTGCACCACCGCCGAGATGAGGTACGGGTTCATGTGCTCCGTGCGGCATGTGCCCAGTACATCGTTACGACCGTACTCGATTATGTGCAGCTCGCCCGCGTAGTGCACCATGCACACACGCTCGTTCTCAAAGTGAAATTTCTCCGTATTGTTGCTCTCCCAGGGGATCTCACTCAGCTTGCACGACTCCAAATCGCCCATCAGCAGCGTATAAGACGTGCGGGCTACCAGATACCTAAACATTGGAGGGGGAAAGGGTTGGGTTGCGGGTTGAAACGGTCGAAGCAGCGAAGGCAGAAAATGAATGAACCACGGAACCGCGGAATCGCAGGTTATTGTGAAACGGCTTTGGGTTGTGAATGGAGTAAAAGTGAGCAGACGCAGGTCAGAGCACCAGGCCGCTCGGGCGGCTTCGATAGCGGTTGACAGGTAAATACAGCCCCGTGACCGTGGCACACCTGTCATGGTAGATGTTGATTTTCTCAATCTCGTAGCCGTACACCGACTTGAGCACGATACGCATGCCCGTTTTGAGCGTCTTGACAATGACGGCGCTCTTGCTTACGTACGTGAACTCAAACTTGCCCTTGTACATGTGTCGCTTCACGCAGGCATCGTACATGTCCACGGCGCCGGTCATGGAACCCACCGTCAGCTTGGAGCCGTCGGGCTTCCATGACGCAGCGCTGACTGCGTAGAAGTTTTCAATCTGCCGAACCCCAAAACAGTAAAGGGCACGTTGTAAAAGGCGCACGGCACAGAACAGGTAAGGTATGAGTTGTAGACTTATGTAATCTTCTACCCTGCAAACTATAATCAGCAACCAGACATCCAGGGCGTGCGGCAGGGTATGGTTGCGCTCAACATGGTGCAAAGATTGCGGGCAAGCCCACTACACAGCACGGCGTACGAGTACCTGGTACGCATAGGCATGTGTTGCAGCCATGGGCTGTGCTGGCAAACATAGACGCGCGAGTGCAACATACCCGACCCCGCTGTTGTAGAGAGAGCACTGGCTCTTTGTTGCTCATGCATTTAGCGGTACAGGTATAGTGTGAGTGCTTGTCGGCATAAATCCGCCCGGTCTTTTCAAGAGCCCCGTCACTGATGCGGTATCAGCGCTGCTGCGGGCCAGGCGTAGAAGTGTCTGGTGAGCGCAGAAGCCCTAGACTGGGTAGCGCAGTGCAAGCGTTCTCATCCTAAGCACCGCCTATGGACTATGCTTCCTAACCCCCGGTTGTCAAGCCGGTTCAGGGCCAACGTCGATAGCCCTAGTACCTTGAGTTCTATAGCCCTATGCTGCCCGACCTGGCTGCTCTATGCCCTGGCGTACGCGGGTGAGCAATTATGCAAGGTTGCGCTCAAGGTTGCGCCAGCGCATGCGAACTGTTGGGTCAGGTCCCTTGTGGAGCTTACCAAACCACAACCAGAGTTCGCTTTACTCACGTGCTTGTGGCCCACTTCCTCCCAATCGTTTCGCTGAATGTTGAAGGTGTACATGTAGAAGCGGTTGTAGGTCCCAAACACAACCGTATCACCACTTGGGTTGAATGCGCACGTGGTGAATTCGCGCACATTGTCATCATTGCCGTAGTCGAAAGACCGAATCTCACGTCCATTAAGGTCATAAAATACGACGCGGTTGTCATTACCAGCTGCGGCAATGCAGCTGCCCCAGCCCAGAGAATACGGCACGCATGAATGCACAACGAGTTGCGAGCTGGTGGGTGTGCCCCCCTCCTCTGCGGGAAAGTTGAACTTCCACACGGCGCCATCCATGTGCCCAGAGATGACGTTCTGACCGTTCAAGCTGGACGCGAGGGCCACTACATAGGAGTTTTCTGGGTGCGCGTAGCATGTGTAGGACTTGTTGTTTTTCAGCATCCCCAGGCGGACCTTCCCATCGGCGAGGCCAAACACCACCTCGTTTGGCCGGTCCTTGGGCCACACCAAGCTAGTCACTGCGCAAGCCTGTGGAAATTTGTTGCATATGCTCTTCTTGTCCGCGCCCGTATCGGGGTCGACAAGCCTGGCAGGAGGGTCGATGGGCGGCGTGCTGACATGCGGGCAGCACATGTAGTGCACAGCGCCACCCCCCAGGCCCCCCTAACTAAATCCAGCACTAGAAAGCCAGTACATCCAAGCTTAAGTGCTATTGCGTACACAGACATGAGCTGCGGCCTGCAGAAGTACCTGTAAATGAAGACAATATTATCGCTCTGCGCAATCGCCAGCTTCGTAGAGTCCGGGGAGAATGCCATAGCCCGGACAATATAAGTGTTCGGATTGCTAGCCTCCGCTGGCTTAGTCTTGAACTTATCTCGTTTTTCTCCATTTTCGTCGAAAAGGTACACTACTTTATCCGTAGACACAGCTGCTAGCCGAGAGCTGCAAATAGGGAGTGCGAGGGTAATAAAGATTCGTTTGTCCTTGTGGCACGGCTCTAGAAACTCAACAGCACGCACTTGTTGGGAGCCCAGGTCAACGACGTGATCTTCTGATAGGTTTCCGCCGGAGGCAGAATAGACTTAAAGTAGCGAAGCTGCATGTTTGCAACTTAGAGATTTGGGCTAAACGCAGGGCATGAGACGCGAAGGCCAGCGGAAGCACACCGCTCGACCTACTTCTACGTGAATTATAATTCCAGTAAAAGGTGCAAGATAGCTGTAACATAGCGAGCACACTACGTTTTTTGTTGTGCTATCGGGCAACCGGTGTTCCGGGCAGCGGTGTGTCGTACACGGAGGTCCTTTGAGTGCAAACTAGCCCTCTCGCAGCAAGCTTCTGCATTACCCACTACACTTGTTATTTGCAAATACGGTATGTTATACCGTTTATAGCAGATTGTTTGTCGACCAAACTGCCGCTCACGCGCCCACATATTTGCTGCGCCACAGATGCAGGAAACGCATTGCATTTCACTTCAAAGTTTGTGAGTACCCCGTTCTAGCGGTTGTTCCCGTTAAGCTAGGGCCGGGGGGCCAAACTTAGCGGAACCATGGCAACAAAGACGACCCTGAAGCTCCCGAGGTTACGGACAAAGGAGGAACTGCTCAAGGTGCGTATACAGCTTCTTAATTAAATAGCAGGAGTTTAACAAAGCTGGGGTCTAACGGTGGTCGCCATCCATGCCCTTATAGACGTCGCCGGAGCTGTGCAAGCTTCTAGGCGAGGACAGCGACGATGGACGCAGCATGTCGCCATTCACAGGACCACCTCCTGCTGTTGCACCTGCAAAGCCCTCATCACGCGGCCTTCCGGCCGTGCCAGCAAAGGTGACAAAGACGCCGGGTATGGACACGCCTCGAGGACTGGGAGAAGAGGAGCTAACAGAGGAGGAATTATTGAAATTGGAGCTAGAGAAAATTAAAAATGAACGGCAGGTGCTTCTGGACTCTATCAAGCTTGTCAAGGCGCAAGCAGGTATACTTACATGCTCTGCGCTTCACCTCGGTCGTGCGCAGCGGCCTTGCATAACGAGTCCGGTCGCAATCTTTCAGGCACTGCCGGCGGTGAAGCGCAACAGAATGATATCAAAACACTGCGAAGGGAACTGGAGCTCAAGAAGGCCAAGCTCAACGAGCTGCACGAGGAGGTCCGGCGCAAGGAGTCCCACTACAACAAAAACCGCGACACCAACACGGACTGTGCACGCCTAACTCCAGGAGAGCTGAGCGAGGAGCAGGCGTATATCCAGCAGCTACAGGACGAGATGAAGCACATTGACGAGGAGCTGGTAGAGGCAGAGGCTAAAAATCGACTGTACTACCTGTTAGGGGAGCGAACACGGTGCGTGGCCAACATCATTGCCGACACGCCCGGGTTGTTCCGCGCATGGCGACGGGGGAATTATGGAGCGAGGGGTTGGGAGGCAGGGTCATAGCCAGTCACACGGGGGATAGGGGGCGTGATTTGGGTTTTACGGGGATTTACTTACGCCTGTTCATTTTGCCGTTCGGCTTTGAGTAAGGAGCAAACCTACCATCTATAAAGCTAGAAGTGGGCATTGTTCAAGGCGCCGCGATTGTGCCCCAATCGGGCCGTCCGGCACCGCTTCCGCAAAGCTACGCAACCAGCATGGCCTAAGCGCCTTTGGGTACCGCGGCCACCACCGCTCCGCTTCCCCACTGTACCACATGCTTGGTCACCCCGTTCCACGCATCCTGGCTTCCACTCTCAGTCAATATTTTTCCTGTTGACCTCTCTGTGCTGCTGCCGTTCGTGCCTCAGCCGCGAGCACCTGGCGATGGACATGAAGGTCCGCGCCTCACAGCAGCTGAAGAAGGATTCAGCGGATGACTTGTACACGCTCACAGCACACTTTAACGAGACACGGGCGTCCAAGGAGCAGGCTGAGCGGGAGCTGGCCCGCATGAAGCGAATGTTGGAGGAGACGCGCATGGATTGGCAGAAGAAGCTGCGCGAGCGGCGGCGTGAGGTGGGTTGGAGCTGAAAGAGGCCAAGTTTGGGTTGGGTGGGGACAAGATGGCAAATTGATAATAGCTTGAAAAGAGGGCCCAGCTTGAGAAGCTAAGGGAGGGCATGCACAAGGGCAAAACGGTAATGCCGGCCTGAAGGCTGGCTGGCGGGCTAGGGTGGGTGGGGCCATGTGTCCACGGCTGGCGCCCCATGGAGCAAAGCCACTTGTGGCCTGCTGAATGCATACAGCAAAGAGCTTCATGCCGCTGCGACACTTAGATCGACGCTGGCGACTGCACTGGCCATGAATGGTAACGCAACATGCAATTATCCTACGGACATGAAATGGACAGTTTATTACAGTGAAACTGGCTCCTAGTCCTAGCATTTAACACGGGTGTCCTTCCCATGGCAGAGCATTGAATTGACCTGGCCATAGCATCCAAACTTTTCACACCGCATATGCTGCAACCACCCCGTCTCACCCTTCGTCCACGTAAAGGTCCGTGAGCTTAAGAAGAGGCAGCAGAAGCAGCTCGAGCGCGAGCGCAAGTTGCGTGAAAAGCAGCTGGAGCGCGAGCGGCAGGAGCGGGAGCTGCAATCCAAGCTCAAGATGGAGCAGGACGCCTACGAGATGCGCGTGGCGGCTTTGGCGCCAAAGGTGGAGGCCATGGAACACAGCTGGAACCGCATTCGGACTATCAGCGGCGCGGACACGCCCGAAGAGGTCCTGGCGTACTGGGACGGTAAGTGTCGGAGATCACGGGTTTGCGGGCGTGGGTGGGTTAGAGGCCGTGATAAGGTCAGGTTGTGGTTCAGGATTCTGTTACGGCGAGGACGCGGCGAGAGCTATGAGTGGAAGGGCAGTATGTGAGCTGGGCTGCGATAGTGGAATTGTGGGCCTGAGCGGCGACGGCTGCGCTACAGCTACGTTCGCGAGCCAATGACCTTTTGAGTCTCACGGGCGCCGTCCGCAGGTTTGCAGCCAAACTCATGCCTTGCTTGCACGACACACGTCTGCGCGCGAAACCTAGTTGTTTTACCGGCAGCAGGTGATGAAAAGTATTGGCCAACGAAATGGCTGGCGGCCCTTGGCCCGCACCCTTTCCATCTCCGCCTGCAGCCTGTCAGTCCTAATAGTTCGTCTCACGCGTCCCATCTGCCCTTCCGCCCACCGTTTCTCTTCGCACAGGCCTCAAAGCCAAGGAGGAGCAGATGCGGCAGCTGGTGTCGTTGGCCGAGCAGCGTGAGGCCTCCGCCAAATCCGAGATTGCTGCACTGCTGAGCAACCGCTCCGGCATGTACGAGAAGGACTCGGCGGTCGCACCCGACGTGGGCGCCGGCAGCGCAGAACGTGCCAGCCTTATCGGCGAGGTGGAACGGAACATGGAGTCCGCCAAGGCCAAGTTTAACAAGCTCCGCTCCGTCTGCATAGGTGCGGAGCAGGGCCTGCGTAGTCTGCTGGAGCGGCTTATGATTGCGCTGGAGGAGATTCATCCCGACCAGCTGCGCGCCTCGCAACTCAAGGGCGCCGGGCACGACGGCAAGGGCGGTGGGTACCGCGGCAAGGGTGCCATCGCCGGTGGCGCAGGAGCTACTGCCAGCGGGCGACGGCAGTCGGCTGTTCACACGCCAGACCGCAAGACTCGCGCCCCTGGCTCGCGCAGCAGCTCGCCGCCGGTGCCTCCCCACTCCACGGGCGAGCTGGGTGCCGTCAAGCCCTCGTCGCCGCTGCACACGCTGGGGCCAGGCGAGTCGGAGCCCATTCCGGAGGGTGCCGCTGACGAGCTGGGTGACCCAGAGCTCAGCTCGCCACTGGGAGTGGAGGGCAACACCATTGACGATGACCACTTCTTCCCAGAGTTGCCCGACTTGCTGACAAGCGTCACGGAACGGCTCAACCGAGTGCTGGTGCTGGGGGCGGAGCTGGACGCCGTGGATGCGAATGCGGGTGAGGTGGGGATAGGTCGAGCAGGGCATTGGACGGCGATACACATGGACAGGGGAGCAAGAGCAGGCATGGAACTGGATGGGGTATCGCATGAGACAAACTGGGCATTGCTAAGGTTTTTGATGCGGGTAAGCGCTGGGAAGGGCTTCAGGTGCAAAAGGGCGGTGAGGGGACGGCTGCCGCTCGTATGGTTAGGTCGAAGGTGGGAATATCACGCAATGGCGCACTCCACTCTGCAGTGGCTGCTTCTGCCGCCACCTGCCTCTGCCACCACAAGCCTAAGCAAGGCGCCAGTCCTGTCCTGCATATTCTCCGTTGCCGTAACGACACCCCGGCTGCGCTGCACCACGATGCGCAGAGGACGAGGGTCTGCTGGTGCCGGCCACGATACCGTCCGTCACGGAGGGTGTTGAGGCGCCACCGTCGCCGTCGCGTGGCACAGAGGGCCTCAGCGAGAGCGAGCGCACGCTAGTCAAGGGCATGAACCGCCGCACCTGGACAGGCGCGCCTCTGCTGGAGACGATCGCGGCAAACCCTATGGAGGCAGCTGCCCCCACCAACATCAAGCGCAAGAAGGGCAAGAAGAAGGAGCAGCAGGTGCAGCCCGACCTCAATCGCATCTTGGGCTACACGGGGAGTGACGTGGAGGAAGAGGAGGAGGTAAGATTGGGGAAGACGTGGCCTGTGACGTCAGACCTGTGGCGGGGGACGAAGTATTCATGTTTGGGGAGTATTTGGAGGGAGTTGCACTGCTCGGAACACAATCCCCACCAAACTTCCCCTTTTCCCCAACTCAACAGTCCGAGAGCGAGGAAGAGACGGAGGAGGAGGGCAACAAGGACGATGGCGTGGTTGACCGGGACTACATCAAGCTAAGGGCCCTTAAGATGAGCCAGCGGCTAGCCAACCAGCAGCGGGCCATCAAGGTCTGAGCACCGGCTGCAGCTGGTGCTGGGGCCAAGGCTGGAGTGTGCCTTAGTTGCTTAGTAGGAGAGGCACTAGTATGGCGATGGAGGGCGTAACACCCATCTCGGAACATTTTCACGATGTTGGCCGGGTCACTGGGAAAGGCAGTAACACGTGACGTGGGAGCATCCGAGCTCCTGTAGGTGCATGAGTTGGGATTAAGGGTTGCAAGGATGGGATTAAAAAGGGCACGTAGCAAAAGCATCCTCACGATGTGCTGAAAGCGGCAAGGGGGCATGGCCTCGACGTGGATGCAGTTGATGGGGGTCCGAAATCTCGATTATGTCCAGGTAATACATGGAAATGGGGAACTGGGTTGGGGGCCATGGTCGTGCCGTGTCTGATTCTGGGAGGACAGGCCCTCGGCTGCAGGAGTTGTTTGGCAGGGCCGCCGAGCCAGGCGGGTGATGTAGTTCAGGGGCCCCCGCAGTCGCTCCAACGCTTTGCATCCTGCACCGTGCCTTATTTCGTTAGTCTCGTGCAGTCCTTGAAACAAGGCGTAGACAGCTTCCTCCCGTCCTGTGCTTTAGTGCTACGGCACTCCTTAAGTGACTGGGCAACAATGAAGCGCTGCGCTATCCTATGTTTTTGCTCGTGTCGGTGCCAACCTTTTCCTATCAAGGCAATCACGTGTGTGGACTTGCTTAGCACCGCGCACGGGTTGTAGGCGGGCGGCAGGCAGGCGAGGGGTACGCGCCGACGCTATGCTCAGCTGTGGCGATGGATTCTGTAGCTGGAGATTTAGTTAGCACGGTCACGCTTAACGGAGACCAAGAATACAATCGCTGCTGCGTAATCTTCGCGTGCACGCGATCTGCATGGTGTTGCCATGGGGCTATGATGCATGGAGGCCGGGAGAAGCTCTAGGAGAGACAGTCTCGGAGCTTGAGTCCTGGTAACTTATGCTTCATTAGCGAATGTTGTTGACATAATCCCTGTCACGATAGTGATCACGATAGTCGTGCCTAGCCATGCAAGCCTAATCGTCCACGAAATCAGCCGTCATATCCATGTCTACATTAAACTAGGCAATTCTCCAACCAGGGAAAAGACCTTCTCACCAAGCATCTCACAACGACCGCCGTGCACTTCGCAATTCCATCCTGCGCTAGGCCCAGTCCCTTGCGAACTTTTAAGGTAGGTAAGCGTAGTCAGATAATCATACAGTCGCACGTATCGGCACTCCACACGACCCAACTGCCCGCACTGCTAACCAAGCAAGCACTATGCAAGAATGCGCATGCATGGTTATGTATGTGGTTGCGCACGTATGTACAAGGCCAAAAACTCCAAGACAGGCCAAAAGACCTTTAGCCAGAACATTACGGTGGAAGGCAAACCCAGAAATCTACAGCATCTTTGGGGCGGTATAGCAACCTAACCGGAACGGCTCGGGAAACGGGGACGGGTCTCGAGTGCAAGGGGAAGGGGGAAAAGAGGCATTTGGCCCTTGGACAGAAAGGGAGCACAGCACGAACCTGGCCAGCTGACGCAGCCGCATAGACCAACTTCAAGCGACGTGAAACGGGGACCATGACACTAAAGCAGTAGACACATGCCCACACTTACGTGAACCCGTGCAAGCCGTCCGCTGCCCCTAGCCGACCACCTGCGCGCGAGCCTGTAGCGACCACACCTCGCCCTAAACCCCGCTCCTGCCATCCAAACCAAGGCACATGAAAACAGACATTGCCACAAATACCGAACAACAACTGCACATCGGCATTAGCGATACTAGTTTATGAAAACATTAGTTGCAAGCGCTTAAGCACTACATAGCTCAACCTTACAAACAGCAGTCAAACAAACTTTTCAGCCCAATATACACCCGTCCAGGAACTTCACCGGCACTGCTCCACCCCCTTCGCTGCCGCACCAGTTGCCATGTTCTTCCCCGGCCCCGCCAGCACCGGTTCCTCCCGTGGTAGCCTCCGGCGCCGCACTTCGTTCACGTGACGAAGCGTGTCTCCAGGGCCCCAGCCCACATGCGCCAGGCCCCGTTCCCCCCAGCGCCGCAGCAACAGCCAATGACAGAAGCTAGGTGGATAGTAGGCCTCTCTGTCACGTCCCGTACGAAGCAGCGCCGCGCTCGTCAGGTGGGCCGCAATGCTAGCCCGCGTCGGGTCCGCCAGGAAATCTACCAAGTCCCACAAGTGACGAGCGTCAAAGCGCACCCGGCCCTCGCACACCAGCCGCAGCGGGTGTAGCGTGCGTGCCGGGTCGTGGCTGTAGCCCGAACCTACAATTACCTCGTACGTACGCCAGCCACCGGAGCCGCGGTTGTGCGGTGCACACAGCTCGAAGCCCAGCCGGGCACCCACATCAACCACCATGAGCGGCTGGCAAGGCCGGCTGGAGCCTTGCTGGCGACCCCAGATCTCCCACGTGGCGTCATCCATAGGGCCTATTCCTAGGTCCGGTAGTTCATACAACTCCGCCGGGCCGTAAGGCTCGGGCTGCCGTACGCAGATGAGAACAGGTGTGCCGGCAAGGCTTAACGGAACGCGATGCCGAGGATTGGAGGCCATAATCCCCTCGCTGTCGTCGGCGCCACTCACTTCTGCTTCACCTTCGCCAAAGCTGCAAATATTTTGCCAAAACTCAATCTTCTCCTGCGCCGTCCAAGGCTCCTCAAGATCCCGAGCGGGCTGACTGTCCCAGGTACCTGCCTGTACCGCCGTCCCTGCCCCGCTGCTGCTGCTCCGACGGGAACGGGGCCGCGAACCCGTCGCCGTCGCTGCATGTGTGCGCGTCTGGTCCCAAGCGCTCTGGCCACTGCCGGGAGGCATCCGTCCCAGTGCGGCGCCTTGCGCCATCCCAAACTCGCTGTACAACGAGAGAAGCCTGGGTCGGCGGCCAGTAGTGGTGGTGCTAGCCTTCGCGTTGCTGGTAGCTGCAGCAACGCTATTAACGCCGGTCAGATGTCGTGCAGGGTGCTCCCCGGCAACAACCGGTGTTGAGGGCGCTGGGGTAGCCGCACAGGAAAATGAGGGCTCGCTGAGACGCTGTACAGCGGGGCTGCCGCGGCGCCTGGCGCGAGCTGCAGGCGCTGGAACGGCTGCTTGGACGCCATCCTCAACGAGTCCAATGCCAGGCACAGCATTCGGCAGCACCGCGTCCGCTGTACCAGCTTCCGCAGGCGCAGGGCCAGGGCCGGGGTGCTTCCGCTTCCTTGACCGCTTTATACTCGGCTTTGAAGCCGCAGAACCCACCGCCGCCTCCTGCGCTTCCAATAAAGTGTCATATTGGTGCAGGAATTCCTCGTGGCCCAGATGCCTTCGCGTCAAACGGCGCCTAGGCTGTTGCGGCTGGCCATAATCCTGCCGCAAATCCGTAACGTCCAACTGTCCCCGCTCCTCCCCATTCCGCTGCGGTACCCCATTCCGCAGTAGTCCACCGACCGGAAGCATGTCGTCACCTGTTGTCCGTATACTCCCCAAAGGCGCGACAGACGGCTGGGGCTGCTGATTCGAAGACTGCAGGGCCAGCACCGGGCCCCCGCCGCCGCACCTGTCACATGCCATCGCTCCAGTGCCGGCTTCCAGCCACCCAGACGGCTGGCCTAATGGGTACAACTGCCCTTCTTGGGGCGTCAATTGCATAATACCTGTCGCATCTTTAGCACTTTCAGCCGTGGCCGGGCACTGCGGCGGCACTGCAGCCGGACCATGCGAAGGCGAGGTTCGTGACGCGTGGCGTTTCGCGACTTCTAAACCTGTACTAATTGGGACGCTGTTGCCGTCGTGGTTATGCCCCATGCTAAGGCGATGGCCGTCGGCTAGGGTCCGCGGGGGTAGCCAGTTTCGAGCAGCCCTTTGCGGATGGTCGAGGGCAGGGGCCCGCAAGGCTTGAAATGATACCAGCTCATCAGTAGGGTAATTTGATCCGTCCAGGAGGTCATCAGTAACCAATGATGCCGCGTAAAAGCCCTGAGAGCTCGTTGCATTCGGCAAGTCAGCGCCATCCAAGCCGGAAGGCAGAACCGAAAAAAGGTCTCTGGGCCAGGTGTACAAGCTATCCAGGGTGCTGGATTGAGCCTCCTGATGCGTTTGACTCCAGGTATGTAAAGCCGCATTTAAGACACTGTCGGCACGGACCCCATTCTGCAGCAGATTTGTATTTGTACCAGATCGGCGATGCTCATTAAGCGTCTCTTTCTGATAACCACTGTAAATGGAATCGCCTCCGGTTGGAACTTTCACCTGAACACCACCACCATTGCGTGCATCGGCGGTGGTTGACTTTTGCTCGGAACTCTCGCGGGTGCTCAACTGTCTGTCCGAGCTGTAGCGGCCTTTCCGTCTCTGTGTCGTTACAAAAGCTGCACGCAGAGGAGCTGGCCTGTGACCACCTGCCTGAGAAGGAAAGACCCCGGCAGGCAGCCAAACCGGCGACAAATGCCACCGCATAAGCTTACCACAAGGAATGGTACAAATACATTGCAGAACTCCGAAGACTTTTTGCGCTACCCCTTAAACTAAAAAACATTCCTGCTAAAGTTAACATGCAGGTATCGGAGCGCGGCTTAGCTTCAATATGCAGTTACGTCTAGTTACGTTAAGCATAGTGTTACGTTGTTGTTATCGTAGCTACAGAAGCTAGGGGCTTGTAGTAAGCCCTGGCGATGAAGTTGCTGAGTACTTTGTTCTGCCACGGCGTGCAACATGCATGCGCGCACTCGAGCATACAAGTACCCTGTGTGCGGCGTATGTCATTTTGCTTTAGAAGCTATTCATTTGGAAAGCTTGGTAAAGTTATGGACTGCTTACCGACCCGTGAGACTTGGTTCTGCCTGTACCAGCCACAGGCGGGCGGGACTGCTTATTTGTACGAGTATGACGTGCCGATAGACAACGCCGCCTACAAGGATAAGGTGCGGGTAATTCGGGCTGCTGGCACGCTCGAGTGCGCGGATACGGGCCACCCTGTCCGACGTGCACAACCCGTGGGTGGCACAATTCCAAGCAGCCCTGCGATCGAAAGGGGCCCAGGCGCAAGCAGCCCTGCGATTGAAAGGGGCCCAGTACATGCCACTGCCACCGGCCTCTGACGACTAGCATGCCTCCCTCGACACATGCAAGGCGGCTAACCGGCCGGCCTGGCTACCCGAGGACAATGCGCCATCGCTCTTCCGCCTACCTTTTTCCCCGTACACCGTTAACCCAAAAACCCCTTCCACTGGACGCGGTCATCCATATGCCCAACTGTTAAATCGTCCGAATACCGCCAGGTCGCCCCCGAGCTGCGCCTGCGCTTCTGCCGCCCTGCTCGTGACTGCTATCTGCATGTGGTGCACGGCGAGTCCTTTTCCAATTGCGATGAGACACGGCCACCCTGGTACTGCTACCGCGTAATGCTCAGCGGCGTGCGAGTGGGTCAGCGGCTGGGGCCCTATGCCGCCGACGATATAGTGGCGCCAAACCGGGTGCTTCTGCCGCGGCAGGAGCGCTGGCGGAACAACGTAAGCAAGGGCAGATCCGGCCGGTGGCCTGAAGGCCACGGGGAATTTGGGTGTAACGACGTGTCCACGACATGGCCAACGCCAACATGGAGATGATGCGTTTCAACACTTTCCTAATGCGCTTACTGCCCATAGATGGGACCTGCAAAAGCTTAGTCGACGGGATGGACCTGGAAGCTGTCCCTGGCCCTATCACGCACTGTGCGGGAAGGATTTGACTGGTCGATAGCGTTACTGTACAACGCTGCTGCCGTGCGATTCCGAGCCGCCTGACCCACCAGGTCAAAAACGTATTCGCACACTGCATGTCCGCGGATGCGGGTGGTGTGCTGCCGGGGATCCCCAGTAGGCCACCAGCACGTGAACTGGCAGTCCGTTGCCGCCTGCCAGGAACGTGTGAACGAAACAGCAGTGTACTTGCAATCCGGTGCCGGACGGTGCCGGTCCCTGCAACAACGGACCCTGGCGCACCTATCCGTTGTGCGATGCGCTCGAGTCGTTGCGTAAACTTTCTCTCGCCCTTCCACCTTCTGTCCCTGGAGGCGACACAAAATAGACCGCCGCCATAGTGCGTAGGCCGAAACGAGCAGGACATTCCACCACTGCAAGCCCCTTGTGTCATACACGCACATGCATAGCCTGTGTCCCATGTCCCTTCTTGTCCCCGCCTCGCAATCCGGTGAAACCTGATCACTTCTTTGCTGTGATACTTCAGCCCCGTCGTATCCTGCTGCTAAACTGCTTATGAAGTCCCGCAACCAACCTCCGCAACCCACATTATGTAACGTAGGTCCGGGACATACGTGACGTGATTGAGTTCCTGGCCGTACCTTCGGAGGACCGACTAACTGCCGCATTGAACAAGCTCATAGCGGTGGCTCACCAGGACGACTGGCGTAGCGGCCCCGCTGTCGTGTATATGCTCTTGACGCAGAACTGGGGACATGAGGCGCTGCAGAGATATGGTATTACCGCCGAGACAATACGGCATGCCTACGCATCGTTCGGGGCGAGGATGCGGCAGGATGGCAGCAGCGGCAGCGGCGATGAAGTTGCTGCTGTATGCCAGGCGGCGCGCCGGCGGCGGGCTGCCTCGACCGCGGAGATGCTTTCCGGCTATTCAGTGTATGCTAATCACGCGGCGGATCAGAGGGAACTAGGGGAACAGGGGTCGGTGGCGTCCGAGGGGGAAGCCAAGACCACAGAGCTGCGCAGTCTTACAAAGGGCGGCCAGTTGGAGAGGCGGCATCTGCTGTTGGGTGTGAATCTTGCACAGACTGATGGTGGCGGCTAATGCAGGCGGGGCATCGCAGCAACTTTAGAGAGACAACAAACTCAGGAGGGAGATTTCATTCGCATCCTGGCCTTACCCTCGAGTTCGCAAAAGTGTTCTGGACTCCGTTGCTACAATACGCGCTAGTTGTAGGCTACACGGTATTACACGGAAGAGGGGTTCCTTGCCCATCCCTCCATAGCACCTTGTTGGAGCCAAGCAATGCCGCTAACGTACGTGCACACTCCAGACCAACACACAGGTACTTGAGCGGTGTCTGAACTTATTCCTGCCATCATGCCTACCGGCCCACTTACCGCGCGTACTGCCCTGTCGAGTCCGATCCATACCGGCACCCGTAAGGCGATCAGCAGCTGTGCTGACACCATTCTTGCGTGCACGCTCCTTTCATGTACATGCGCCTCTCCACTATTTAGCAGATCACATCGAGGAAAACGTGTCATTGTCCAACAGCGACAATAGGCCGCCAGTTGTTCCCTGAGCTAACTGTCTAGCAACCACCCCGACTCCTTACTACACCGTCTGGTAGACTGTCGGTTGAGTTGAAGTGCCGTTCCTAAAGACCAGATTCGTAAACAAACAAAGAAATGGAAGGCCAAGCACACATCCAAACCTACATGAAAAGATGGTTATCTGTGCCATGACCATCCAGCCATCCCGCCTCCATCTTGGCACTGCTCGATTCGCCGCTGTCCCGACACCCGACATCTGTCAGTGGCTCGCAATCCGTGCCTCACCCGAAGACGTCGCCATTGGTCCCTACTCCGCGCAGCAGTGACGCTGAACTCGGTGCACATTATGCCTGCTTAAAGGCGGGCCCTCTTCCATGCTTTAAGTCGGTTCCCTTACACACTCTGCTGCCTCAAGCAATGGCCGCCACTGCCTTCTTGGCCGCGTCGTCCAGGTCATCCGCCGCAATGATGGCCATACCCGAGGAGCGGATGATGTCCTTACCCTGAGCCACATTGGTGCCCTCTAGCCGAACCACCAGCGGTACCGATACGCCGACCTGGACAAGAGGGAACAGGCACGCGGTGGAAGATTTTGCTGATGGATGGAAATTTGCGGAGTATGGGAATGCATGGTTGTAGCGTGTTCGCAATGGTGTGTTGCCTCGCTAAATATGACGTATACAGCATGTGAAACGCGAGGGAGAAGTGCACTGGGGTAAGGCAAGTGGTAGAACAATCGTCTCCAGCATAGATACTTGTAGCTGGGCCCATTATGCCGCATACGTTTTGCAGTCCAGCAAGATTCATGGGGTGGAATACCTATAAAGCGCCTTGTGGATGAACCGCGCAGTACATCGCTGGGCACGGAAAGGCGCAGTTTCAACACCACCACCTGCAATAGGTCACGTGGGCCCACACACAACTGCATCCGCAACTTGCCCACGAATTATCCCTGTTCATAATCACTCGTGCAAACAACGTGACATGTGTGAGGGATGTGTGTCTGGGCGGCAAAATAGGCGAATCAGTTGCGTACACAAAACCGACGTTTGGTGTACGGCAATCGCTGGCAATCAAGTCACCTGCTTGGCCGCGTTGACAATGCCTCTGGCAATGACGTCGCATTTCATAATGCCGCCAAAGATGTTGACCAGGATGGCCTTAACTTGCTTATCGCTAGTGAGGATCTTGAACGCCTCAACTACCTGGTGAAATTTGTGGTGTTGTGCAGACGGGTAGATGGGTGTGAAGATTTGTGAGCGGGCAACGCTACGTCTAGCTGGACGGGAGGACAAGGGAGACAAAAGAGTCCTGCCAAGAGACGCCGACTGACATAGCGAACGACGGGACCTGCATAATTAAAGCACCACGAACAAGACTACATGGCATATGATACAGCGATGCAAAGATCTAAATTGTCTGGTAATGCTCCTCTTCAAAAGTCACCACGAGCTCTTCCTCGAGTTTCCACAGCCAGAAACGAACAGCGTTCCTCGCAGTCCCACGTACTCACACCCCGCACCACAAACCCTCACTTAAACGCCCCTCGGTGCCACCTTTTTCCCACCCTCAGCTTCACATTTCCCCACCGCAGAAACCCAGCGCCAACTCCCAAGGGCTTTGGCCGGGTGTTAGTGCACCCTCCGACGCTCCAAGCCACCTGCCCTCTTTTACTACCACAACCCATCATACGCGGACACACCTGCTGCTCATTGGCACTCCCCCCGACGTCCAGGAAGTTGGCTGGTGACCCTCCGTGCATCTTAATGATGTCCATGGTGGCCATGGCCAGACCAGCCCCGTTGACCATGCACCCAATGCTGCCGTCCAGGCCGATATAGTTCAAATCGTACTTAGCCGCAGCGACCTCCCTGCAATTTGGTGGTAGGAGCAGGGCCAGGAGACAAGCGCAAAAATTGGATATGCAAGGCGGTAAAAATCATGCATATACACATGTACATATGTGTTTCATGCACCCGTCAAAAGGAACCGGCAAAGCACTGGACGAAGCAATTTATGTAAGGCCCAAATCGAGTGCTACCTGGATGCCTTTCCCATACGCACTTCCTACAATATGTCCGCGTTGACCACCATCGGACGGTTTCCCCCAGACGGCGCCACTACCCCTGAAAGCACTACTCCACACCTTGAACCTACCGTGGGTCGATCTGGCTCTCGTCTTTCAAATCAAATATTTCCTTGTGGCGGTATGCTGCGTTATCGTCAAACCCTAATTTAGCGTCCGCAGCAATTAGCTGGCCATCGAGGCTTTCCGCCAATGGATTCACCTGCACGCGCCCCAAAAAACAAGGCGTGCAGCTTCGTGTAGGGCCAGGCGATGCGCGGTAAGTGCGGAGCGATGGATTCATGGATGCGATTGCTTCAAAGCGTTGGCGTTACTGGTCTGGCCATATTCTGGCCATATTAAAAAGCCTGTCGGCGCCTGTGGCAGAACCAACTGGCCAATGGGAATTTGGGCCGCGTCAGGCAATCAGCGAATCTAGGAGCACTAACACAAAGCTACTAAGCCCAAGCTCATAAACAGAGACAGCCGGTTCATCCGCCGCTACGGATTTTGTCTACAGTAGTATGCGGCTACGTACACAAATACACAGTGCACGGACGTATACGTGCCACCCAATCCATCCCAACCCATTGGCCTTTTCCCCATTCCCGCAGTTAAAGTCAATCCTTACCTCCACCATCGTACAATCACACTTAACGAAGAGGTCGTACAGGGCCTTGATCTGCTGTGCCGCTTTGGCCTTGTCCCCCGTTACCCGCAGTCCCTCAACCATCTTCGCCGCCTGCGCGTCAGTGATGCCTGTACGACTATCCACTGGTACCTTGATAATTTTCTCGGGATACTTTTCCGCGAGGTCTTCGATGCTGGTACCGCCCTCGCTGCAGCCAATCATCATGGGGCCCGCGGTCTTGCGATCTAGCAGGATTGCAAAGTACATCTCCCGGCGTAGTTTCATCTTGCGTGCAATCAGCAGAGTGTTAACCGGCTTGCCGGCAGGACCTGTTTGCTTGGTGACTAGGGTGCCCCCTAGCATTTGCTTAGCAAGCTCCAGGGCGCGAGCTTTGGGCACGATGTGTACTCCTCCCTGCAAGCCGTTGGTGAAGCGGCCCAGCCCGCGACCGCCAGCAAGGATTTGGCTCTTCAGAACTACCTAGGGATTAGGGGGTTGTGGGAAGGGGAACTTTGGATGTTGGACTGGGTGCAGTCCGTGTGTGCATGTGTTAGTGTTTAAAAGGAGTGGATGCAGGTAATGAGGGTGGGTTGACGGTGACAGCGTAGGTAGCAGTGGGTGTAGCCGTGCCGATAAGAGTCCAGACAACCGTGATGATGAATTGCTGGCGATAGTTACGACGGCAGCCCGTACCACTGTCATCACGTTAAAGCAGCCTTTATGCTGCAGCGGTGATGAGTTGGCCCCCGATGGGTTTTCGGTCAGGTAAGTTCATGTCACGCTATTGATGCCGGGCGAAGTATGGCTTACGGTGGCGCTAACTTGTAATGGCACCGGCCCAGCGAAGGTGCTAACTCGTAATGGCATCGGCCCAGCGAAGAACCCCGCATGGCGCGCACTCTTGGCGCACCTCGCCATTCTCATCCGCCATCTGTTCAACGGCCTGGGCAACTTCATCCAATGTTTTTGCCGGGATGCCGGGGGGGACGTTTACGCCAAACTTGCTCATAAGTTGTGCACCCTGTGTACAGAAGGATGACATGAAGCCACAAGCAGCGTTTGACTTAGATTCTCCATACAATCTTAAATTGAGCCATAGCCATTGTACAGACAATTGCCGCCTGCATTACTTAGCAAAAGCTCCATAAGCTCCGACACGGGAGTCCCGTCATTGGAAGCTGAAACAATACCTGATACTCGTGCACATTGAAGAATCGGAGCTGCTGACATTGCGATAATGCGCCAAGGCTGCCCAGCCCCTGCTTTGCAAAAACCCTGACAAGAGAGGCAAGCATTCTCCCCGACACAAGCAGTCAAGAACGAAGAGCTCGCCCTTCCTATTTGCAAGTTATAACTAATTTCGTCGTTCCTTAAAAATTTAAAGAAATAATGGGCACGCGTTCTCTGGACATCACCAAGCTTGCACGGACAGAACTTCGTACTGTACGCTGTGTCGCCATGACAATCCGCTTGAGAGTGCGAGATGAATCGTCGCACAGCAACCGTTGTATTTGTTAGATAGATCACTGATAGCTAATAACCGGGCATCTACATACTCGTTGCGTTGGGGACACCGTTCCAAAGACAAAGAATGAGCTAAATCTCGTGTGTCTGTCATACCTGTTTTCGCAAGGCTGTAAATAGCTAGCTGTCCTGCCCAAAGCTTTGGACACCGCGAGGTGTCTGCAGGACACCCAGCCAAACCGATGCACCTGCCTGCCGCTGAGCTGCTGCTTAAGCAGTTCCTAAAGGCTAGCGATGATATCATCTCCAAGATTTCCCCTCAGGTGCGTTGTTTCAGGCGTCTGGTAGGCTGCCTCCTTAATGGCACACACCTGACAGCTGTGGGCGTTGCTCCTAAGCCTGGCCGCTGCGACTGGTGGAGGTAGCTGTCTTTATACATGTGCAGCTTCGTAACCTCTTTTTATTTAAGCTTCTTGTTTTTGAGCTTTTGCAACCTATAGACGGTCTTTCTACAGGGGTTTGTACGTTTGGCGAATGGAAATTATGAAGCAAGCGGGTTGAATGCCTTACCGCAGCTTTAAGAGTGTTAAAGGTATCTTCTTTTGCGCCTAATGACTGCGCCGTGCTAGGAAAGCGAACCCTCTCTCCCCCAGCTTCCCGTACCGCCCTGCGGCCCTGCGTCCCACGCCGGTCACGCGCTGCACCATCCCGTTGTGGCCCCCGTCCATTGCCGTATTAACCCCAAAACATCGCTGGTTCACATTATCGGGCACACTCGCCGCCACGTTTGGCTTAGATTGCGCTCCTGCAATCTTCTCCACCTTTCCCCCTTCCCCCTTAACGCTGGGGGCTCCCTTTACTGGTTGCGGCACCCGAGCCAACCCAAACTCCGCAATGTCCCCAATCACTGCGATGAGCGCTTATCAAAGTGTCGTCCCCTCATCCTGTTTTGGCTGCGTCCGAACCTCATTCCGCAGGAGAACTTCCTACATTTGTTAAATGATCCCAGGTTTGCCCGAGCACTGGGTAGCCTGCGGCTGCTGGTGCAGCACCATCTATCCCTCCTCCTGAAGCATCTGGAGGGTTGGCGCGCATCCACACACAATGGCCTGATGCGGCTGCCGGACAAGACGGACCGTGACCGTGTGGTCGTGACCAGCAAGCGGGTAGGTTTGCAGCGGATAGGTTGGGATCGGCTCGAGGAATGGAAGCCATCGGGAATGGGGGCCACCAAGAACAGGAGAGCGGCCGTGGCGGTTGCATTGCAGCAGGTGCAAAGGAAGGGAGCGCGCCGTCGAAACTTTCACCTTGCGAAGCGGAGTCCCAAGGAATGGCAGTGGGTGCGGAATGCGTCGTCTGGCGGCTTGAGGAGCTATGGCAGACCGGCAACAGCTCGAGGGAAAACTTCTCGAGGCACCTGTGCTCAGTATGTCGGGGCCTGACATTCTTTCCCCGCGCGTGTGGGTCGCTCTCGCAGGCCGCAATGGAGGTGATCTATTTTGAAGCAGCTTTGCAGCTGCTGGACCTGTACACGGACGACTTCCTGGAAAACAAAGAGTTTATTGCTTACTACGACATGCTGCAAAAGTAAGAAGGGCGCCCCGCCAGTGACAGGCTGTTAAGGAAGCAGGGGCCATGGTGACGCGTAGCGAGGCGGGGCCTCGGGGGCAGGGGCTGCAGGGGTGGGAACGTGCAGCTGCACATGGCCACCTGAGAGCAGAGGACGGGGAGACGGGCTGGGTGTGTTGATACTTCGGGGAGGAGCTGTCAGGTGTGTGCGCGACAAAGAAGAGATAGGTGGCATCGGGCGAGGAGGACCCGGCCTGGAAAGGGACGCCAAGGGGGCATGGAAGGATTGTGGGCTTCGGGGCTTGATGGAGGGCCCCAAGGGTTGTCCTGGGTTGACCATAGTGCTGCTGCCCTTCGCCTGCTCCAACACGTGGCGAACACCTATCCTGGTTTACCGCTCTGTTCCTCGTGAATCATGCGCCCAGCTCAACTTTTTGCTGTTGACTTCTGTTATAACCTCATCACTCCCCGCTTTTCCCCGGGTGAAAAGGGTCGATTACCCGTGATCATGTAGTTCACATACCCGCTACCCATCCCTCCCCTCTTTGCGCCGGCCGCTCCACGTGCCCGTGACCGGGTACTCGGGTCTCAGGAATGTCTTCCGCGTGCTGCTGATCGCGGAGGACGTGTTCCCTTTTGATTACTCTAAGGTGGTGGTGGCGGAGGCGGCCCGTGTGGTGGGGGCTATCAGCCGTAAGATAGCGCTCAGTCACGTGGTGGAGCCCTTCGTAGCGTGAGTGGAACAGAGGGAGGAGGGACAGGGTTGCGCATATATGGGGTGCGATGGTCAGGAAGACACCAGTAAGGCATTACCGGACGAAAATGGACGCGGTCTGCGTTTCAAACAAGACCCTTCCTGCCAGCCAAGAAGGGCGGGGAAAACTGGGTAGGGCAAGGGAGTCTCGAGATGTTGTAATGGGTTTTCCGGTCTTGCCAGGTCCTCACAGGTATCCCACATCGCCACAATGTGCCCTCTGCCTCGGCGGCCCACGCGCCCTCTAAACCATTCTACGACCTCGCCGCAACTCGCCTTGTATGCCATCACCCACATCCCATGTACCACCCCACCCGCTTATACTTCTTCCAACCCCATCTCAGTGCGCTTACGGACCGCATCAATCCCAAGAAGGACCCCAGTGGAGCCAAAACCAACTATGACGCTTTGAGAGCTCAGGTGTGTGAAGGGCACATACAGCAGGACGAGGGGGGACGGGAGCGGATGCGGGACCTGGATCGTCCTGGGGAATGTATTAAAGCGCGGGCTGAGCCTTACGAACCGCCAGGATCCACATCCAATCCTCCGCCATCTGGTCCTTCGCTTGGCCTGTGCTTACCCGCTGCACCCTGTTTTCCGACTGCTTCCCCCCACTCCGCTCCCCGCTGGGGTGGCTGCCCGACAGATTGTTCGTTTGTCCAGTGGCATGCGCCACGTGTCACTGTCTTTTAGTAGCCAGGAGGCGGTACAGGAAGCCGTGAGCTTCCTTGTGCGAGTACACCCGCTCAACCACACGGCGCCTATTAAGAAGAGCCAGGTGTGCGCCAGAATGTTCATGGGGGATGTCGCGTTGGTGTATGGTGAAGACGTCACGTGTGCTGGCTGAAGATACATGCTTTAAATGGTTGCGGAGGTATGGCGAGGTCTTGTTTGTGTATTATTGCTTCCAAATGCCATCACAGGCATTTACGATTTTGCATTTGGATGCGCAAAATATATTTCGTTACCGTGACTGCATGCCGCCGCCGGAACGCTTGCCATCTTTTAGCACAAACAGAATCCAGGAATCCAGCACACATTCGTCTTGCAATGCCCTCTTTCCCCCGGCCCATCGGTTGGGCCACACGCCGAATTTGGAATTAGGCACTTAAGATTGTTTCCATTACAGCCATTTTGCCTCCGACACTTTCGATACCCTTGTACAGCTAATCGTATTGTACAATGACCCCAACTCCCCTCCACACGCCACCACTGCTACCTGTTGCCCTTGGCCCGGGGCTACAGATCCACCACGCCCTGGCGGACATGCTGACCTCCATACTGCTGCCGCTGGTGCGCTCAGACGCGCCTCAGAAGGCAGCTGCCCTGCTGGGGCCCTCCGCGCTAGAGCAGTGGTATCAGACCGTCATGTCCATACGAGCAGATATCGTTGGATGGATGAACAAGCACCAGAAGCACGTCAACGTAAGGGGTTGGGCCGGGAGGACAGTGTAGAAAATGAGGATTCGTGTGTATTTTCCTATGGAAGGGGCTCTACTTGCAAGTGTCTAGTTGTAGCCCCCACCCCTCCTACATGCCAGTCCCATGAACTGGGAATTGGGGGGCCATGCCCGCATGTTTTGCTATTCTACTTCCTCATTGTAACGTTTGGTACGCACGCGTGGTCGCTTCGTTTGGCTCCTTCCCCATGTTTTCACTGATCCGTTGCTTTTCGCTTTCTCGCCCGCCACGCGTTTCCCCCCTGCTTCCTCCCTGCAGGACGGCTACCCGTTAGCCACCACACTCTTATGTCTTGCCAGTGATAAGGACTACTCGGCACATGTGGACACCGCCGCGGATTTCTTACACAAGGGGCTCAAGGTGCGCTCCCGCTCTCAGAAGACGGCCCTAACGGAAAAGGACGCACGGGAAGCAAAAGACGCTCCCATCCCACTCCGGGATAGGAGCTGGGAACTGACTGGCTGGGGAGCGCTGCACGTCTTCGGCACCCTAGACGCAGTGCTTCCGGGCTACCGTGGAATTCTTCGCCGAACCGCACTCCCAACTACAACCACAACCCACTCCCCGCATACAGATCGCGAGGATGGCGAGGACTTGTTGAGCAGCACCCGTCCATTCCACTTCGTTGCTTCCATCCTGGCGTCGACACGGCACCTATGTGCTGCTGATCTGTACTGCATTTCCATTGCTTTCCAACCCGTCGCTACGTGTTCCTCAGGTGAAGGAGAACCGCGCCGTGTGCGTGCGGTGCCTGGTGGTCCTGGCTTGCTCGTACCTGGTCCGCTACGGGGCCCACATTATCAAACACGAGCTACACAAGTGGCTGGATCGGGTCCTCAAGCCGGTTACACAGCTGGCCAAAAAGGGCGGCCTTACCATCTCGGAGCAACTGGTGCGGGCAGGGTACTTAGGAAAGACAAACTGAATTAAAAGGGGAAGGGGTAAAGGGAGGAAGATCCTATGCCCCGCCGGGCACCGCTGGGTGAGGGGAGGAGCAGGGTGGGAGCAGGAGGGGATGACGCAGAAGGTGTACACGTTTTTTTGCTGCTCGATAAGAATTAATTAACTCGGGCTTCCTATGCCCGTACCTCACAGCACCAATATAGAAGCAGTGTCAGCCTGCCGAAATGCCCCGTTTACCCATTCTGAGGCCTGTCCTCGTCCGCCCCTTACTTGCGCCCTTCTCTTCCCCGCCCTTTCCCCATCGCTTCCTGCCTCCCGCCTGTTTCCCCGCTCAGGAAGTGATTGCACCCATCGCGGAGTTGTCCCCGGAGTTCGCGCTGCAGTACCTCATTTTGGAGCTGCTCAACTCGGATGTGAACGATTGCGCATTGGCAGGGTTAAGGGCTGTACAGGTAAGGGATGGCCGGTAAACCCGAGTCCCCTGCTGCAGTAGAAAAATGCTGCGTAGGAGAGGGAATGCTGGTGAAAAGGAGTGAGGTAAAAAGGGGCGATGCGTAGGGGCCCAATCCCATGGCTACGCTTTGTGCAGTTTTGCAGCTCCGCGGAGAGTATTTAGGGGCGCGGAATGCCCCGGCACGCTGTCCCGCCGGCATATGACCACGGGCATGCCACACGTGTCCGAACCTGACATGCCCCTGCATGCCCCTAACAAGAGAACTACCCGACGAGCTTGGCTGTTAAAGTTCAAAACAGCAAAGCAAACCCACGTGACACCATGATGTCGCCACCTGCTATCTAGCATGCCCTTCCCTCTCGGTCCCACCACGAACCCATTTTCCCCGAATCTCACCTGGCAAGTCCGCGCACCCATCGACGCTACTTGTTCGTCTGCCCGCAGGCGCTGATCTTAACTGCGCCTGCGGTGGCTGCCGCTGCCGCTGCGGGAAGCGGTCACCACCGCTCTGCATCAAGTGAGCACGTGTGTGTGTGTGTTGCGTACTGGAAATTATGTCGAGTCCTGGCCTAAGACAAGCCCGCTGGCGCCTGAAGATAGCCGTGTTCTGTATCCGCACAGCTGCCCAGCGTCTGGCTGCTCTGCCTTTACCTGTGGAATTTCAAGGGACAAAGGATATTCATTTGCTAGTGGCCAAGGCTCGGCCCCGTTGTCCAGTTGAGGACGGAATGAAAACGCGGGGTGGGCTTTGGATAATACCAGCAAGCACGGGCATGTGCTCCACATCTCGCACATAGCACATGGCCCTTCTTCTCATTTAAATGCCTATGGAGTCTGGAACTACCTGTATTTGTCCAAAGTTTCCGTCCTTCCCATCGCGCCGTCCGGGGCTGTTGCCGGCATAGCCACCGCTACCGCTGCAGCAACCAGTGCTGCCCCCCGCAACTGGGCCCTTCGGCCCAGCCGCAGGCTTGGCTCAAGGGGGCCCGGGTGCGGCTTCCGCCAGCGGTTACGGCTCCGCGCATTACAACGGCAACGGCAGCAGCGGCGGCGCCCTCCCCTCCTCCAGCAGCACCTCGGGGTTACAGGTAAACCGCGGGATGGTGGTGCGCCTGGTAGTAATAGTTTGTGTCATTGGTGAACGCAGGGCGCAGTAGTGTTAATTATTTGTGGGTAATGGGCAGGCAGCCAACCACGTGCAGGTCGGGTTTGGGAAGCGAGCGGGTGGTCAGGTAGCGCTTTCCTTGTACTGTTGTGCGCTGGGTCGCAGGCCATCCCGGGAGCAAGCGCATGCAGACGGCACACTTTGCCCAATCCCTTCCTGGGTGCTGTTCCTATTTTACGCTGTGCCATGGCGTATCGGTTGACTATCGGATGTAATCCGGCTGCACAGGCTCTGCTACGACGGGCACCCACGCCGTCCGCCGGGGGTCTTCTGTACAGCAGCCCCTCTTTGGCTGCCGGCGGTCTGGTGTCGTCCGCCAGCGTCGGTAGCGGCCTCGCTGGCGGAGGCGGAGGCAGCGGACCAGGCGGCGGCAGCAGCGGCAGCAGCGGCGTGGTGCCGGCCGCCGCTTTCGCCGCTGTCAACGACATGCTGCGCCGAGGACTGCACCCCCTGGAGGTGCTGGGGGTATCACATTTATTGACCAGGTGAGGCCTGGAGGATGGGTACTGGATGGCTACGAAACTGAAGGAGGACCGGGCCGGGACTAGGAGTGCCGGGATGGGTTTGCAGGAAGGAGGCGCGCGTGTTTGTGTGGTGCACGTGTGAGGATTTCTCTGATCTGGGGCTGTGGCGAGGGGTCCTGTAACTCGTGCCATCCTCTGCTTTCCCCACCTAACCCACCAACATCCGACACGGTCCCAAATGCAGAATCAGCGCAGCCCTGGCCAAGCTGCTCACCAGCTTGCATGCCATGTATGGTTCCAATCTCCTTTACGGCCCCGGGGATCCCAATTGGAAGGAAAAGGCGGCAGGTGAGTGGGGCTGTCGGCGTCAGTCAGGACAGGAAGAGCGAAAGCTGTAACTTTGCCCAGCATACACCATGAGTCCAAGGCGCGATAGGACCAGCGCATGACCCGGCACGATCCCACCCGCAGCCGGGGGCCGATGTACTTGACCGTTTGGATCCATATCTGTTTCCTTATCCACACCGTGTCTCCTATCGTATCTCCACGCGAGCGTTTCCTCAGCGCAACTTGTCGCGCATTTGTGGTCCACCAGCTCTGCTTTGATTTGGTATATTCAACATACCGCCGTCTTTCCCCATCTGCGTCTCACCCTCGTCCCTTCCTCCTCTCTTAGGCTTTCCCGTGTTGCTGACCCTCATACGGCTGCTGCCGTATTTGAAGCCAGACGTGTGGGCAAACAGCAGGCCACTGGATGTGCTGCCCAGGTGCGTGTCTCGCGCATGTGCCTTTTCCTTGGACTGAGCCGTATAGCAGCACCGTGTCATGAACTTTTTTAATGTCTGGTGGTATGCCTGTCTGCGAGCGAGGCATTTTAAAGTCCCTTTAGTGCATCGGAACGGTGCCGCGCGTCCGCGATTTGCAGCAGCCGATGCTCCGCTTCCTTTCAAGCATAGAAACCTGTACATGTAATATAATGCACGTTTTGCGTCTGGCTCCCTCCATTCCTTCCGCAAACCTCCCTGCCCGCTTGCTCTGCAGCTACACCTGCCACGCGGAGGCCTCCCTCCGTGTAGTGGCGGAGGAGGTGCTGTTGTCGGTGGTGCGCGGCTGTCCCCACCTGCGGAACACCGTCATCTGCTCCTTCGCGGCATTCACGGCCGCTCTGCCGGACGATGCTGTGCAGGTGAAGGCACATTGCTATGCGGTTTGCTGCGGATGGCCGTCTGTTGCTGCTCCGATGTGTTGCGTCGACGTCCAATCCTGCAACCTCCTCTGCACCAGTCAGTGCCCCAGCTTACCGCGGGGACACAAACCTGCCTGCAGCACGCTATAACATACAGTCTGGCTTGTTCTGTGTATGCCTGCGAGGTCCTTGATTTCTACTGGAATGGCAGCAGGTTACTAGAGGCGTGCGGTGCATGTGTGGATTGGGATATCGTTAGCCGAGGGACGCTTTCCGCCTGCAAGGCACAAGCACGCATTTCGCCTCGAGCACGACAGCTCCACAGCAGCAGCAGCAGCAGCAGTTGGGTCAGCGCCGGAACGCCTGACCTTTTTCTCACCCACACATGCCAGACGTACCAACCCCCATTTACCGCTTCCCAAGTTCTTATGGACCCCATGTGATCGACCCCTACATTTGGGCTCATTCTTGTCTTGTCTCTAAATTCCCACATGCAATTGCAGTGTGTACGGGACTCCCAGCGGCTGCTCAGAGACCTTATGGAGCTCTGGATTGCCCTGCTGGCGGAACGGGCGGGGGGGGACGCGGTGGAGGTGGTCAGCGGCGGCACCTCAGTCAGTAGTGGCGGCCCCATCAGCGGGCGGGAGGCGCTGGCAGTGGATGTGCACCGGCTGGAGGGCTACTCGCTGGTGTGTATGGCTAGCCACGATGAGGCGATTCGGAGGGAGGCGATGCAGGTGAGGTGGTCGAAGAGAGGGTGCACGTGCCTGCGTGAACCTCTGGGTTTGGCGGCAGCAAGTGGCTACACGCACAGCGGGAAGGTCAGGTCAGGTCAGGTCCTTTAGGGCTTTCGGGGTACTGAATGCATGACTTGGCAAGGTTGACGGCGGCTAGACCGGTTGCAGGCTAGCTTGGCGAGCTGGAGGCACATGGGCTCTGAGTATGCGCTCGCCTGGTAAATTACCCGTCATGTTCACTGACCTTAATCTTTCTATTCCCTTGACCCGCAGTCTCTTCACCTCATCCGGGCTCTGCATCAAGCCACACTCTCCGCCGAGCCGTATGAGCTGCCACCCTGCCAGCTCAAGCCCGGGCTTGGAGGTGCGATGGTGACTCGGAACCACAGCAGCGGCGGCCTGACAGTCACAGGGCCGAGCGGTGCGACGTCATCCAACTTCACTGGTGTCGTGAGCCGGCCTGTTCATGGGCCAAGCGCCAGCAGGGAAAGTCTTGACATATACGGCGGGGTCATGGACCTGGGCCCAGGCACGCCCGGACCGGCCAAGAGCAACACCGCACAAGGTGAGACCGAGGGCGGGAACGAAGCTGCCGAACGATTGCGAGAAAACGTCTCTGCTTGCCCTGTATATCTGTGTTGCAGTTGATACAACGGCATGCATTGGATACGTCCCTGGCGCATTGCGTTCGTGTTTAAGTTGCAAACATTCTATCCATGCATTTAACTTCTTATTCCCTTTGCCGGCCAACCCTGGTTCACACATGCCGCTCCATCTACCACCCAAACCCCGCTCAACCCCACCCAATCACTTATACACTCACTGACTCACATATGCGCACGCCCTATACCACACGGCTGATCCGCGGTTGCGCTGCACACGTTGCGCCTGGCACCACTCCGTGTGGGTTCAGGGCTACCTGACGCTCTCGAAGCCGATCCGCCCACCTACCTTGTGGAGTTGGTTGAGGAATCGGGACCTGCGCTTCTACGGGAGACGTACTGGGACTTCGGGGACTTCTCGGACATGTGGAGGCTGTACAAGCCGGTGCCGGAAAACGTCACGTTTGAGGTGAGCTCGGGTAGGAGTTCTGGATGGGGACGTGGATGTTTGTCATTCGGTGCTGCGCGTGCGCTTACGGTGTTGCGAAGCTGCGGCGTAACTGGTAGTGAAGGACGGCATTTTGTGCGTGCATGTGCTTCGTTTATGGGACGGACAACACTTACAGCAAAATATGTGCAGTGTCCCCAATCAAGTGCAGAGAAAAACGCTACCGGAGCAACCGACCAACTAACAAACATGGCAGTTTCTTGTATTTCCTGCAGGTTTTGTTTCAGCCGGCGGCCCAACCCCGACATATCCCCTGTGGTTTACAGCTACCATCATCTCAATGCCGCCCTTGTTGGCTACTAAACTGTTGCACCGTTTCCCCTGTGCCAGGAAGTGCTCGCCGCCCCTGGCCGCCCTTCGGATGAACTCTCTCGCGTGCGCTTGGCCCGGGCGCTGCTCGCGTTGATGGCCCTGGCGGTGCGGCTGGTTCCCGCCAGTGCGGCGGTGGCTGCGGTAGAGCTGGTAGCGAGGCTAGGCCGCATGCTGGGTCGTGGAGGGGATAACCGCCTGGTCCTGTTGGCCGAGTATCTGGGTGAGGAGAGGTTGGATGGAGGGTGAGGGGGAATGGTGGCATGGTGGAAGATGAGTCAGTCGATATGCAACGGACTTGGCGAGGAGGGTGGGAGGACTTACCAGACGCGACCGGCCGCCCTTTGACCAGGGCTCGCCATGCTTCTTTACTTGTTACAGCTCCCCGCTCTCGCCGGTTATTTTCTCCAACTCCCCTTTAACGCCTGGGTATGTAAACTCACCCCATTGCCTCGCTCTCCGAATGGCCGGCATCGATGTTGCTCTCTCACAGAACCCGGCCGGCGTGACGCGTGGCGCAATTGTAGCGCCATGATTTGCGCGTGTCCGCACACGCTGAGGGAGCGCACGCAGGAGAAGCTGGGTAGGTGATCCTGTGAAGATACGGGGGGTTAAAGAAGTTTTCCTCAAAATGAACTGAACACCGTCCCCTGACGAACACTAGACGTGGAGGTGAGGGTTGACATCTAGGTTGTTGAAGCGGTTGCGATATGGAGGAGGATAGGTGCATATATTAGAAGTTTGTAACTTGTAGGAGGGCGAAGGGCCCGCCGTTAGTGTTGTTTTGACACCTTGCTGCACCTGACGCTGGGCATCACGTGTACTTCAGTTACTGGAGTCCTTTCTCCCCACCCTACACTTTTTGCGCTGTTTGCCAACCCGACCCTATGTGCAGCTCATTCGTGTTGCATGTCCATTATCCCCTCCTCCTCACCTGCTGTCCCTGGCCTGCATCTTTTTTTATAATTTCCCTGTGTCTGCAGCCCGCCGCCTGCCAAGCCTGACCAGTCGCGACATTATCCGGATGCATTTGGCGCTGCTCACAGCCTGCGCCAGCTCCTCGTCTTCATCGGCACAGGCAGTGCCGCCCAGTTTGCAATTGTGCAGGTGGGGATATTTACCGCCTGAGTCCTTGAACCTATCTTTCCACCTCGGTTGGCCTCAGCCCCCATGCGGTATGAGGCTAGAAGACCGGTGGGGCGGGCATGGATGCACGGAGAGCCATTTGCAGTTGCCCTTGACAAGGGGTCCGGGGGACATCGGCACTTGGGTGTGGGATGCGAGAGGTCCTCGCTGGGACGCTGTGTGCCTGCCGTACCCATCACCGCCACCCTGCCACGCGTTGTTGTGAGGCAACCAAAATAGCCTCCTCCCTCCCCAGCAACGGGATGCCCGGAGTTTGAATTATTGTCGCACTCATTTCTCTTCCCAGCGATGGTGCACTGGTTCCCCCTTAACCCCCGTCACCGGTCTCATTTCACCGGTCTTAAGACCACACCTTGGGATGTAGGATTACCTTAGGTTTTAAAACCCTGTCTAAAATAGGTGGCCCTTAATTAAGGTTGTATTGCTCACTGCAAACGCCTTTTCCCTGCCCACCCGCTGACCCAGTCATCCTTCCAACGTTCCATCTTACGCTTTTACCCACAGACACGCGGCCCTGCCTGTCCTCAAATCCGGCCCTTGATCGGCTTTCCCCCGGAACCTCTCCCCTCGCAGCATGATGTCGTTGGGCCATCTCTCCTCGGACATGTACGGGATCCTGATGGAGGAGATGCAGCCGTATATTGACGACTACCTGGGCGGACGCGGGGCAGGGAGCGGCAAGAGCAAGAGCAAGATGCGTGACGAGCTGCGGCGATGCATGGCGCACGTGTTTCGGTGAGTTGGTGGCTTGGAGAGGTGCGTTGCGGCGGTAGGGCATGCCAAATTTCTTGGCTCTGGGCTCAAACCTACTCCCACTTGCATCAACCGCATCCACTAATCATGTCACCATCGTCAAATTTTATGTACCTCCGCGGCACCGGCACCTTGTGGCTATTTCGAACCTAGTGGAGTTGGTTTTCCCACATAATCTGTTATGCACTGCCGCCCCTGCCCCAACTTAGCGAACATCTCGTTTTTGTGGGTCAATGGCCTTTTTCCTTACTTTCCCCCAGTCCCCGGCTCATTCGTTTAGCGTGTTCATCCTTCCCTCCCTTGTTCTTTCCTTCCCTCAGGATTCTGTCCGAGCAGGTGCCCCTTGAGGTGCTGAACTCCAACCCGCAGCTTCGGAGCCGGGTGCTGGAGTTTATACGGGAATCATACACAGTATTGCGCAACATCCAGCTCGGCGCGGATACTTTTTGGGAGGCGGTCCAGGTGTGTGGGTTTAGCTAATGCTGCATCGCTCACAAGGACTTGGTTTTGCCACCCGCTCCCGCCATCAATGACCCCAGCGAACCAAAGCCACAGCACACCGATTCCTTTCGGAGCTGCTTGCGCCTTGTCGCGTGGCCGCTTGCTTGGAGTTTACGGCAGACTTTGCTCTGCTTTTTGCACCCGTTAGCTTCCTGCTCTCCCAGAGGCGCAGTGCCGATAGCGAAGCACGTGCTCACGCCACGAAAATGTCCTGCTGTCCCACGCGGCCGGCCCTCAGGTGGCATACTGCCTGACCGCCGTGGTGCGCAACATCGCGGTATCGCTGAGGCCGCTTCTGTCGCAGGCGCTGCACGGGGGCCCGATAACCGCCGCCCAGCAGCTGCAGCGTGACTCGCAGGGGCGAGCACCGGACGCGGCGATGGCCGCCACGGCTGCTGCGAGTGGTGGTGGTGCGTCGTTGCGCAAGCTGCTGTGGGAGTTAATCCTGTTCTGGTGCGAGGAGGCTTACATCCTGCTCAAGGACCTCAAGGTAGGTAAAGCACGTCCTTCTTGAAGCATGTTCTGCTAATGCATGTTCATTTGTGGAGGTCATAAAAGGAGCACAGCCGCAGTATCGCGAGTCTGTGGCGCACCGGCACCCCAGCCATTGACCCTTTGAACCGGTTCACTTTCGTACCCTTCCCAAATCCTACCCTCATTGGCATCCTTACCCTCATCGGCATGCCGCTGTTAGTTTGATTTCCTAGTTGCTCCTCCCGGCCGCCGCTTTCAGCCCTCTCCAAATCCCCACCACCCGCGCCCCTCACACCCGCTTCCAGGCGGTGGTTGGGGCCGTGGCTCCCGGCAGCGACGTCACCGCTGCTCTACGGACGTGTCCTGAAAGCAACTACACCAGGGCCATCAACCTTGGTATCGGTGCGGTGCTGCACAAGTGAGAGTGATGTCCACTAGCAGGGATAGTGCAGGGGGAAAGGGCGGAAAATGGACGTCCGGAGGTGCAGGTAGAGGGAAGACGGGACCAGGCAGCCCGTCACACGCCCTTGGGCACCGCTTGTGCACAGCGGGGCGTTCCAACTTTTCCCACATGTCCCCCAACCTCGTCCTTAACCTTATCCGCAGCAGTTAGGCGTGTGTATCCTTGCTAGCCGTCCGCTCTGTCGCCCCCCTGCGCCGAAGTCACCCCTGGTCCATGGCCGGCTGTTGCCCGGACAAAAGGGAAAAGCGACAGATGAGACATTGGCGGATCCCCTTCCCGCAGTTCATGCTTTGGACGTCGGGAGTTGTTTCCTTGAGTTCTGCATGTACCCCCGCCTCCTCCATTGGCGAGAGCAGGTTAAAGGACTCCCCGGAGGGCCTTCGTGAGGAGCTCCACCTGGCATCACATTACGTCAATCACTCGGCCAGGCTAGCGCTGGCGGCACTGCTGGAGGTAAGGAGGAAGGTGGAGAGGGGACTGGGGAGGGGGTGAGTGAGGGGGTGCAGGGACGAGCCTGGTCGTGTGGAAGTCGGGGAGAGGTACCGTGGGGTAATCAAGCGAAGGAATTGGATGCGCTGCAGCATATCACGCATCCTCAGTTTGCTGGACACCTTGTCCCATGTGCGTCCTGCCGCCCCTGCCCAGCGTGTCCACGTAATTTTGCCCTAAATCCTGCGGGGTTCTTACACGAGGACTCTTTTGTAACAACCCACCACCATCGCCCGCATGTCATCACCAGGGGCCTGTATTTGACAACGACACTCGTCGACCCACGGGTCCCGTGTTCACCTGGATTGATAAGCTCCTTGCGGTGCCCAGGGAGGGGCCGGGGCCGGTGAGTGCGGGGAGGCGGGACGGGATCCTGCTTCGGTACGGCAGGGGAAAACACGTGGCGTCATGCCGTTTGAGGTGGTGGGGGCTGTGGTAGTTAATGGCCAGTACCTGCCAGAGGTCACACACCTGATTTGCTCGCACCCCGATTGCCTCACCTTCATTTTCACCAAGTCCCTTGCATTCCTGCACACGAATTGCCTCCTTCGCCTCCTTTCCATCCAGGCTCCGCTCCCACCAGCTGCTCCGTTTTCTGAATGCCCACCTATTTCCTTCCCACCCCCGTTGCCCATCCTGACCGTCGGCACGCACTACCGTTTGTGCCTCGTCCTCGAACCCCGTCCATCATCTCCCCAGGTGACTGGTCCTCCTCGGCGAACGGTGGGCTTTAAGGCCCTGCGAGCTCTCCTGACCCACAACCCTGACTTGTTCGAGGCCTGCTTGGACAAGTGCTACGACTCCAACTGCTCCCTGGCCAGTGGATACTTCCAGGTGGGGGCCGCTGGGGGCTGGGCTTTGAGGAAAAGATGAGCCTTATCAGGCATTACCCTGAAGGGTATAGGTTGTGGGCAGTTGGCTTGGGTAGGAAGTCTTTATACAGAGGAAGATAAGCGAGGAGGGCGAGCACACGGCTGCTCGCTCTCAGGCCGGATTTAGACTTGCGTCAAGTGTTCTTCCCCGAACTGTTCTGCATAGCGAGGCAAAAAAAGCGAAGCAAAAGGCAGTACGCCACCTTTCACCTCCCCAGTAACCAAATGCCCTTGCCGCTTCGGCTCGCCAACCCCGTCCTTCATCTTCAGGTTATGTGTGAGGTGTACGGCACGCAACCGGTGCGGTGCGAGCCGCACATCGTGTTGGCGCTGGTGCTGGTTAAAATAGTGGACCCCGCACAGGAGGTGGGACACGGCGGTGGGAAGGGCGTTGTGCTTTGCTGGGTGGTTTTGGAGCGGTTGTTTAGAGGGCTAATTTGACCTGTGTGCACATGGCTGTGCACACGCATTCAACCAGCCAACCGGATACCTTTGTACTCACTAGCACAGCTCCTGCTTGAATAGCGGCCTTTGAGTTTCTACACCACTTTTAACGGCTTGTCCAGCGCGACGAGAGCATCAATAATTGATCGGAGTGCACTTGGCGCAGCACCGCACAGAGCAGCCGCCCTGTTCCGTCCCTGTCTCCCCCTGAACCCCCAACCCCTTCTAGGTCCGCGAAGACGCGCTGCACATGCTGAATGTCCTGAGTCAGCGAGAGTGGCAGTCGGGCGCCTCGGCGGCGGCCCAGGGCCTAGGGCTGGGGCTGGGCCTGGGGGCTGATCCGGGCAGCTCACAGGCGGCTGCCGGGGCTTCACCCTCCTCCCGGAACGGTGAGTGCGCTAGGTTGGTGGGGGGGGATAAGGGTAAAAAGTTCGGATACGGTACTGTTTTACCGCTGGTGCAGTCCATGTTGAGGACGGCCACATCTCCTTGCACACTGTTAGGCTGGAACCTCCTATCTAGCTCACTCCCACGCCACCTGCGTAACTGTGACCCCAGTCTGGTCTTACGAATGGGCTACCTCGGTTGTGCCTCTACACTTTGAGATGTACACCATGACCCACGCACCGACGCGATACAGGTGCTCCCGGCTCTCCGAACGGGGCGGATGCTGAGGTGGGTGCAGCCGCTGTCAGTAGCAGCAGTGGCGTCGGCGTCAGTGACGACGGGGCGGTGCTGGTGATCGGCTCGCTGCAGGACTCGTATAATCAGTTCCAGTACGAGCTGTCGGGCAGCCTGGCAAGGTATGCGGCCCCTTAGCATGTGCTGGTACTTGTATGAACCAGCGGTGCCGGGTGATGTCCCGTATTTGTGTTGATGTACGGGCACCCGCCCTTTACAATTCCGTCCTCCCCTGCTGCACCCTGACCCTTTCCAGACCCCGTCGCGTCCCAATCTTCCTCTTTCCCGACTCTGTTGAGTTTTGAGGTTTCGGACTTCCCAGTTTAAATTTTTTCCACAATGCGCAAATAATCCCCCCTCCCGTCCCTTGCCGTCCCTTGCATATCGTCTCACCCCGTCTCCTCTCCCCTCAGGGAGCACCCCGAGCTGAGTGAGGCCCTGTGTGAGGAGATGATGACCCGGCAGCTAGAGTGCAATGACGGCCTCATACAGCACCCGGTGCTCACCAGCCTGGCGCCATGGATGGAGAACCTCATCATTTCCTTCCCGTGGAGGGGAAACTGGTGAGTGCCGGTGAAGAAAGGGGAATCCTGCAGGGGCTGCCGTGGGTGAAGTGGATAGGGGCTTCTATTGGGGATCGGACCCGCTCATCACCTCTTCCCTCCCCTCCCTTCCCCTTCCCTTTCCCTCCCTTGCGCCCCTCTTTGGAAAACGCACGCACACAGGAGTGAGCGGCTGCTCAAGAGCATGTACTATGTGACCCTGCGCCACGGCACCCAGTTTCCCAGTGAGATCCAGAGGCTGTGGACCCAGCTGGCCAAGCGGACGCGAAACATCAACCCCATACTGGACTTTTTGCTGCACCTCGGCATGGCGACTGCACTGCAGGTGTGTGGGTGTGGGTGTTAGAATGAACTGAGATGCGCGTAGGAGGAAATGGAGAGGATGGTGTATGGGAGGTGGCCGGCCCTGGTGATCCCTGTTAATGGGGGAAAGGCTCTGCAGACCTGCAGTCCTTCACCGCGAGCGCTTGCATGTGTGCGCGTACGCTGTTTGTTGATGTACTTGTGTGGCCTATATAGTTGTGTATAAGGCAAGGCCCCTGAGGAAAGATGGGGACGTTAGGAAATGCTGCCGCCCATCAGGACATCCTGAGAGCTATCGTCCCGGCGCAGGTGTGACCCTGCCCCTGCTCCCCCTTCCCATGCTGCGCGCTGCCCTGCTCTACCCACACCCGTGCCCACTCTCGCCTCCCTTTCCCTCTCACCCGATCCCTTCTGCCCTCATGTCATGCGTCTACACATGTGGTGGCTGCGATTTGATGACGTGCCTCACAGACCGAGCAGACTTCACAACAGACCGAACACAACCTTATGATGGACTTCTTCAGTGTCGCCAAGCGCATCGTGCTGTACCTGGCCCGAGTCAGCCCCACGGAAACCATTGGCTACCTGGCGATAGAGCTGGCCAAGCAGCAGATGGAGGAGGGGGACGCGATGGTGGAAGGGGCTTACCTCACTGCCGACGGCGCCGGGACAGCGGCCACCTCGGCGGCGGCGCCCGCTGGTGTCGGGGCTTCCCGCGGAACTGCCGCTAGCGGCGCCAAGGTCGCTGCTAGTGGGGCGCCTGTGGCGTTTCCGCATGTGCTGGTATTTGGCGGACCACTGGACTGCGTGGTGGCTGGAGGTGGGTGGGCCGATGATTTTGGTGGAAAGGTGAACACGAAGAAGTGGTGTGTATTGTTGTCGCAGCATTCGGAGCCTGTCGTCCCACACGCCCTCAACGGACCGCGCCCTTCCATGCTACCCCAACAGAGGAACGAACAATGTACACCTCGTACGAATCTGTACCGACAGTATCTTCCACATCCCAAGGGGGCGCCGCCAGTACCAGCGGCCTGGGGTTGAGTAGCCACCTGGAACCTGCTTCGTCTGCGACCGGTGCCGGAGGGGGCAGCTACCGGAATCAAAGCCTGGACCAAGGGCCACGGCCCCTCAGCGGTCGCTCCGAAGCCAGCGGCAGCAGCCGCAGCGACGCCAATGGCCTTGGCGGCGGCGGCGGTGGCATGGGATCGTTGGCGGACAGCAGTACGGCACCTGGGCGGGGGCTACTAGGCGGCCTGGGATTTGGCGGGTACGTACGGTAGCTTTACAGCCCCCGCGTAAACCTCAAGTAGGACATGGCTGTCTGCGTAATGTTTGCCTTCAGCGCGTCGTGTGCTTCTAGTTATGGATTGCACATACTATGTCGCTGTGGCCGTCTTTGGCTGTGGGGACGTGGGGACGATGTCCGTCTGGTATTGTGATGCGGCTGTGTGCTCCTGGCTGCGAGCCCCGTCCGATAGCGTCTCTGGGTGCCAGCCTCTTCCTCCCGTGGGCCCCAATGGACGCGGAGGGACCTACGGTAGAACGGTGTCTGGACAAGGAGAGGCTTCCTGTTTTTCTCGCTGGCGTCGTCCCTTCCCTCTAGAAGTCCGCGGCGGTACCCCTCCACACCGGCTTGAGGGCTCCGTCATCACTCGCCACATCATACCCCACCCTGCCTCACCCTGCCCCAACCCGCTTGTGTCGCTCCCTGCCGCCGTTGCCACCTCCGTCTGGGTGCCGCAGCTCGGACCACAGACTTCGACCCGCGGATGACAGCCGCAGTGCCGGTGCGGCCCCCTCGCAGACCTCAGCGGTTGGGGCCGGAGGGGCTGGGCTTGGGTTTGGAGGCGGAGGGGAGCTCCGTACCTCGCACTCGCCCTCCGCCTCCCCGTCCCGGGCTGCCTCTGCGGCAGGCGGCCTCCTTGGCAACAAGGCGCTGCTGTCCAGGTAAGAAGTGGGGACAGGGAAGAAGGGGGAGGGGAGGGGCTCTCGGGCTGGGATGTGGAAAACAACTTAGCGGGTGGAGGATTGTAGTTCAGAGGCAATGGATTTAGTTGAAAGGGAGAGGGGCAGGCGGGCGCTGTTACCCCGCCATTTGCAGGCAGTGGTAAGGAAAGAACTTTTGGCGGGGCAGCCCCTTGGGGTTTGTGTCAGTTACCACAACGACCCACTCCACCTTACCGTGCCCCACGGACGCGACACGACCTGACCCAAACCGACACAGCACGACCCATATCATGATATGTGGGAATTGGCCATGGATCACACTGCAAGCGATCACCTTATCTGCTTCGCCTCGCCTCCCTCCTGCCGCCCTCCCTTTCCTTATCCATTTGTCCCTTTCCGGCTCCCCGTCAGGGCCGAGCTTGTTCTCTGCTGCTTGGCTGAGGTGGTGTACGAGCACGAGGTGGACCCCCAGCACCTTCCCCTGCTGCTGCATGTGGCCCTCACGTGTGCGGACCACGGGGAGGCAGTGGTGTCCACCCACTGCCAGCAACTCATTGTAAACCTGCTGTACAGGTGGGGGCTGGCTGGATGGGGGGTGGGTGGGAACGGGTGGGGCAGGGCAGAGCCGAGGGGAAGTATGGACCCAGGTGCGGAACCCGGCAATGGAAATCCGAGTGCGAACGGAACGCGGCAGTACGCGGTTTTGGATTGCTTTTAGATCTAGGTCTTGGTCTCGCTTAGCGCCATGTTGAGGGATAGTTTAGGGACATCCCTTGCTTAACTTCTAAACCTGCAATCATTTCCCTCGCGTGTCCAATACGCGCCTCGTCGCCCACAGTCGCTCCGCGCAGATGATTGACCTCAGCCCCGACCTCGCCACCACGCCCCGTGCCGTCTCCACTGCCGGGTACGCCGGAGCCGCCACCAACGGCGGCGCCGCAGCTACCACCGACGCCGCCCCGCCTTCCTTCGCCGCCGCGTCTCCCGACGTCGCCGCCCTCATCCGCCATCTCCAATCCCTTACCGGTCGGAAGCTGTGGCCCTGGGAGGAGTTCAGCCTGGTGGGCGCACAGGCCGTCGCAGCCGCCGCCAGCCTCGACGGCAACTTGCTGCCCAGCGCCGCTGCGCTAGGCGGCCTCACGGTGGCGGTGACGGAGGCACTGTCGTACGAGCCGTCCTTGGCCGTGGAGTGGGGTACGCGGGCTTTGGACTGGGCGCAGCATGCGCGCAGTCGCCATGCGGCGTGTCGCTCCTGGCAGGTGCTGCGGGCGCTACGGCCCCCGCTGAAGGCCGACCTGGCGGCGGCGCTGGTCCTGAGCCTGGAGGCCTGTTTTCAGAGCGGCCTCATGGCGGGGTGTGAGGTGGCAGTGGAGATCATCACTACCACCCGGGTGAGCTGGCGGGAGGAGCCTGTCTGGGGGAGAGAGAGGGGAGGGTGTAATGGGATGAATAGCAGGAAGGGGCAAGGGTAGTAGGAAATAGGGACGGGAGCGAGGAGCTTGGGCGGTGCTTGGCGTATGTTTGTAATGCACTCCGGCCTGCCACCAGCGTTTCAGCGCATAGCTCCGGTGGGGATGTGTGCATGCCGCGAGCTGGGCAAGCACTGCAAAGACGATACCGCATGGGGGCGGTTTGTGGTGTGCTCCCCCCTCCGTTCGCATTTAACATGAGTCACCAACATCGGCTAGCTTCCCCATCCAACCACCCTGCCTTTGCCCTCCTCCTCACTGCGCATTCCTTCACTTAGCTGGTCCGCTTAGCTGGCCGACCTCCCCCTTCCCCCGCCCACCCTCTCCCCCGGTGCTTTCATCCCACCCGCCCTCCCAACTCCGCAGCTGCTGGTGGAGTCTCTGCCTCCCGGCCGCCTGGTGCTGTACCCGCAGATCTGGTGGGCCGCTCTAGCACTGCTCCACTCTCCCCATGTGGCCGTGTACCGGGCGGCACTGGGGCTGCTGGGCGCGTGTGTGGGGTCGGGGGCTGGGGGTGTAGTGGGTGGCGGCGGCTCTGCGGGCCCTCAGCTGCGGTTGTGGGCGAGTAAGGTCCAGGCGGTGCTGCTGGCGGCGGCCCCCGGGCTGAGTGCGGCTCAGCTGCTGGCGGCCAGCCATGCGGCCACCACCCAGGACAGCGGGGAGGATGCGGGTGAGGCGGGGATGGGCGGGAGTGGGCGGAACTGTGAGGGGGTGGGGGTGGGGTAGACGGTAGCTGTAGCCGGTGAGCTGGTTACGCCGCCGGTGCATAACCGTACGCGTGTGTGAGCACTGCGCCCAGATTTGGGTCTTGTTCGTACATGCCGGCAGGGTACACCGTATACTGCAGCATTTACTGTTGCAGCATACACGTCATATTGCAACAGCAGCAGCAGGAACAACAGTAACAACAATGAAACTACAATATGAATATAGCATTGTCGCCACATGCGACGTGCTGTACGCTGCACCCTCCACCCTTTATGTGTTCGTAACAGCAACTTCATTCCCGGGCCCCATCAGTAGCCCGTAGCAACCCCCGTAGCACTCCCCCATTGGGCCCCCATAGATGGTGGTGATGGTGGTGGAACTGACGTGTGTGTGTTTGCAGACCCCTGGGTCCTGGGCTACCACGTGCTCAATGTGCGGGAGGCCTCACCGCAGTCCACCTCGCCACACGGGAGCATTGCCGTACAGCAGGTGAGGAGGGGCTAGGCAGCAGGGCCTAGAGGACGGGGTGGTCATGTAGGGATGCGGAGCCGGGGCTGGGATCCTGGTGAGCGGGACGGCTGGTGGGCAAGTTTAGGTACGGAATTACGGTTTTTGCTAAACTGTTTTGCAATGTTGCTTTCTTGTTATCGTTGTACTTCTGACTGCTCTCTCCCGCCACACCTTCCACTCACCGCACTGCCTTGTTGCCGAAATTGCCCATCGCCAACCTCCCCTGCCGCGCTCACCATTCAGCGCACCCTGCCCCTGCCCTCGCCTTTCCTCCACTTACGATTTCCTCCTTTCCACTTTCCACTTTCCACTTTTCCCCCCTACCCCGTGGCTCCTACGTGTCCGCAGCTGCTCCTCCGCGGCCTCACTCACCCCCTCACAGTTGCTCCGACTCTGCACCTGCTGGCCGCCTTCGGTGAGGCGCTGGCACAGCAGGCGCAGGTGCTGCTCGCGCGGACCGGTCCCTCAGCGCTGCATCAAACCCAGTCCGGCCACCAGCAGGCGGCCTATCACCACAACCACCACAACCATCACAACCACCAGCACCCCCAGCACCAGCACTACCAGCACTACCAGCCGTTGCAGCAGCCCCACCTGTTGATGGGGGGTTCCTCGGCGAGCAGCTCGGCGGGCGGCGGTGCGGAGGGGCCTGGGTATGCGGACCATCTGGGACTGCAGCTGCAGGTGAGGGGCCGTGTGTGTGCGAATTCACACAGCCGGGTGCGTTGGTGGAGGCCGAGGGGGTCGGCCGAGGCATGGCGATCAATGCGTGTTGCCGTCGTTGTTGTAGCTGTTACTGTTGCCTGCTGCTTTGTCCGGTGTACTGCAACTCGCGCCCCGCGGATCCTGGAGCCTGTGCTTCATTGCCTGCGCGTCAGAACTTCGTGTTGTCATGGCGTCATACACCGCGAGACCCCCTGGACATGTATTCTACACCTCCTTTCATTATTTGTCTTCGTTGTGAGCTTGACCACCTGCCCGAACGACCTCCTGCAACCCCACCCTTCGCCACCGCCGCCCCGCTTCCAGCTACCCCGTCTGACTTCCGGACTCGACGGCGACGCCATGGACGATTCTCTGCTGGACGGCGCCGGCGGCGCCACCCGTACTGGCAGCGGCGTCGGCGTTGGCCTTAGCCGCGGTGCCATCGTAGTACCCCACAGCGACTCGCTGCGCAAGCACCGGGCCCTCAAACTGGACTCCTTCCAAACCCTCCTAGGCTCTTGTCGTAGCCAGCTCTTCGTGTCTCTCATGGGCCTCCTGCCCCTCATGTTGTCCTTGCACGGCAATGCCGGTGGCAGCGGCATCGTCGCCTCCGCCGCGGGAGGTGGCGGCTCCGCTGCCTCCTCGTCCGAGGACTTCCCTCAGCTGCAGCCACAGCAGCATAGTCGCGCTGCGCGCTGTGTTGCGGCAGCGGCAGCGGCGGCAGCCTCTCAGGGGGTGGCAGGCGGCGCTGGCGTTAACGGCGGTGTTGGTGTTGGCGGCGCGGATGCGGTTGAACTGGCGGAGGCAATCCAGAGGGCGGTAGCAGCGCTGGGCCGCGCAGCGGTGGTGCTGGGTATGGGTCCGGAGCTGGGAGCGCATCTCCAGGTGCTCAGCTCTCAGCAGGTATGTGTGCTTTGGACGAGGGAGGGATAAGGGACGCGGCGGGAGGCGAAAGGTTTGCAGCTTTGCTTGCACGGGTTGTTGGCATGGAGTATTGGCCACCCCTACGTCGCGAGGGCGGCGTGAACGTCCGTGCTTCGAGGTGGCCATTGCGGCATAGATGCCGAACAAGAGGTGGTGGCCTTGCCCGCATGGCCTCATGTTTCTCGTATTCTCTTCCGCTCGGCTGCACAGTGTTTTACAGAAATCTCGCAGGCATCTAAACCATCCACAAACGTTTTTTCCCACCTGTGCTGCCCCCGCTCTCTCGGCCGCCCCCGATATATTGCCGTGTGTCCTTTTCCTCTTATCCCTCCTTCACAGCTGTCTTTCGAGCCGGAGCTGCTGGAGTCCACCGTCATCCAGCTGCTGACCCTCCTTAGCCGGGCCCTCTTCCCCCGCTACACCTCCTGGGTCCTCCACCACCTGACCGACCTGCTGGTGGGGGGAACAGCGGCCACGTGGGCCTCAGCAGCGGCGGGGTCCAGTGCAACCACATCCAGCGCCACAAGCTTCGCCGCGGCAGCGGCTGCCGCAGCCGCCGCCTCTGGAGGCTGTATGCCTCCAGGCCCGCGGCAGGTCCGCTCCGCCTTGCTACTGCTGCGTTGCCTGTTCCGGGTGAAGGACCTCCGACTGGGTCCGGCGGCTGCTCTGCTGGTGGCCGATGGGGCTCTGCTGCAACCCGTAGTGGCGCTGACGACAGGCCCCATGGGAGCGCTGGCGACGGAGACACTGGCAGCGGCGCTGCAGTACAGTCAGGATGAGCGGTTCCAACGGGATCTCCAGGAAGCAGCGGCGCGGGCATCGCAGTACGAACAGCAGCAGCTGTCGCAGCCACAGCCGCAGCCCGCAGCGCCACGGACGCTCTTCCCGCCGGTGACGCCGGTGGGCGCAGCGTTGAAAAAGGTCGTGGACACGCTGGGGTCAAGTCTGCGGCGGCGCAACAAGCATATGAAGCTCCTACCGTTCCTGGGAGTTTATAATGACTGATGAGTGAGAGGGGGCTGGGCCGGGGGTTTGCTAGGGGTAGTGAAGTGAAGGACGGAATCGCGCAGGCCTGGGGTGGATTTAGGTTCCGGGGGTTCGTGTGGGCCTGTCTGCCCGTGTGGTTGGGAAGGAGGAATGCAACGTGCTGAAGGGAGGGAGGCTGGCGCGTGTGTCATTGAAACACACCTACATATGCATAGCGCAGCACAACAGGATTACCAAGGCCGCAGCGGTCGTGAAGCGCGGACACAGCGGGCTATATGCGGGATTTTTGCTTGTGCGGGTTATAGGTCTCCGGGTCAGTTCATCCACGCGTTCGCGGCTCGGGGCAGCTGTTTGGTTGGCAGACCTGAGCATGTTTTGGGGTGTGGGGGTGTTGGAGGGGCGCCACTGTGCCCATGCGAAATCAAAGCTTTCGCCGCCGTCAAGGCAGTGAGGGGCAGGGAGGCGCTTTTCCTTGGGACTCGGGCGCTATGCTTTGTCGTCATCACGTAGTCCACGAGGTCTATAGATGCTCGTTGTCAGTGTGGCTGAGGTAGGCCAGCACGCTTACGGTAGAGTGACGAAGGAGCGGCGGATGGGGCTATTGATATACATACATAGAATTGACTTCAAGTCACGGGCGAAGAAACAGTGTTGTCTATAATGTAATGTGGATATGCTTGATGATGTACGCATGTGCGTGTGGGAGCAGATATGGAGGGAGATGTATAGGCAGGGAGCGGGCGGGTACTGTCCACCCAGGCGAGGGAAGGTCAGGAGCAGCTGTGCAATGGAGGTACCACAGGTGGGAGGGCCGCAGGGTCCAATGATAGAGTGCGCAACATGTGATGTTGGGGTGGGGATGTAGGTTGGTGGTTCTATGCAGGTAACGTGGCGAGCGACATCCAACCGGTTGTCAGCTGTGTAGTCGGGACGTAGATTGCCTTTTCTTCTTGTCGTGCTTTGCTCGTTCCAGGTCAGTCCGGGTGCTCCTCGTGGCCTGCGCGTACCCCAGCAAGTGCCTGACCCGGCACTTCAGGACATAGGCGGAAGTTCGGCAACCCGCCAAGGTGATGCGCACCGAGCATTTAGCGCTACCCCGTCTTATTGGTTGGAAATGTAGGGGACGTCCAATCTCAAACCACAGTCGACATTATGGAGATGTTTGATGAGAAGGACGGACCGTGGGGGAGGGAGGGGGTTCGTGTTGTCGTGCGGGAATGTATGGTTGGTCGTGTGTGCTGGAGGTTGGCCAACCCCAAAGAGTGATCCAGGTAGGGCAGTCCAGGAGGGCTCCCCCACCAAGGGGGCACCACAGACTCATAAGGCCCCTTGGGGTGTAGGTCAGGCAACAGCGCAGGATGAGTACAGGTGCATATGCGGTAGGCACCACCACCTTTTACATTTTTAGGTATTGTGCGTTCTGTCCACAGGCCCATTGGAGACAGCAGATAGCGTGGTATCACTTCAAAATGTGAGAATCACGGCTGCCTGAGATGTGCGTGGTAAGCTATTTTCCTGCGCTGGTGATATGCCAAATTTTAAGCATTGGAGAGATTCAAGGCTCCACAGGGCAGGGTATCGCATTAGCAAAATTGCTAGTCAAATCGCCATGTAGGTGATTTGTCCTTGTCTTCACGGCTGCCAGTTACACCTCATTTGACATGCCTCTTCCTTCCAGTTCTCCGCAAGCGTGCCTATCCTGTGTCCCCGAGGTCTCCATTTGCCTTAGCTTAACAGAGGTTTTTCTTTCTGGACAGCACTTCAAGACGATGGTCGAAGGGTGAGATAATAGGTGCCAGAGGCAGATCCAAAAAGTGAATGTGGTGGTTCACTATTTGGGTTCGGATGGTGCCGCAAAATTGCCTCCTTTGTTGGCTTGCTGCTTGCGTCGCAGCACACCCACCTCACCATAACACCACCCGTCATATGCTTGGGGCCAAGCCAGTTACCATATTGATAGGACTTTGCACTGCGCAGTTAGGGAGCATAGATGTCTCCTTTAAGTGCAGGTCAATGTTGGTTGTTTCCCCCATGTGCTAGTGCTGATGCTATTGATAGGCAGGAGGGCAGTTTTTCCTCTGGACAAATTGATGCGGGAACGTTTATGGGTCTCTGACTGTATCCTACGTTGCTTGAATGTCCAGAACGTTGTTATCGCTTGGGACTGAGATATTGGGCCGAGATGCGATGTGGGAAGACAGAGCTACAGAGTAGGCAACGGGCACAGCTGGAACTTAACAATGGGGAGGCCTCCCACACACGATTGACCGGCGAGTTGAATGCGGTGACTGCTGGTCAGGTGGGAGTTTGGGTCCAAAGCACAATATGTACAGCAGCTGGTGTGTTCGAGAAACCTATGGCGGAGTCAATGGTCCATGATAGCGAGGGGTAACGGGCGCAAAGCTATGAGCCCCCGAATGGTCAAAGAATTGTGACGCTGAGCGCCAGCAGCTTCTGCAGCTTTTGCGATGCACGTTGTTGTGCCAAAGTTGCGCAACTATTCAGCATACCATACCATGTTATAACTATACTCGTGATTTTAGTATTATATTGTTTCCTATACCTTAAATAGGATGAATATCCTACATTTTGCCTTGTTTTGGGAACCTCGACAACACGCTCGTCCCATGGGTCTGGGCGCTCTATTCATGCTCATGCTTAAGGAATAAATAAAACTGGATCACACATGAAACTTAGCGCTATGCAGTTGGGATCCATCTACTTTTTCGGGGAGCTATGGTACAGTCATGCTGCAACACATGCGTAACTGCTCATTCTATCTTCCTTAACACCAATCTAACCCTGTAAAACAATGCCTGAATGCAACTCTGATTATGATTATGTTAGAATCTGAAGCTACGAGGATACCTATGTTCCGCCTGAGATACGTTGTCCAAGTCCTACCGCTGCTGGACAAGCGGCTCCATGTCCTAACAAAAAGAAGTTACATGTACAGAAGAGGAATTTTAACTCAAGATTTTTCCCGAACTAGTCCTACCTATCCCATGAACCGGCAAGTCTGACGTTTCGAACTGGACTATGACAGTTGGGTTCTTGCATCATAAATTCATCAACGCAAATCTTACGCCGCAAGGACAGATATGTTTCACCTTTATTTGAAAGCGAATACAGTAAACCTCTATCTTTCGACGGCTGTACTGCATTTGCACCTGGTAGGTGCCTGTGTGACTGTGTTGGAGGGCGTCTGGTGCGTGGTAAAGCCTTCATGGACGTGTACTTCCGCTCACACCTAATCCCATCCTAACAGTTCTCTACCTCGCCATGATTCTTGGAGTGCTGGGCTTAGTCGTTACACTTGCTATACGGTATGCCGGTCCATACACACCGATGAACCTAGTTGCATCAGATCCGAAAGTTTAGAGACGGACCGCGACTGCATCCCGCCCCCAAACACGATAAGCGTCGCTGACTAGGGTGCGCACATACGGCCGAAGGGTATTATCCTGGCTCCAATTGGTTTCCTTACCAGCCGAATGGTTTCCTTACCGCAACTCATTACACATGGACCTTATACACAATAGAGATAGGGCTCCGCTATCTTGGTAACGTATGGAAGCGGCAGCCTAGCCTAAGCCACCAAAGCAGCAAACTACTGCTTGTCTTCGCATCATCCTTGCCACCTTACCTGCTGCTCCCTTCCCCAATTCGTCCAACCGCGCAGTTTGACGGCGACGTTGAACGATAGTAAGTGGACTGTTTAGGGCGCGACAGCTTTGCCAGCTGCAGTTGCATGCTGCGTGTGTCACACACATTGGAATGTCAGAGCAACGGAATGCAAAAGACGGGGTATACCTTACGGGCCGGCCCCTCCATCCCCGGGGCTGCATGCGCCTACCCCCATTGAGTCAGCGACTTCCCCACAGCCACACACACGGCCTCCGCAGCCATAGTTCCACAGCCCTTATCCCCCCCCGCCTTCAGGGGGGCCATCCAGCTTAAGAAGGAAAGGAAGTTGTCCATCGCCCGTCGATCCCGGTGCACTTAAGTCGCAGCCGCGACGGCCCGCAGTTCACCAGTTCGTCGCCGAATGGAATACCGCCCTGGAAACAAAAGCGCAAAAGCTTCCAAGGATGTGAACCGCTTCAGTCATTTAGGGCTATACCTGGAAACAGCTTGTTAAGTTGAGGGGCCCACCTAGGCTCTAGCCGTTTTCAGCTGCTGTAGCCTGTCCTGGCTAATACTCGTGTCCATTTCTGTTCGCCTTTTGTGGCTCTGGCGAAACCCCTCTTGCCCATGTGAAATACCTATTTATCATACGGCGCTAATGTAAAGGCATTGTTGCCGGGCGAAGTTACCGCTGCGGCACATCAGCCAGCTATGCTGAGGGGCTCTGCACCTGAACCAGCTGTCCACCTCCCTCTAAGCACTCCTCCTTACCCTTCCCGTCACGCCGCTGATGCAGAGCATTTGCCGAGGCCACACGTCGAAGTTATACTACCGCCGGCAGCGCTCAGCCCACCTGCTCCTTTGGCCCCCCCACCAGCACCTGTACCCGCACCACCCAATGCGGTCACCAGGCTGCTCGTGAAAACGGAACCCATGCAGGCACCAGACCCTCATGCGCTCACGGTTAAGGTGTCTGCATCATCAGACACAACTCATCCATTGCCAAGCGGGAACAACCCTATCCGGAATCATCCCCGGTAGTCTGCAACCTCCGGCGGCGCCGCTGCCACAGTCACTGCTGACAAGCAGGTTCGTTCCCGAGATGAGCGAGGCGGGTTTGCATGGATAGCCACCGCTTTGCCCTCCACCTCGCAGGGCAGATTTTTACAGAACATAGTAGGTCTAGTCACTGGCTCAGTCGCACGGATGTTGCCCGCCTGGCCTTCCAGCTCCTGGCGACCCATGCACTGTCCTTGCGACGGAGTGTGTAACTTATCTGCACAGTTACACTGCTGCCGGGAACACCCCTTCCCACCCCCACCATCACCTTATGCAACACCTCTGCCCGTCCACATGTACCCGGTTGCTCCGAAGCTGACCTCCGTCCCCGTGCCCACTCATGTCCCCCTCTCAGAAATTCCATACGGGTGCAAGATTGCGCAATCTTGCACGGTTGACGTCCGTCGCCGCTACCATCCGTGCCTCAGCCAGCAGGGGTGCTGGAGTCACTACCTTGCTAGCAGTGCGGCTACACGCCGCCGCCGTCACAGCCATGCATAAGCACTCACATGGATGGATTCAAGGTGGCACCTGGCCCAGTGGCACTGCGTGTGGGCCTGGGCCGTCCCGCTTAATTCAGGTCATCAAATCGCCCTAGGTTTATCCTGCTGTACATGACCTAAAGCCCCATCGCTTTTGGCGGATGAAGACCCGCACCGAAGCTGCCATGGCGGGCTTGCCGTCACGTATTGGGACTTTGGAGCAGAATCTAGCCAAAGCGCGCAAGGAGACTGTAGAGCAGGTAAAGAAAGGAAGCGGTACGCGTCAATACAGCAAGTGGAAGCTTTGTGTTTTCGGGATAACGGTGCTCGTGATGTCTCAAGGTAGGGGAGCGTGTAGCTGGAGCTGGAGCCAGCGGGAGCGGCGGTGGAGCACAGGCTGAGCCGCCAGCCGACACAAGTGGGCGGTGGCGGGCTGAGTACGTGCGTCTGCGACTGGCACTCAGCGAGCTGGAACGAACGGATGGGGAGGATCGGGGACCATGCACCCTGGGGATCTGCGTATTATTCTCAGGGTCGGATTCACTAACGATGTGGCAGCGCCCAGCCCTCATCCGCTCAGCTCGGGGCCAGGTGGCTAGCCTGGAGGCAGCACAGACCATTAACCGCGAGGTGTGGCTGCCAGAGTCAGACGAGCTCAAGAGTGGCTTCAGGATGCTTGTGTGTGCTGAGGAGAAGAAGCTCTGCACCAAAATCGAGGTAAGGTGTGGATGGCATACGTAAATTGCAGAAAATGTAAATGACTAAGATCCCTGCTGTACACAGGCTGCTGGTATGGATTACTACAGCTTGGAATGGGTGATGGAACACCTTCATGGGCGGAAGAAGGAGCAGCAGCAAGCGATTCGCGATAAGCGTGCCACCAAGCAGCACCTCGACCGGCTATGGGAGCAGCTGCGAGTTTGGTGTACGCAGCGTGCCAGCGTGCTGCCATTCGGGCGCCACTACAGAAGCGGGCCACGGAGGAGTCTATGCTTCTCTTGAAGGAGGTTCCACGCGCTTTGTAGTATTACGTGGCCTGAGTGCGGATTCTGGATTACCTGCAGGCTTTGTGACTGTGGAGCGGTTGAAGATGAGTTGCATGTTTTCGAAGAATGTCCCGCTTACATGAGCATACGGGCTAAGTATGATGGTGACCTAGTCCTTACGGGGCGCAGCATGCGCACCATTATGACTGAGGCGCCACCCCTGGCATTGGCCAGGTACCTCTCGGAAATTTGGGAGGCCAGGCACGTCGCGCTGAGGCGCTTCGCCCTGAAGCGGACGAGGGAGAATGAAGATGACCTCCCGCGTACCCGCATCAATACCAATACAACGTCCATGGCCCCCCCGGCTTTTACGGACACACCCGCACTTGTGTGCGGAACTTGTAACTTGTAACTTGTAACTGGAAGGCGAAATGACGCGCCGACCTAGTGAGGGCGAGCAATGCCTGCTTGGAAAGCATCTGAATTGTATTGTAACAGAGTGGGAGGCTTCTGGGCCATTTGAACACATTATCTGTTGAGGAAAATGTTGTCCGGTCAGTCTGTCGCCTGATGCTTGCGTGATACTTGGTTTCTGAATAGAGTGGAGCCATCTTCCGTACTTGTTGATCGACTGTCGAACTCGTGAATAAATAGGAATGAGCTAACGATTATCTTTGGTCTGGTATGCTTCTAGAGTAGTGAGTTGTGGCTGAGCTGAGCCGTTAGTCGCTTTGTAAACGCTCTGGCAATCACTATTGCGTCCAAATCCATTCAGCCCTCAAGAGGTTATGAGCCCCGCGCTCTAAAATGGAATACTCCGGTAAATTCCAAAACCTCGTCCTGGTCACTAAGTACACGCAGACCCCCAAAACCAACTACACGAAGCCGCCTACCGTCCGCGATCTCAACGAACATGTCACCGTCGATCTTCTGGTAGTTCCAGAGGCACGTAGAATCGGGAGACATGTGGTACTGGGAACCGGAATCCAGCACCCAGCTGTCGTCGGCATCGCCATCCGCGGGAGCGACGGCTTCTTGAATTCCGACGCCAGACTTCTTGACGACGGGCGGTGTATCGACGCGTGCAGCGATAACGACAGGCGCCTCGAGCGCCGAGAAAGACGTAATCCTTTTGCCGTACACTTCGGAGATTTTCTTCTCCGTGCGCTTCTTCTTGAAACATTGTTGCTCAGTATGGTTGTCCTTGCCGCAATAACCACACTTGGCGCCTGGCGTATTTCTGGAGGTGGTTGGCGTGGTCGATGTACTTGCCCCGGAGTTACCAGGCGACTTACAGAATCGCGCCTTATGTCCAGGTTTACCGCAATTGTAACACTTAGTGACGTTGCGAGATGATAGGGCGACGGCGACGGGATCCGTGGTCACGCTGTTCCTAGTTACCTGCTCCACCGGCAACAAAATGTTCTCAAGATGGCCAGCTCCGAGTCATTAGTTGAGTACCTGTTTCGCGTCAAAGACATTGTGAGTGAAATGCGGGAAGCAGGTTCGGGATTGGCCAAAGACAGCAAATCCATCGTTATGCAAGCGGTACTGGGGCTTAGCGACTCCTTCGAGGTAGCCCGACAACATTTACTTATGGGTGCAATGCCATTGGATCTAGCTGCTCTGGAGAACATTTTGTTGCCGGTGGAGCAGGTAACTAGGAACAGCGTGACCACGGATCCCGTCGCCGTCGCCCTATCATCTCGCAACGTCACTAAGTGTTACAATTGCGGTAAACCTGGACATAAGGCGCGATTCTGTAAGTCGCCTGGTAACTCCGGGGCAAGTACATCGACCACGCCAACCACCTCCAGAAATACGCCAGGCGCCAAGTGTGGTTATTGCGGCAAGGACAACCATACTGAGCAACAATGTTTCAAGAAGAAGCGCACGGAGAAGAAAATCTCCGAAGTGTACGGCAAAAGGATTACGTCTTTCTCGGCGCTCGAGGCGCCTGTCGTTATCTCTGCACGCGTCGATACACCGCCCGTCGTCAAGAAGTCTGGCGTCGGAATTCAAGAAGCCGTCGCTCCCGCGGATGGCGATGCCGACGACAGCTGGGTGCTGGATTCCGGTTCCCTCTGGAACTACCAGAAGATCGACGGTGACATGTTCGTTGAGATCGCGGACGGTAGGCGACTTCGTGTAGTTGGTTTTGGGGATCTGCGTGTACTTAGTGACCAGGACGAGGTTTTGGAATTTACCGGAGTATTCCATGTCCCGGGATTCAAGCACCGCTTGTTGTCTGTCCGTGTTCTCGTTGAGAAAGGAGCGAGTGTGGAATTTGAGGGGATCTACGGAAGCTCCGAACGAGGACTCCCATATAGTCGGAAGAGTTGGAATGCGCGAGAAGGTTTCCTACCAGCCCGTTTATTACCCGTTAGGGTTCGTCCACCTCTGCGGGCACCTAAGGCTGTTGTCAGGAGTAGCGACGGTACCTGGTCTCATAGCTTCCCTTATTCTCGGGGAGCTTACCGCCTGAAGGGTACTATGATTTTGCCTGAAACCCCCGCGCCAGTCAATGCGTTTTCATCCAGGTCTGTGTCCGATGCCTACCTTTGGCACTGCCGGCTTGGTCATCTGAGCTTTCGGAACCTGGCTCGTCTGGTTGACGGTGGTATGGTCACCGGGATCGATGTACCGGCGAAGGACTTTCGTGTAGAGGGTGAGTCGGTATGCGGCACGTGCGTCGAGGCCAAATTGTCACGTTCGCCGTTCAGTTCTAGTGGAAATCGTGCAGATAAGAAGTTGGCTTTGGTACATATGGATGTGTGTGGTCCGCTTCCTGTCACCTCCCGTGATGGCCATTCGTACATTGCTACGTTTTTGGACGATTTTTCACGTATGTCAGTTGTTTGCCTTCTGTCGCGAAAGGATCAGGTGGCGAGTTGTGTGAAGGAGACGCTGACTATGTTGGAAAATCAGTGCGGAGAGAAGACCAAGGTAGTTCGTACGGATAGGGGTCGGGAGTATCTTAACGCGGAGTTAGCGGCGTGGTACAAGGATAGGGGCATTATCAATCAGACAACCGCTCCATACACGCCACAGCAAAGTGGATCGGCAGAGCGTCTAAATCGCACGTTGATGGAGAAGGTGCGCGCGATGCTTTTTCAGGCCGATTTGCCCAAATCTTCTTGGGGCGATGCTGTTATTACTGCTAATTATTTGCGAAACAGGTCTCCTGTTAATGATTTGCCAAGTACCCCTTACGAACTGCTTTTCGGCTCTAAGCCCGACCTTTCCGATTTGCGTGTTTTCGGTTGTGTAGCGTACGTTCTCATCCCTAAGCAAAATAGGGATAAGCTTGATAAAGTTGCGTCGCGAGGTATTTTTGTAGGATACGAGGCCGGTTCTAGGGCCTATCGCGTCTTTGTCCCCGAACTCAATAGAGTAGTAGTGAGTCGGGACGTTAAATTCGATGAGGAGTCTGTGCTTGCATCGCTTTGGGATGATACTTCTGATGATGAGGTGCAAAACCGGGTAGAAAATGTTAATCCGGTTCTAGACGACTCCGATAATGAGCCGGCACCTAGTGGGGTTACCGCCGTTCAAGTGCGTGGGAGCCCTAGTGGTAGCGTTTCGTCGGGTCCTTCTCCACCCGCACCAGTGTCGGCTTCGGAGGGCGGGGGGGGAGAGGTTACTAGTGGATCTACTGCTTCGCCTCCTGCGCCTCCTGTTCCACATGCGCCTCCAGTTCCACTTGTACCTTCGGTTGAATTAGAGGGACTAAGGCGATCTACAAGATGCAACTTGGGTGTTCCTCCCGCTAGGTACTGTGATGTGGCGTTAGCTTTTGGTGCTGTTAATATTGACGAAGAGCCCAAATCGTGAA